GCCTTGTTCAATATGACTCAAGGATCTGGCCAGGGCCCGGATTATTGGAATCTCTTGACCAAGGGCCCAGATACGCTCCGCGTCAAGCCCGACGGAGTCTCCTCCATTTCGTATTTGCGTCTCCTTCGTCAAACACGATCTAGCAAGATTGCCGTGCAAACAATCCGCGAGCAATTGCTTCCCGTACGTCTTGCAAGTGGCAGTGCGTTCCACGTTGCGCTCGCGACTTGCCGTCGCGACCGCCGTAACAGACACATCCTCGTCTACATGAGCGAGCTTTTGGACATGATGCGCAAAGCTTGGATTCTTCCTGACACCCGGGTCCTCGAAGGGTATCAAAATTTCATCGAGTCGCTGTGCGACGACCCACAAGCCCTCATGAACATGAACGGTCTGGGCCAAATTTCCAAGGATATTACCTTGCAAGCGCTGGGCAAGCAACTGGTGACCAATTTGCGTCTCCAATCTCTGGCCACACTGCGCCCCCATGTGATCCAGCTTCACGAGGCTATACAGGCAGGCAAGACCGGCAAAAGGACCCGATGGGAAAATCTCAAAGACAACAGATACGGAAGACCTCATATTAATGGTCATGTTTGTCTCGGTATCCTGAATGAAGCTCGCAGGGTGATTGGCGAGACATTGAAGTCTGAATACTCGAAATTCGTCCCCAAGGACCAGCGGAAGATCCTTCTTGCGGACTCGAAAATGCTAAAGCCGTACTCTGACTCTGCTACCATCAAGGCTATACAGAATAGGTCGATATACCCGACTCAGGAGCAGCGGGTTGCTTTTGATGAGATGCAGGTGGAGTTTTTGCAACTTGACATGGAATGGATGTCTAAGAAGAAGAAGCAGAAGCAGCAGGAAGAGGTGAATGAGCTTTTGAAGCCTTATCTACCGCTTGAAGCTGAAGTCGCATCTGAGACCAAGCCTGAAGCTGAGGCCAAATCCGACGTTGAGACCAAGCCCGAAGTCAAGACCAAACCTGAAGTCAAGGCCAAGCCTGACGTCGAGACCAAGCCTGAAGCCGAGACTATGTCTGATGTTGAGACCAAGGGTTGAAATTCATTTTGAAGCTTCGGATTTTGGTGAAGCCAAGGCGTGTGTGCGGCGTGTGTGCTTCCTGTACTATAATATTGTTTTTCTACACCTGTACTATACTATTCGCATTAGTCCGACGGCGCGGGGCGCTTGCATTTGTATATTAATAGCATCTCTCTCACACATCGCGAACATATCGAACCCTCTGAGTCGTCCCCATTTACAATTTTCTACCACTCTCTTCCTCAGAGAAGCAGCTTTCAGACATGATTATAGTACTGCTACTAGTATTTCCCTTTCTCATCAGGGCGCAAAGCTTCAAGTTGATTTACTGGAACTTAAGCACCCACAAGAAACTCCCAATAAGATTAGCCAGCTTGGTGGTGAAGCCATCGGGGTTGAAATCGATGTTGTCTACTCCCGGCAAGCAAAATTGAGGTGGCACAATGGCGGCTATCGTCCGAAAATCTTGTTTAGAGGATGGAAGCTGGAAGTTGGAAATTCGAAGTTGGCGGTCGGAAAGGGTCAGTATGATGGCAGGAGCGAGGAGGTCAAAAATGGTCTGATGTGCCCTGCCATTCCATCAGATTAAGGTGTTATTGAAAGGGCAATTAAGACCCTATCCCCATTGAATAGCTACTGATAGTATAACTCGGTCCTTTTTCGGAATTTACTTACTTCGTAGGTATTCAAGATCCTTCGTGGTTTTTTAACAGATGGCTATAGCTGACTGGCTAGGGGACTTATTAGATACGATTGACCTAAATGTTATTGATTGAGCAAAGCGGTCGAGGACCACCAGCTATAGTATTGGGGACAAAATATTAGTACATATTTGACGTTTGTGGAACTGGCTCTCTCCTGTATAGTACGACAGCAACACGGCAATAATTGTAAGGTCATGAAGGCAAAGAAAGAAAAGCAGTAGACTAACGGCAAGGCCATGAAGCAATGTCTAGTTCGTGAGGTACGCCTGGCCAATTTCCAGAGAGCGATCGCCATCACGTCTTCACTCCACTCTGTGACATTTATTTTGGCCGCCCAGTTAGTACGGATCCTGCAGACGTCAGGCCAACTAATTTGCCCTGGATGATGAAATTCTAAAATGAGGCACATCTGAATTTCCCTTTTGAGACCGTGTTGTATAATAAGCTGAGCGTCCGTTCACATACTATTCGCATATTCTCAACTGCCCCTGTCCGTCACGCCATTGCCATGCCTAGTGACACCTTGCATACACAGCGGACCTTATCCGTATCCCTCTGAAGAAGCCTTGGAAAGCAAATGCAAATAAACTGAAGACTTATCCCACTGATCTTTCTTTTCCCGAAGAAAAACCCGATCTAATTCGAGGGTGCAGCCATTTATTGAATATGAGCGTGCCTCAACAGCGCCGAAAATGGTATTATCTACAATGGTTTGCAGACCATGATACAAAGGAGGAACGGCACCTCATTTTGAAACTGGATCTTTTAATTGTCCCCTATGCCTTTCTAGCATACTGGACCAAGTATATTGACCAAGCCAATATCAGTATGAAGACCAAAATAACCCTCTCCCGAAAATTTGAACTGTTTCTAACTCCTTGGTCAGATAATGCTTACGTCTCCGGTCTCAAAGAAGATCTGGGATTTAATGGAAATGAACTGGTGCAGCTTCAGACGATGTACACTATCGGTGCTGTAGTTGGGCAATTACCTTTTGCGTTTTTGTTCACAAGGTTACCTATGCACTGGGTTATCCCATTTATGGACATTGCATGGGGTATATTTACTTTGGTGCAGTGCCGAGCAAACTCGTATGCCGAGCTTGCTGCATACCGCTTCTTGGTCGGCTGGTTCGAGGTATGTGGCATGCCTAGGTTGGGTAAATTGAGCAAATGGAACGGAGGCTAATTTCACACAGGCACCTTACTACCCGGGAATGCATTTTATTTTCGGTAATGACTCAGGTTTCATCTCGAAAGTCTCATAACTGACTAAATGCAGGCTCATGGTATCGCAGCGATGAAATCTCGCGCCGAGGAGGATGTTTCTATGTTGGCCTGACGCTGGGTACACTCACAGCAAGTCTCATCCAAGCTGGAACGTCAAGTAGCCTTGATGGGGTCAATGGACTTGTTGGCTGGAGATGGATGTACATCATCTGTGCCATAATAACCATCCCTGTTGCAATTCTGGGCTACTTCCTTCTCCCTGGAACTCCGGACAGACCAAATAGATGGATCCTCAAGGAGAAAGATATTCAACTGGCCAAATCTCGTCTTGAAAAAGCATCCCATAGCGTTCGAGAAGAAGCCATAACCTGGCGAACCATCCTGAGTGTCGTCCGCAACTGGAAATTCTGGGCCCTTCTTTGGCTCAACATTTTCTTCTGGAATGGAAGTGTTAATACAACAACCGGTGGCTACCAGCTGTGGCTGAAGAGCCTTGACAGGTTCTCGACCAGTCGGTTGAATGAACTTGCCGCCGTATCCCCAGCCCTGGGTATATTTTATACACTTTTCGTCTGCTTTGCATCGGATCTTTTACTTGGACCTGCTTGGGCTATCACGCTTTCACATACCTGGAACATAATTGGCCTTATCATCCTTGTGGTATGGAAAGTCCCGGAGTCGGCACTATGGTTTGCCTTCTTCACCACATACTCGGCCGTCGCAATGTCAAGCGTTCTCTACGGCTGGATCAATAGCCAGCTGCGATCCTCTCCTGTTCAGCGAGCGGTGACTCTTGTCATTGTCAATATGATTGCGCAGTCGACTACAGCCTGGACTCCACTATTGGTTTTTAAAACAGTCGAGGGCCCGCGATTTACAAAAGGGTACTCATTCGTTCTTGCAAATGCAATTTGCTTGATTATACTAGCACATATTGTTAACTTCTTCATCTCGAAAGAAAGGTAAGTTGCTGAGCTACTTTTGCGAAACCGCGCCAGTCCTAATCATTTTATCCTTGCTAGGAAAACCGAGCCTTCGACGATAGATACTAGTCCTGGTTCTCACAATTTTGATGGCTCGAGTGATTTAGAATCTGGGGATCAACAGAACCTGGAATTTGGAAAGGAGAATCACCACCCATGAATTTTTGATTGACAGAATGTGGTTGTTAACTCGTGCCCAGGTGGTGCCCATAGTCTAAGTCATTCTATCAATGATTCCCCAGTAGAATAGCAGCATATTCTTCAAGTTTTCCTCAAATGGAAACCTAACACTTTATTTTCCTTTCTATCACAGCCTTGGGCTACTATCTAAATGTAGTACTACCGTGTACTATACCCAGCGGAGCTTCAATTGAATTTAACTTGCGACAAGCTACACCCTTGAATCTATAATCACAGATCTTTCACACGGCACTTGATTCCCTATTATTTTTGACAATGCTATTGGTTAATATAGCTTAGTAAATATGAAAATGATAATTCAAAAATTGTACAAGACTAGGATACGGCCGATACAGAGTCACGCCATTTCATCGCGAATGGTGAAATAGCTTTAGTGAGTCGGAGGGTTTGAACCCCTCATTTTATTTCCATCCCCCAATATCCACCTGGCTATTCCAGTTAGAACTAGGATTTTGCCCATGCAAACCATTTCCTACAGTAGGGCCGGCATAGCTCAGAGGGCGATTAGGAAGCTGTTGCGTTCTCGGTGGAGATGATTGCGAATATCTCAGGCTCATCTTAGGTATCATATGCTAATCCACCACAAAGAATTGCTCTTCTAATGACTCGGAGGATTTCCGGGTAGTTATTTGATCGTGAATGGCGTGAGATACGGGGTTTATGATTAAATATCCGAGCGATGTGGTGATCAGGCCAAGGTTTCTGCCCTTCTTCTCGATCCGTTGAAGATAGATTTACTCATACATAATCACGAGAGTTGGCGATAAAAGAAACATTGTCAAGTTGCAGCATTCAATTCAGTGAAAAGTCGCATATTAAAAAGTACCATTTGAGTTATGGGAGACATCAATGTGTCCGATGGCCAGGATGGCGCTGGCGGTGGTACCAAAAAGCATATTTTGATTAACGCCTTTGATATGTCCACAGTAGGACATTTGTCTCCAGGCCAGTGGAAGGTATGTTGAATGAGGAACTTGAAGCTACCATAGGCATACCGCATAGTATGTGGCAATTCGCTGATAGATATAGAACCCCAAAGATAAATCGGCGACAAAACGGACACTGGAGTACTGGATCGATCTGGCAAAGCTGCTGGAGCGCGGTGGAATCAACGCACTTTTCCTCGCAGATACAACCGGAGGCTATGATACATATGAGGGGAAGATTGACGAGTGCATCCGACGAGCAGCACAATGGCCCGTGACAGACCCAACCATTGTGAGTTACAAAAGCACAGCTGCATAGATATCGAGACTTATTCGTTCCCACTAGCCTATCTCTGCAATGGCCGCCGTGACCAAGAATCTAGCTTTCGGTATCACGGCTTCTACTTCATTTGAACAACCATTTCTGCTGGCAAAGCGCTTTTCGACATTGGACCATTTGACGAAAGGTAGATTGGGTTGGAACATTGTCACCTCGTACAAGAAAGCGGCCTTTAAAGCAATTGGTCTTGATACCCCGATTGAACATGACGAGCGTTACGCACAGGCCGACGAGTTCCTGAGAGTACTTTACAAGTACGTATCGGCGCCCTTCTGAGATCAGACATTCAAGGCTAACCAGCTATGCTTGAAAAACAGGCTCTGGGAAGGATCTTGGGCGCCAGATGCGCTTTCGCCCAACCCAGATGAAGACTCCTACGTTGACCCGGACAAAGTCCGTCAAATCAATCACAAGGGGAAGTATTACTCACTGAATACACGCCATATTGTGGATCCATCGCCGCAGAGAACCCCGTTTCTCTTTCAAGCAGGCACTTCACCAGCAGGCTCGGCCTTCGCATCGACTCATGCGGAGGCAATCTTTGTCTCCTCACACTCACCGGAGGTCCTGCGGCCAAAGATCGAAAAGATCCGCCAGCTAGCAGCCGAGAAAGGTCGCGATCCGCAGTCAATCAAGTTCTTTGGCACTTTCACACCTATCGTGGGACGAACCGATGAAGAGGCCCAGGAGAAGTACGAAGAGCTGAAGAAATATGCTTCAGTAGTCGGCGGTCTGGTGCTCTTCAGTGGATGGACCGGCATTGATATATCCAAGATTCCTCTGGACCAAGAGATCACAGCGGCAGATTCTCTAGAAGCTAACAAGGTGACTAGTCTGCTGGATTCACTGGTTCAAACGAGCAAGGATATACCGCGTTGGACGCCTCGAATTGTTGCCGAAAAAGCTGCTATCGGGGGACTTGGCCCTGTAGCTATTGGAAGTCCCACGACTGTCGCAGATGAGATGGAACGCTGGGTTCGAGAGGCCGGCATTGATGGGTTTAATATTGGCCATGTCTCTACGCCAGGGACGTTCGAGGACTTGATCGACCTGGTCATACCGGAATTGAGAAAGCGTGGACTTTACCCAGAGCTTCCATCGCCTTCGGATGAGCCGCTTACGGCTCGTGAGAAGGTGTATGGACGTGGTCAGAAGGACCTTCGTGATGATCACCCTGCGACTCGTTATAAGTACGACGCGTATCAGGAGGAACCTCCATATGTCGATAATGCAGAGCATGCAGACAATGTAGAAATTGCCTAAATGTCACTGGGCAAAATGAAGAAGGAAAAGGAATGCATATTGAGAATGATAAGAGACAAGACAGCTGTAGTAGTTGTATAGAGTAATTACATAACCGCATATTTGTATAAGAAAAGGCACGGGCCCTGGTAATCTTACGGGCGGTGACCATCCACCGGCGGGCGACGTAATGCCACTCTAGCCTTTCCGGGACAGCTGGTCCATCAACATTGCTTCAACTCTTTCACTCTCCTCCGGGCTTTGCTTCTTTGGACCTCCTCGTCAAGGAGGTGATGCTCCTACACTGAATATCTTCCAATTCCCGTCGAAAATATCCCCGCGCAAATCATGGCTAGTGTACAACCAGGCCATTCACATGGCGACCTACACGACGACGACTCGCTCCTAGATGACGACCTGATCGAGGCGGACGATGGTGAGTGCTTCAAGGCTGGTCGCTGAACTAGTTGTCACCTTGACTTACTTTGTCTTCTTTACTAACCCGCCACACGCCCCGTAGCTCTCGATGCCGATGACCCCCTACATGATACCTCGGACACAGCCCCTCTACGAGGCAACATTGAGGCGGACAATGCCTCAAGAGGTGGACGGGCCTCTGGATATGGGAACTACCTAACCACTTCGATTCCGGGCGAAGACCGCCGCGCGACTCAGAACACTATTGATGAGAGTGTCTGGGCCACCCTGTCGCGCGACTTGATCGGCGTCGGCGAGAAGATGCGCCAAGTGTTGTGGCCCAAATATCTGCTTGGTGGCATTATGCAGCGTGGAGGCGGTGGTATCAACGATGCTGCCGAGAGAGGCGAGGCAACTGGATTTGGCCGTAACCTGCGCGGGCTCGTGGGACGCTGGCCGGATGCCGATGTAGTCCTGCAAGGTGGAATGAGTGATGGATTGCGCGATTGGGATCTCTGGTACGTTGATCTGACGCCCTCTGCTTGCGCGTGAACACTGGAGTATTAATAAACTGACAATATTTATTTCTGTAGGGGTCCTCTGATCTTCTGCTTGGTTCTGAGTCTGTTCCTCTCTGTCGCGCATGGAGACCAGTCGTCAGTGGTCTTTTCGGGAGTTTTCTGCATCGTGTGGCTTGGAGAAGCTGCTGTTACCCTTCAGATTAAACTCCTCGGTGGTAAAATGTATGTTGGATTCGACTCTCCCCTACACCTGATGTGTCCAGGTGATGCTAATGCGATATGTCTGCCTCTAGTTCCTTCTTCCAGTCAATCTGCATTATCGGCTATACACTATTCCCCCTGGTCATTGCCGCCCTCCTTAGTGCCCTCGGGCTTCCTACGATCGCCCGAATTCCCGTCTACCTCGTGCTCGTAGCGTGGTCTCTGGCAGCAGGTGTCAGCATCTTGGGCGGTTCTGGAATCGTCCGCAACCGTGTCGGCATTGCGGTGTATCCGCTATTCATGTTCTATATTTCGATCGGATGCCTTTGTTTCATTAGTTAGAGGACAAGCTGCGCCTTATTGTCGAGTCAAGAGGAGCCTCGTGTTTCTCATGTTGGGTTTGAAGAACTAACTTCAATGGTCACCTCCCACCAAGGATTCCCGTGTTAAATTGCGATTAGCACTTGTACACATATTCAATCAAATGTTAATGTTATTGCCGATTTTAACTGCCTGTGCATATGACTATTGCCATGCATCGTGGACCTTTAGCTAAAGGCTTTCTCGAGGTAGACATTAGATGCATGTCTTGACCTGTCTCGCAGTGAAATGCCGGTGATGTTGATCTTAAATTATAGTATATGGCTGCCTACTCGAACAAGGTCCAAGTGTTTCTTAATGCGTCGCCTTGGTCTTACTAGGAGCAATCACAAACGTGCATAATCACTAGTACATATCTATATACAAGGGGCAAACAGCTTGGCAAGTCGAATTGGAGGCTCTGGGGCTGCGGCAAAAACACCCCCACTCGGCAGCATATGGCAGGAATTAAGCCCTCAAATTGGGGGGGAGCTTTCTAAATTGAAGCTTTTCAGAGGGGCTGACCGACTCTTTCATGTTAAAACAAAAAAAACAGGACGGCTATTGTCAAATTGTTCTCGAGGGGGTGCCAATTCAATCTTTCCTGAAAGCGTTTGCTGCGGGGCGAAGCGGTGACGGACAACAACACTTCATGACTTGCTCCTTTCAACCTCCCTCTTGTTTTTCTCCCATCCCCACCAGAATATTGCCCCTGGCCCAGCTAGCTTGAGCTGCTCTGGTCGTCTATTCGATTGTCGCTTCTACCCGGATCCTGCGCTTTTACTGACTCATTCTATACCGTGCATCTGCAACAACAACTTCGCCCACAGCTTCGTCCTCGGTGACAACCACACACAATGGCCTCTGTTTCGGACGAGCCGAAGCCTTCGACGGGTGGTGAGTGTTTCCGACCCAAGCGCATTATCTTACGAGAGTATGGGGACATTGCTAGGATCCCAGCCGGTGTCGCAGGGAAGACTCGGAGAATGAGCAGAGCAACATGGCAGAGCCGGCGGGTAAGCGCCCTGGCGAGCGAGTTCCATCGTACCCCTCTTTGGGCGTTGCGCTTTCATCCGGTGTCTTTCCCTGCGATCCTGCTCCATTCCAATCAATCTGGATCCTGTTCGATCCTCACTTGCGCATTTGGGGCCTTCTAGAGTTCTGACAGAGTTTATCATCACGCAGTGACCACCCAAGATCCCCAGTCCCCACCCTCCGACAATGACGGTGGCGAGCGCCCCGTTCGCAAGCAGCTGAAGGAGACCACCATCGAGTCTACCCCATCCAAGGAGAATGGCAGGAAGCGATCTTTCGAAGAATCACGCGACGGTCCGAATGATTCCCCCCGACGACAGCAGAAGAAAACGATCACGGGAAACCACACCCAACAACGGACAGACTATCGGCGCTGCTACCTCTTCAAATGTGAGTGACAACGAACATAATCCCGAGCACCTCCTCCCGGCCACCCCAAAGGACTTGGCCAAGGGAGATTTTATCACCGAAGTGCCCCAAACGGAAATCCCGGGGACACAGCTGGATACTGCGAGACACCCGAGGCCCGCAGATCAAGGATCGTTGGACAGCGACTCTGCGTGGGAGGCATCTGATGAGCTCTCTGACGGGACCGATGAAGGTGGTTTTAGCTCTGGGCTTGACGAATCGAAGAAGCCGGAAGCTAGGGACTCCCGTAATCCTTATAATAAAACCGAAAGAACCGAACCTTCTGCTTCCCAGGTTTTTGGCAGCCCCAGCGAGCCAAGGATGCATGCAGGAGTTTCTAGCCCTTGGAACTCCGACATGTCTGAACTCTCGGCAAGCATAGAGTCCCAGGAACTCAATCTATTGGATATCCCCAAAGAACCAAAGGAATCCAGCATGTCCGCAGATTCGGAGTCCTATGAAGATCATCCGGCGCCCAAGGCTTCTTCAATCGAGCCGGATGAGTTTGAGGATCACCCAAAGTCGCAGTCGGATGATTCTAGTGATTTCCATTTATTCAATTCACCGGGCAAATATAACGAGTCCGTTGGTAGCCCAAAGGCCGAAACGACTGTTTGTAATGCTCGAAATTTGGATTTTGGGAAAGCTACGAATCATCTACAGGATGATGATCAGCCTGAGGATTCCACTTTGCTCCAAGAGAAACCCCCGGAATATAATGCCCACCCAAGAGCCTTTTTCCACCCCCAAAACTCGAGTTTCATCGAGACAGACACCAGGAACGAGAACAGCGTTAACCCAGACCCCTCATCACAGGAATCCTCGACCTCCGCAACCATCGAACCTGCGAAAGGCCTAACGAAGAAGCGAAGCAGGGAACAACTAGAAAAGGCATCACCTAAGAAGTCGGAGACGATGTCTGATCTAGCGCAGGAGTCTGACTCGGCCAAGAACGAAAGGGAGAAAAAGCGACACCGTGATAATTCAGAGGAGCGTGAAAAAACCACTAATAAGGTCCGTCCGTCCGGTTGATATGTTAATTAACCCTCTTGCTCCTACTAATCATATTCCAGCTCTTTTCTGCAAGTGCTTTCGCAAGCGCGGCTGATTCACCGTTTGCCAAACTCGCTGGAGCCAAATCGCCATTCTCGACCGAATCACCCGCTACCACAGAAGACAAGCCCGCCTCTAGTTCTGCATTTGCAGGATCTGCGCTGGGTGGATTTGCTGGCGCCGAAAAGTCCCCATTTGGCACTCTTGGATCATCAACATCATCTGTCTTCAAATCAGCTAGCCCCTTCACAGCTGCCCCAAGTGCTACTGGTTTTGGTGGAATTGGAGGCGGATTCGGGTCTGCTGCTCCTGCTGGCAAAACTAGCTTCGCATCTCCCAATGTCTCCTCCACTTTCGGGGAGACTAAGGCGGCCAAGCCCTTAGGCGATGAAGAATCTGAGAACGAGGAAGAAGAAGGTGAAGGCGAGGGTGGAGAGGAAACCAACACATTTGAGGCGGCCAAGACCGATGAACGATTCTTCGAACAAACCAGTAAGCTCGCTCACTCACTCCCTGTCACCTCACATTCAGACCAACTAACATATCCTTGCAGTTGAAACTGGCGAAGAAGAAGAGAAGACCATTTTTGTATGCAAGGCCAAGCTGTTCTCTTTCACTACTGGTGAGTGGAAGGAACGGGGTATTGGCACTTTCAAGGTTAATGCTCGGGATATTGGTGGGAAGAAGGTCGGTCGCATGATCATGCGTGCCGATGGTGCCCTTCGCGTCATGCTAAACAGCCCGGTCTTCGAGGGCATGAATTATGGAGATGCCAAGAATAAGGCCCCTACCAACAAGCAAATTTTCCTGGCCAGTACAGAAGGGGACCGCACTGTTCCTCTACTGCTTCGGGTAAGCCTTCATACTTCTCGCTTTCGCCTTAGTCTACGTCTCACTCACTAACCATTTCTCATAGACTCCAAACGAGTCTTACGCACAGGATCTGTACAGGACTATTAGGAAGCTGTTGACTGGGGAAGACGAGGACGAGAGCGATGATGAAGATGCATGAAGTTTTAGATGTCGCGGGGGTCTGTTATTAAAACCTGGAAGAGAAAGAGTAAACTAGGCTTCGGTGCATCTGGAGTTACATCTGGAGTTCGCGCGATCACTACGGTGACCGATACCTGATTATTAGCGATTATGAATTTCATACGTTGCAGACAGTTATAACTATTCGTTCTTGTAATGAGTTTCTTCCAAGTCTAGTCTGCCAGCCAGGGGGTGTATTCAGGTGGAACTCGAAGACATACCGGATGTTGAAGGTGAAACGTATTAGATCCATTCAATGATATGTACACACATCAACCATCCTTACTTCTTAACGGCAACAACAAACAATCGCGGATAGCGCAGTAATACCCGACCATCTTCACAAGCGGGATACGCTTGTTGCAGGCCCTTGAGATATTCCTTCAAGAAACCCTCTTTCTCCTCCGGCTGCAAGGGATCCAGGAATGGCCGCAGTCCAGTGCCCTTAACCCACTCAATAATAGCAGCATGGTTCTCAAGAGCATGATAATAGCTGGTGTGAAAGATATTGACCTGGGAGGAGATGGGCTTAAGCTGATCATAGATCTCCTGAGGAGTCTGGAACGTATCCCTCCCAACACTCGCAAGCTTCTCAGCCCACGGGCCCGAAGTAGCAGTTTCCCGCATCAGGACATGCGATGGCTCTGCGAGATTATCGGGGACCTGGAGGGCGAAAACGCCGCCGGATGGTTGGGTAGCCATGAGTTTTTTGACAATCTCAAAGCGTTCTCCTTTCTTTAGCCATTGGAATACGGCATTTGAGTAGAAGAGGTCGACTTCTCCTTGCGGTGAGTAGGAGGCTAGGTCTTCGACGGTAAAGTCCAGATGGGGAAGGGTCGCCTTGGCTTTGCGGATCATGTCTGGGGAAGAATCTATCCCCACCAGTTTGGCATTTGGGTAGCGCGACTCGATGACTGCGGTTGAGTTGGCTGGGCCACAGCCTAGGTCTACCACTCGCTTTGGAGATGCGAGGGGGACTCGGGAGAGAAGGTCGCGTGCTGGAAGGGTCCGCTCATCCTCGAACTTGAGGTATTGTGCTGCGCTCCAGTCGTTGAGGGCTTTGTCCCCTGATGGTTGTGCAGTGGACATTGGTCTGTAGTGGAGTGGGATTCTGGAGTTGAAGGCCTTCTGGGAGAGTTGGAATAGTCTTCTGGAGGGTCGTTGGATAAAGTAGGACATCCTTTCGAAGACACTTTCTTTGCATACCACTAGTAGTAGTAGCAATAGGAAAGAATCAATTGAAGGGTTGATAAGTGGACACGCAGAGTATATAAGCCCACGTCATCGGAACTGGGGAAATGGTGGTCTAATGCCGATCGCTGAAGGAATCACAGATGAGGTAGAAGACAAGCTCCTGAATCGGCAAATATTTAGCGAATGATTATCACAGAAGGGGTCGTATAATCCTAGAAAGTGACTGAGATTCGTTCCAACAATCGCAGAGTCGTATTGTGAGAGAAAATCCGTCACTAGCAGTTCTGCCGATAATCGGCACAGAGACTGGGGGGGGGGGGCAAGAATGTCAACTCGGATGGAATGCCGAACCTATTGCGGAGATTATAATCAGTCCGAAATTAGCAGGGCTGAATAAAATACTCCTGATTTTAATATGTTTTTTTTATGCTCATCTGGCAAAGCTCTTTTATACGATGTATTGTTGCCCAGGTGGTGCTATCCTGAGGTCAAGCCAGGCTAACCGCAACCGCAAATTGCAGTCTAGTTGCAGTATAGACCCGAGCCTGCTAAGCCTTATAACCTTGTTTAAAAATTTATTTTTTATACTTGTAGTACTGTGACTTCTTTGCCTGGTTTGATTGAGTCAGCACTGGAAGAGTTAAACCTCCACTCCTTTCATAATGACTACGCATTTTGCTCCGTCAAGAGAACGAGGACCCGCATCTACGCACATAATTAATAGCTACGGGCAATGGAATCGATCTTGTTATTGTGTGGCAATGGATGACCTCTCTTTCCACTGCCAACTACTGACCGTGAGATTCCACCATTACTACCAGTATGATCAACCCCGTTGCCTTGCCAAAAATTGACTGGCAATAGAGCGCAAGTTTGGCTTGGCTAGGTCAACGCCCTAGGGTAGCAGCATGTGCATATGTATTCAAGGCGATCTAGATTCTACCAGTGTGTTTCTAAAATAGTAATGATTGATTAACTAGTGTAGCAGATGCCAGGTATGAGGAAGTAAAAGCATTGAACACACGATACTAAGTCAGAAGAAAATGAGGAGACGAAAATGGAGGTGCGTGGCCTCGGAGCTAAGCTCGCGATGGTATGTAGTTGGAGAGAAACGCCACCTGGGCAAGAAAACACGAACTGTGAATGAAGAATGACTGGATCGATGGTGCCAGTACTACCTAGAGTAACACAGCAGATGCTAAGGTGGCAAGCTATATCACTCTATTGAGTATGAAATAATTGATAATTGAAACAATCAAATATAGTAGTACTAGTATATCCTGTCACCGGTTGACTCAGAAAGGATTCTTGAGAGCTCTAGGTATACGCAAAAAGATTTTGACGTTGGAAATTGTTTAGAAAAGCAATATAACATGAAAAGAGAGCCGCAAAAAAAATGCAAGGTAAATCTTGAAGCCAAGGGGAAATACAGATACGAGTACTATACATGTCAAACTGCGGGAGGTAGAAAGTAGAACTTGAAAAAATGCACTTTTGAGTAGAAGGGAGAAAGAAGGAGACTCCATCCTAGACTTCAAAAAATAGGATATTGACTTAATTTTTTGCATTCAACGGCGAGTTGTAGGTTGTGCCGAATCAGGTTATAGAGGCCGGTTGCACGTGACCACGCGTCGCTTTTCACCTCCCACATGCACATCTTCATCTTGCCGCTCGCATTCATCCAATACCGGCTTGGTGGAAGATCGATATGGGCCGCCAGAATGGCGGATTCCAATGAAGCAGTTCACAACGCCCTGAAACGAAAGCCAGAACACGATGAAGCCCCTCCAATTCTCCACAATGTCGCAGCAAACGCGTCTCCGGGTACTGAGTCTTTTGACACACAAGACCCCCAACAGCTAGGAAACGACCAACAAAAAAAGCGAAAGACAGACCAGGGAAAAAATTCGTCCTCAAATGGGAAATCCAAGGCTCCGAAGAAGAGAACCCCGTCCGCACCATGGCCGGATGTCTTTAAGCAACTTTCGCAGACACATCGTGCCTTGAATTTGGTGTATACCTTCTGCTGTACGCGCAAGCACTTTGCGACCACATTCGACAACATCAGAAAGGCAGTCCAGGCCCAACTTGGCAAAGGGAAAGACCTTACCGTTGAAGATGTGGCTAGAGTCAAGGCGATAGTCCCACAGGCAGTGCGCTTCGAATACGTCGACGAAGCAAGCCTTGAGGTCATGACGGTCGGTGATAGAGAGACGGTTGAATATGGGTTGCATAAGCGCCACGGCTCCCTCATTGCAGATGATCTCGCTAGCTCGGATGCCTTCCAGAATCATGAGTTTGGGAGGAACGTTTTGCTATTCGAATTTGTGGACGGAGATCTAAAGCGAGAAGTCCAGCATCCGAAAACTGGCGAGCCGTCAAAACCAGTTCGCCGGATGAAAGATGAAGATCTGAAAATGCCGGTTTACAGCCAGAAGCAAATGCTTGCTCTGATTGAAAAGCGCAACACGAAATTTTCCGACGCCATTGACGCATTCCTCGTTCGATGTGAAGACAAAGGTATAGATCCCGTTCTGATACTCGAAGATGAGAAAAATGCCCTTCTGCCAACGCCTGGGGGTAGCAGTGGGAATGCTCCTGCAGCATCAACGACTCCAGCCACCATACCGAAGGAGCGCAAGTCCATCGCGGAAATCATCGCTGAAATACGGGAGATGGAGTGGTATCATGCTCAGATTGTGCCGGAAGGTCATCGTGTATTCGATGCCCAGTCGCCTGTTTTCGGTGATTTGAATTTCCAGCTTTCGCAGGACATGGTCAATGCCCTCTACAATACGAGGGGCATCACCCAGCTCTACTCTCATCAAGCAGAGGCTATCAATCATTTGTATGATGGCCACAATGTCATTGTTTCCACCTCGACAAGCTCTGGAAAGTCACTGATCTACCAAATCCCAATGCTACACGAATTAGAAAAAGACCTTGACAGCAGGGGTATGTACATTTTCCCCACAAAGGCACTGGCTCAAGATCAGCGGCGCAGCATGACCGATTTACTGCAATACATGACTGGTTTGCAACATACGATGGTTGAAACGTTTGACGGAGACACACCCATGAGCAGTCGTGACCTTATCCGTGACGAGGCGCGGATCATTTTCACCAACCCGGATATGCTACACATCACCATCTTACCACAAGAAAGCACCTGGCGCACTTTCTTGAAGAACCTCAAGTTTGTTGTGGTAGATGAACTGCATGTTTACAACGGACTGTTCGGCTCGCACGTTGCTTTCATCATGCGACGCCTTCGCAGGATATGTGCGGCGGTGGGCAACCGACATGTCAAGTTTATTTCCTGCTCTGCCACAGTTGCGAATCCCGAGAACCACATGAAAGCTATATTCGGCGTGGAAGATGTGAAATTAATTGACTTCGATGGATCTCCCTCCGGTCGCAAAGAGTTCCTATGCTGGAACACGCCATTCAAAGACCCGACAGACCCGACCTCAGGACGTGGTGATAGCGTTACTGAGACAGCGAGATTGTTTTGCCAGCTTGTTCTTCGAGGCGTCAGGGTGATTGCATTTTGCCGAATCAGACACCTTTGCGAAGTCCTCTTGCAGGCTGTACGCAACGAATTCCGAGCTCTTGAAAGAACAGAGGTTGGCAAAATGGTCATGGGGTATCGAGGTGGTTATAGCCCCCAAGATCGCCGCCGCATCGAGAAGGAAATGTTCGAAGGAAAACTCATGGGTATCGTGGCAACTAATGCCTTGGAATTAGGCGTTGACATTGGCTCCCTTGATGCAGTTATTACCATGGGCTTTCCTTACTCAATCTCCAACCTGCGCCAGCAAAGTGGTCGAGCCGGACGACGCAACAAGGATTCCTTGTCTGTGCTTGTTGGAGACAGATACCCAACGGACCAGCATTATATGCAAAACCCAGATGAAATTTTCACTCGACCAAATTGCGAGTTGCAAATTGATCTGGCCAACGAGCTAATCCAAGAAGGCCATGTGCAGTGCGCGGCATTCGAAATGCCCATCCGTCCGGATGAGGATTGCATTTACTTTGGCCAGCAGCTTTTTGCCCTCGCAGCCACGCGGTTAACTAAGGATAGTATGGGATTCTATCATTGCCATGAACGATTCCGTCCTCATCCTTCGCGATGCGTTTCAATCCGTGACACAGAAGACCAGCACTTTGCGGTAATAGACACCACCAATAACCGCAACGTCGTTCTCGAGGAAGTAGAAGCCTCCCGCGCCTTTTTCACCATCTATGAGGGCGGTATATTCCTTCACCAAGGTCAAACCTACCTTGTCAAAGAACTCAATACCGAAAAGTTTCTCGCTCGCGTCCTTCGTGTCAATGTAGACTGGAGCACGATGCAGCGTGATTTCACCGACATCGACCCCATCGAGACAGAAACCATGCGACTAGTTAGCACCGACACCTCCGGATCTCGCGCGTTTTTCGGCGCAGTTCAGATCCACGCTGTAGTCTACGGATTCTTCAAAGTCGACAAACGAGGCCGCATCCTCGACGCAGTCGCCGTCGACAATCCACCCATCGATATCTTCACCAAGGGAATGTGGCTCGATGTGCCTTTCCTCGCAATCGAGATCCTCGAGTCCCACCAACTCAACATCGCCGCCGCGATCCACGCAGCCGAACACGCAGTCCTCGCCCTCCTCCCGTCCTTTGTCATTTCTTCACCGGGCGACGTGCGTACGGAATGCAAGGTCGCCAAGAAAGAACTCCGCCGTTCGCTCCATCGCGCCAATGACACCGAGCAGGAGAAGATCAGGAAAAGTCTCCAGCCGCCGAAACGACAGCGCCCCGCTCGCCTTACGTTCTACGATGCCAAGGGCGGGTCGTGTGGTTCTGGCATTGCGAGTAAAGCATTTGAGTTTATCGGGTTGCTTTTACGTCGCGCTGTGGCGCGTATCGAGGCCTGCGATTGCCTTTCGCCGCAAGGGTGTGTTGAATGTTGCTGCGATGAGCGGTGCAAGGAGATGAATGTTGTGATGAGTAAGGCTGGCGCCGGTGTTATTTTGAGATGCTTGCTTGGGTGGGAGGTTGATGTCGATGCTTTGCCGTGGGGCGAGGAACTGGATGGCGAGGCGTTTGGCGCTGGAGAGCTGGCGGGTGGACTGGAGACGGTCATTAAGGCGGGGGATGTGCCATGGAAAGCTGGCTGCCGTCCCGACAATGGACAGTCGGATCATGTGGATGTTGATAGTGAAAAAGTGCCGTGAAATCATTAGTCACGTCCGAGAGGATGTGTAGTACATGCAAGTTAGACAAAATCTGATGCAGCTTATATGCCTTTCACAAGTTTGAAGTTCTGATGTTCGAATTCTTTGATCCCGGACAGTGAGTGTTCCAGCGAGGAGGTTTCTCGATGTAGAGAAAGGCCCAAAAGAAATGATTGTTATTAGTATTTGTTGAATGATATTCGAGCAGTTGGGTATAATAAATGTACACATCAAGTCATGACCGCAGGAAACCATGCAAAAACCAGAAATGGGGAATATGGTAGTGGGGATGGAGATGGAGGGAGTAAAGGAAAATAAATGCTGAAAGATGGTGGAGGCAACTGGGTAGAGGTAACTGTAGTGAGTAGAGCAACTGGGTAGATGGTAAAGACCTCGGGAAGCCAGAGAGAAAGCTCTGGACGGTGATGAGAGTTTTGGTAGACGAAAAAGCACGCGCGCACACGAGACAAAGTGCCCGCATAATGCCGGTAGGCAATATTTTGCGCCAAAATGTTTCACCAACTGGGCATGGGAGCCATATGTTCATGAAATCTCAAGTCCAGTTCCAAATGGGCAGGAGATGGGATTGATCAAAGCAAAAGTCTCGCATGCTAGATGACTGCTTGTGGTGGTCTGGTCTGGTGTGGTAGACCAACCAACTCCCGAATTATCGCACTGGAATATCATCGATAGCAGAGCTTTTCAATAAAGACCACTGTGGCTACTTGAAGGGCTGTGCTCATCATCTTGCTCATCCATATTCAGCTTCCAAAACATCGACTTCATATCTCGCACATTTTCGCGGAACTCGTCTCGGGGCTGGCTCATGCGTTCTGCAGAAAGGGCGCGGATTTCGCGGATAATGTCAAAGTATCCTTCGTCGTTTGGGAGCCACCAGTGTTCGAGTTCGGGGAGTTGCCAGATAGCGCCTAAGGCTTCGCGGAATTTTGGAGGGATGATGTAGCTATCAGAGATGGAGCGTTAGCATTTTAAATCCTTGAATGGACTTGCAGTCGGTAATTGTTTGCACTCACCCATTTTGTTCCATCATGGCCAGCTTCCGCCGAGACCACATTTGGTGCTTATTATCCTTGGTAAGGAACATGCTGGAGAGACCAATGCTATTCTTGTACCCAATGCAGTGCCCATAACCCTTGTTCGGCCAGCGGTCAATAGTTTCGAGCAGTCGGCATTGTTCAAATGCCAGGCTTTGCAGTTCTGGAAGTAGGGGCTGCTTCAAGGCGAGCATCGTTTGATACTTAAACATCAATTCTGTCGAGAGAAGGTCGATCCAAGCGTAGTTTGCATCCCACAGTGGTCCCGTATGAAGAACGCCTGGCACATAAGGATTCACGATGTCATCCTCAGTCAAGGGCTGCTGGTTCGGATAAGACATGACAGTGTATTCAGAATCATCAAACTCTCTGATGATATTTTTCGCCCGTTCCATCGTTTGGCCGAGTTGCTGGTTCTGGACAATGAACTGGTCCATTGGAATCAGACCACGCGACAATCTGGCATACAACGAGGCCATCTCCAAACCGAACCGGCGGTTGATTGATGCAACCAGTGCGAGCTGTTTCGCAGGGTCGTTGGGGTATAATGCCGCTTGCTCTGCGTCGTATTGTTCCTTGCCGATGTACCAATTTCGAGGGAGGACCGCCTCAGTGCCAGCAACGATTCCGACTACGATGTCGAAGCGTGCGTACCATAGGAAGATATTTGTGTGTAGTTCAACGGTGTTGGAGGATTCTGGGGTGAGTATTTCTCGCACCAATGCGTGAGATGCTTGGTGATGATCGATCAAGTTAACCCAGTCTCCAATATACTCCTATGGTTGGCGATAAGAGTCAGCGAATGATTCACAGTTACAGCCTGTCATTGTCAAAGAAATACCTCAAAAGTCGTCAAAACAAGAACGGTGCACAATGTTGCTTCCGTGTGCTCCTCTCCAGAGCCCAGTGATTTCCGCAAGAGAACCAGGGCTTTATTATAGTATTTCAGAAAAGTATAAAGCTTTGCTCCTGGCACACTGAGGGTATGAAGATAGGCGGCGAATCCTACCAGTGCATATAACAAAGGATCATAGCCCATCGCCAGTTCGATAATGCTGTCATGGATGAAGCGGTCGCTGCTGGATCTCAAGAAGAAATGTTCGTGCGAGATGAATTCTTGATGGTAATTCAGGTAAAAACGCAAGTCCTCGGACAGCCGGGAGGAGTTCAATAGGTCGAGCGTGGTATGGCTGATGCTAGCCGATCGCACGCTCATCGATTCAAAGCGGGAAGATGACTCAGTTGAAGGCGAACTACTTGGGTCCAGATTGTTGAAATTTTCAGACTCGGGCGTCTGCCTCGTGTATCTGTGCATCGACTGTCCGCTCTGTGTTCTGTTCATTTCGGGGCGAGACTTGCCACCACTGGCTGGTGGTGATGGCCGCGATGTCGGACCGGAACTTCCGGGTTCTTCTTCATCGATGATGGGTTCTAGAGGACTGACTAGTTCAGGATCTGGCTTTCCAGAAGAATCACTTCCTTGTGAAGGCGGGCGAGAACCACGCGATTTCCCCATGGCCCTCCCTCCGACCTTGGAGGCGGGTGATGCCGCCGGGGACGGATAGACACATTCTCGACTACCTTTTCTGCAACGCTCACAAAGGGGACGAGATTCATCGCATTTGATACGACGAGCACGACACGTGAAGCAGCCGCTTCGGGTGCGTTTGTGTTTCTTTTGATCCGGGATGGGTTGGAGCAAGGTCGGTTGCTTGGGCGGGTATGGCGGAGCGGGTACGGCCATCGCCGGAGCGGCGGCGGGATCATGCCAAAACGCAACGCTGTCGGGATACTGCGTGGGCCCAAAGAGCGAATACGCGGACATGCCTGAGTCCTGCTGCATTGAATCTAAAAAGCCGGCCAAACCGGGCTGTGATTGATGATATGACTGCGCCATGATGGTTCAGGTGGTTCCAAGTCGACGCGGATTCCCCCTTCAGCTCAGCATGTATCTCGAATGGGAGATTGCATCGTAGAGGATGACGATGCGTAATATAACGGGAGAAGAAGAGAGAACAAGTGGGGACTCGAGGGAAACCAAAAATAAAGAAAGAGAGAGAGGAAGAGAGGAGAAAGAGGCGGGAAAAGTGTCAAAGAAAGACGTGTAGAGAATAAGAACAAGAACAAGAACAAGAAGTGTAGGGGGTGGGGTGAGGTTGACCCAGACTATTGGAACCAGGATGTGATGTGCGGAGATTAAAAGAAGCCTGAGAGAACCTTTTTTACTTTCTTTTTTCTGCATTTTTTTATTTTTATTTTATTTTCCTATTGGATTGGATTTGCATAAATGATTCTTTACATTCTTTGCCTTCTCGGGGCCGACTCCGGTCCACATTGGATACGAACCAACAAGGTAAGGTCTTTTTATCTCCATTGCCTCCCTTCTGAGTATGTTCATTTCTTGGAGTATGGTTCATGGGTCTGACCCAGCAACTAACCACTGCTGTTCTCTAATCATGGCAGCGTGCTTTTTTTCTGGGTGGAGAAGAGCGGAATTGAATTCCAACTACGGAGTAGCTCGTAACTCATACGAGTACACTAGATGAAGCCCAAGAGGAGTGGGAGGAGGACGAGGGGGGGTTAGGAGAAATCTGAAATTCACAACGTAGTATTTACAGATCCTTGATGTACAGTAGCACTGCTTCGATGGGCCCCCCTTTCTTCCCCACTCTAGTTGGGGATCATCCTCTGGGCTTATTTTTATCCTTAATCCTTAGTCAGAAGATCCCCACGAGCCTCGGGTCTCGGTGAACTTGAAAGGGGGGCGGAGGTTTTGCTGGGTGACGATCCTCGCAAGCCACAGGGCGGTGATATCACTAGGAAATTGAATTTCCTGAGGCTTGAGGATGGGGTGGCTCGAGCCCCAATTTCTGGGTCCATGCAGGCCTGTGATGCACGCGCGAACGAACGAGAAGAGGGGGGATGATCATAGCGTCTGTCAATTTGCTGGGTCGCGCGCGCTCACTCCCGGTCAAGCATGCATACTAGTAGTAGTACTAGTAATAGATCCCACGGCTTCTCTTCCTCTCTCCCCAGCTTCAATTTAACCGCCCTCTGGGTCGAGCAAGAACCCGTCGGAACCATCCCGAATACAGCTGTCGGAATTTTCTCACCTGATTAAATTGATTGTGCACCCTCTGGTACAAAGTGGAACCTGCCGAGAAGAGGTCAATAGCGTGGGCCTAAGGGACAAGATGGACGGAAGACACCTCGGTGATGGTTCAAGCTTCGGAAGATTGGGGCCCGAAACGACAGGCCGGGTCTGATAGAACGGCGCATTCCGCACCAGGTGACTGGCGCAGTCGGCAAATCTGAAACCTCGAGGGGCGCCGGCGCATCGAGAATATGCCGAAAACGTTCTGTTCATGACGGAGATGCCTGGGTGGAGCCCGGGTTGTAACTAAGGGACTAGAGAAGTGGAGCCGCTGAGCTCATGAATGGAATTTATGATTCATGATTGGGAAGGACGAGCCGGGGAGGTGTGTGGAGGAGAGCGAGACGGGGGAACTTGATCCCAGCTTCCGATGGGGGTAATATGCGTGTCTCCATGGTCATTCCAGGGATAGGAGGAGGGTGGAAACGATGCATCTCAGCTGAACGCTGCCATGTTTTCTTACTAGCATCTCGTCTGTGTTTTCTCCCCTTTTTCTCTCTCTTCCCTGTGGCGATGGAGCAATGAGTGTGTCCGGCTTGAATCGGCGGTGCCTGATCGACCAGGGTTTGACAGGTGCGCACAAAAATAATAAATGGATAAATGGAAAAAAAAGAAGAACAAAAAAAACAAAGGGTGGGCCGAGTAGATCAAAAAGACGCTAACGACAGGTGTGCACTGGGATCGACTCCATCGGACTTGAGCTCTCCAGCACGATCATGATCATGATTGCAGGGGCAAGGAACAATGGTAGATCATCACGCCAGTGGCGGTTTTCCGTCCTATTCGTCCGGGTGAGAGGGGAAAACTAGCCTAACCAGAGTCAGGAGGGCTAAGGAACAGTCCGTCGCAAGCCCAAACTGCCTTAGACACCTCACTATCGACGACGGGACCTGCACAGTGCACCGACCTTCCGACATTTCTCGCCATGTGGGTGAAAGGTGAGCCGGTCAAACGCTAAATGGTGCGCTCCTTGACAGACTGTGGACCAGAGGCCCACAATGCCCCTGCTAGGTTCCACCGCGCCGCGCTGTTCTTACTGCTCTGCGATGTACCATCTCGAAGTCGATCCTTGTCTATGTCAAGTCTAGCAACTGCACTGGGCCAAACTGGGTAACATCTCCGTCCTAGATCTTATGCCTTCCCCATCATGGCCATAGCTGTTACCGGGACTTGGGGAAGGCCGGTTGATGTCTCCACTTGTGCGGACTGTACCCTATGCCTATTTTGGTTGGTCGTGAGAGAGTACTCCGTAGTACCAAACTTATCCTTAGAAACATTTCAAGGACGACGGCTGCAGCAAGAAGAAGAATGGAAGAGTGCGTGGGGCGCCAGGCTCGTATTGTCGTATACGTCGACCGCAGATACGTAGAATAGAATGTCCATTGGCAAAAAAGCTCGACGAGAGGCTTTTGAATTCTCAAAACCAGCATAGTCATTGAATGATGTTTCTGAAATGATCCATGTGTCAGATTCATTGTGCAAACAGTTAATTCGACCTAGAATCCAAAACATCAATCCGCCAGGCGGATAGCTGAGGGAAAAGAGACCCGCAATGCTCGAAACCGTAGACCCGCATGGTACTCAACTTGCCACAGCTCGATCTAATTCCACATGACAACTCTGGCCATGATCGGCATCTTTCAGGGTATCAGGCAGTCATTTACGGATACGCATCACATTACATATGTGGCTAGCGGGTTGCAAGTCAGCCTCATCTGAAAGGAAAGTACTACTAGTAGTACTGATCATATATCATGAAGCATACTCGGCTTCAAATCTACATACCATGCCAGAGCAACAAACAGTAATGGTATAGCATTGGAATCGAAGCGTTTTTCTTCTCTTCTCCGAGGGAAAGACTACAATTTCATAGCAATGTGCCGTACGACTGCGTGCAATTATGAATCTCCACGATCAGGTCCACCTTGGCCATGATCCGGCGGAAAAAAGGACCATCAGTTGAGATAGCTGAAAATCCGCTCAGGTCCACATACTAAGACCGGATCTCTATCACCCGGATCCGTTTTTAAAAATTGGCGGATTTGAGGATCAGACGATGCTTAAAGAAAAGGAACGTGTCAATTTAGTAAACCGATTGAATTTCATGGAACGGAGTCATGTAATCCAAGGAGGGTGCTACATAGGAAGCTCCCTTGTAAGGTCACGCACACAAGACCAATTATACTACGCCCTTCTTACGGCCGATAGATGACAGCACTGTTGGAATATAGGACGCGGATAATAGAACCTAATCTCTTCTAAAGGCCTGATACAGAATTTCACATACAATCTGCAGTACAGCAAAAACCGGAAAACAAGGGGTAGAAATTCAGTCCAATGCAAGATGCGGCTTCGTTACAGCGCGGTAAATAGAATCAAACTTCAGCTGAGATATCATCTTCAATGAGGTCAAAAGGTGTAGCAAACTAGCCATTCCAGGGGCTGACGCAGCCTCTCGAGGTGGCTTGAGACTTAAGCTGGCCATTGAAGTCTAATCAATAACAAACATGTTCCTCTATTTTTCACCATTGGTTGTCAGGCAAGAACATACCAGGAATACGAAGCAAAATCAATGTTGGAAGATGAAGAATTCTATAGTCAATTTACAATTGAAACCTGGACCTGAACCCGAGAGGTCAGGATCTTATATCCAGTAGATCAGCAGCAGCAGTCTCAAAAAATCTAAGCAAAAATCCAAGTTACGGAGACTCTTGCCATTTGCAAGACTATACTGGTCTACTGGAAATCAACATTGACTTGACTGTACTCTGTACGGAGTAGATAGTACGAAAAGCCACGAGCACAGCTCCAAAACACCACGCACCGGAGAGCATTACGCTCCGACACGGGGATCGGCCGATTCCAAGAGGTCCATCGGATACGACTGCCTCGACGCAAAACAATTGAAATTGAGTTGACGCCGGCCGTTTGAGAGAAAAGATGGTGGAATGGAAGAGATTGGGGGCGCAAATGTGGCTCCCCTTTTCCAGCTGGTCAACTAGTAGTAGCACTCCGTATGTACTCCGTGCTCCGTACGGAGACTGCTGGATAGGCGTCTTTGGACATTGCTGTCACGCAAACCCACATGGTGCTTTTGCACCCCTCATTACGGAGTAGCCCCCCCCTTCCCCCCCCTTCAAGGATTATGGAGGGGACGAGCGACCCATGCTGCCCCTAGCACAGGAGCTAGCGGGGGCGGCGCTGTGGGATCTGTCACTTGGCCCTCGAAAAATGCCGTGAGTGCCGGAGTGGCTGCCACGATGGGAGATCCCAACGGCGGAATATTGCCCAGGGGGGATGGCCTGGTTGCTGATCCTTTGGCTTTGGCTGGGTTTCCCGGGTTGCACTGCAGGATCCGCGGGTTTTCTGAGCCTTCCATTTCCAGTTCCATTGCCCCCTGTTAAGTTTGATGCATGTCGCGTGGCTCCGGGTGATTTGCCTCGGAGGGGGCGCTCTAGGCGCCGGGAGTTTGGAAGATGCATCAAGCATGTGATGAGACCTTGACCGGTGAGGTGGGTGCAATTTCACATCCTTGTCAGTCCTGCAAGTCCTGGGATTCCCAGCGATCTCAATGCGTGTCGCTGGATCGTTTGAGTTGGTTTCGTGGCGCTCCGTTCATCTCGCGCTATGCAGACGGGAGTATTGTGGGAACCTTGATCCAAAATTACACTTTTTTCTACTTTTTTCTCTCTTTTTTTTCTCATTTCTCTGTCTTTCGGGTTCTAAAAGTTCTGGACTGGGTGACCTTTAATTTGTGGCCCAGTTGCAATAATTTGAACTATGGATACGTTCTCTTGGCCCCATCCTCGGCATTGCCCGGCACTCAAGGGCACTCAAGCGCACTCGAGGTTGTTCTTTTGTTATTGGTCCAAGCTTAGACCGATAACCATCATCCATGGATGGTACGGAGCTAGTAGTACGGATATACGGAGTACATTGCCCAGATGTCTTAACTACAAGCTACCTGAGACCCCCGGGGGAGGGAGGTGAGTTCAAGATTGTTCAAGTTAGTCCCTTTCTCTAATTCCGTACATAATGTAAGTTTTCGATATATTTATAGTCATTAATCGTCAATGGCCGGGTGATATCCTTCCATCTTGGGAAACAATCTCCCGATAATTGGCAAATCCCTACCCTTCATTGCCAACGGCGGGTCGCTTCACCGAATCATTGTTTCTGGCCTTCCAATTCCTTCAGCACCATTCCGACACCCTCAATGACAGTGCCCCATTCTGTTTCATGGACACGGGTCGCAAAGGCATCGACGTCCTCGTCTCGACCCTTCTGGAAAGGAATCTCCTTGACCAGAATCGGCTTACCCATATCCACCTCGGAAATCACATCGTGAATCATGACGCCAGTCTTATCGATCTTTCCTTCAATCCATGCAGCATGAGCCCGTTCAATTGCATTCTAAACAAATCAATGTCAGAAATTAAGATCACCAAAGAAAAGAAAAAAAAAAGGCACCTTTAACCTAGCGGGGCGCCAAAAAAAAAAAGCTCTCGCTTGGGAGGTTACTCACCACTCCATTGAATTGACCAGGCAGCGCAGGATGCAAATTGATAATGCGAACATTCGCCTTCTCCAACGGCTCCAGGAACTGGGGGGGATAGGATGTGCATGAAACCGAGACAGATAACCAATTCCGGCCCATCGGCCAGAATCAGGCGCGCAAGCTCAGCATCGTATTCCTCCCGCGCAGCCTGAATGCCCTCCGTCGTCGCAGGGTGCTGCTTCTTGTACTTGACGAGATTGTGGTATAGTGTAGGGATGTTGGCCTTGCTAGCACGCTCGAGACCGAAGGCGTCCTTGCGATTCGAGAGCACGCGAACGAGGGTGGTGTTCAGCTGGCCCTCTGCGATTTTGTCGATCACAGCTTGAAGGTTGGAGCCATTGCCTGAAATCAGGACTGTGGCACGGATCGGGGCAGACATTGCGTGGATTCGATTGGTTTGTAGGAGGTTTCCTTGAAGCGAGTAGGTGTGGTTTGGTGGGATTTCGGTCGCGCGGGCTCGTCGTCGCGGTTCGGATGGGTTGTAAGATGTTCCGCGATTACCTACAATGGTTCCCCGTGGATTGTGAGGATTCGACCCGGTGATCGGATCAATTGGTGAGATTGTAGAATGAAAACTGCACAAATTGAAGAACAAAAAGTCGAGCCGGTGTCGGTGCTGGAGCTTCGCCGCGGGAATATTTTCGCTTACGTGATCGAGGGGCAGCGGGGCAGCGATCTACTAGTATAAGGGACAATAGTACTCCGTACTGGTACTACTTGTAGAATAACCTGAACAGCCTGGGAACTTGAACTTGAACATAAACTGTACAATTTGGTTGATAGACTATGCTGATGGTTGTGCAGGTCTCTTAGTCAATATATTCACTCTCGCAACTTGAACCTCCACTGGAACAAAGTTGTCCTAGATGACGATTCATGCCCGGGTAAGTACCAGCGCCAACAAGAAGCCATGAGAATACCAGGCTAAGAAAAATCCAGACAAGAACCAACCGAGACTTTGAAAGATAGCTATTTTCTAAACAAAGAGAAGGGACAGAAAAACGCGCCATCTCTTGGCCAAGAGAATAAATGGAAGACGCAAAAAGGTATGAAAAGCGCCCAAAAATGGCGCAACAAAGACAGAATGCCGGGGGAGATATCCATGAAGAAAACTCGTAAAGGCTCTAAGCAGACGCTGAATGCTAAAGTTCAATGAGGAGAGAGGTAAAAGCCCAAATGCCAACGGGGCGACTTTACAGCGAGGGTTGAAGACATAGCGCATTAGATGGCTGTGCCTGGGAATGCAGGAGGTGGTTCGGAGGTTGTTGGTTCTTCGCTATTGGAGGTTTCGTGGACGCCTTGGCCTCGACAGAGAGGGCATGAGTTTCGACCCGTGGTCAGCCACTGTCAGTTTGGTTAGCACTCAGGGACCCACGGCAAACACCAGGAGGATAGAAGATGTAAGAGCTCACCTGATCAATGCAGTCTCTATGGAAGACGTGTTTACATTTGTTCAGCTCACGAACCTCTTCGGCTACTTCGTAATCACTCAAGCAGATTAAGCAGCGCTCTCCATCGGAGATCTGAATGACGCCTGCACCACCCACTGACTCTGCGACCAAAGACCCACTGTACTCGACAAGACGGAAAAGACCACCTGCAGAATTAACATCGTCTTGACTTGCGACGGGAGGCTTGGCGGGACCCAAAAGAGACGACAGAAGAATCATGTCCTCGTATGTCGGGTTCTAAAAATTTCGATATTAGCAAAACCTCTCTCAAACAGGGATTAGTATAGACTTACATCAGTGAAGAGGCTCGGCGTTGTCAGAGCTGGATGGTTCTCGGATAGGTTGGTCCCGACCACGTAAATGAGCCAACTTCTGCCCCCGCTAGGGGGAGGCTGGTCAGGCTCAACCACGCCATTGCGGCGAACAGACCCTGACCCAAGAGCTCGATGACGGGCAAATTCGGAATCACTTCGTCGTCTTTGGCGAGCGGCATTCAGTGGAACAGCGTCTTCAGACGGTCCAGGGGAGGCTGCATGGATTGCCCTTCATGTAAATGAGGTAGAAGCGCAGGTGACAACGCAGATGCAGACGACGGTCTGCGGCTTGGGGTTGAAGTTCCAGAGGAGACGGCAGACAAGCCTTGTTCGGCAGGGGTGGAGGGTGGAGGATGAGGCCCAGGAGGACTTTCGGACATTGCGGATGGAGGGTAAACCGGATTCGCAGGTTGATGTCCAGCATCAGGCATTCTGCGTGAAGGATTAAGACCTGCTTGGCGCAAGAAATCCGGGACTCTGGGTGGTGGGACCCCTGCGAGGCCCCCAGGGCGTGGAGCAGGAATTCTCGGGTGGCCTTCTGTACCTTGTCCTAGATCACCTTGTGCATCCTGGGGCCGTGGAAGGAACGGCAACCCGAGTAGAGCATCGAGACCGGCGCTACCGGGGGCAGGTGGCCCCTGGTCACTGTTGGCACCGTTGCCCGACGGAACAGATCGAACACCAACCACAACCAGCGTGACAGTTCGTCCCTCGGCTCCTTCTGGTGTTTCGTCAGCAGTTACCCCATCGTTCGGGGACCTGCGATTCTCTAAGTTCTCTGGGGTTGACCCAAGAGGATTAGAGCCGCTGGGGGAATCTGAATTGGCAAATCGGAAGACTCGCAAGAAATTGACCGGAGGTGTTGGGCGATCATTTGGAGGTTGACTAGGTCCTTCTCCGCCAGCCGAAGAAGGTTGTTCTTGGGGGGGAGGTAGCATGTTGTAAGCTCTGTATGAAATTTTCAAGCGAACCGTCAAGTCCGTCATTGCCTAGGGCCTGTATGTTCGGCATAGCAGGGCCTGTGGTACCAGACAGTTGAGCAGCAATGGCAGCTGCCGCGAGTTGTAGGACTCTAGAAAGAGGGGTCTGTTCTTGTGGTCGCAATGTTCTGGATGGCCGTGCACGGATGAGGCTAGGAAGTCGACGCATTCCCATGATGCCAGCGTTCGGCTGATCGGAAGCGGGCAGGCCTGCAGTGAATGAAGGTGGCTCCATTCCGCCAATATCGGGTGATGGCTCCCCAATTGATTCTCTCCAGTCCAAGCGGGTGTCCATTTCATGCGGTAATGGTTCATTAAGCAGATGCGGCGGGTATTCATGAGGTGGAGATATCTCAGAGTGTGGCTGGCCAAACATGTGAGATATTGGCGTCGATATCGAATGGCGCACACGATTGAGACGTGCGCTTCGTCGCCAAGAAGCCCGATTGGGCTCAGAGAGTCGCCGCTCGTTATTGGGGGCATCAGAGGTGCCCGATGAGTCCTCGCGCGAGGGAATGAAGTAAGGCCCTCTAGTAGACCTCCGGCGAGTCACTCCTCTTGATCCCAGCGCACTAAAGGGGCTAAAACGACCACTGCTGTGGCCTGTTTCGGACCTCGGGGGTGTTCTCGACACTAGTCCATGGCGGTGTGCATGGCCTTCTGCAGGCGTCTCTTCTTGGCTATTTAGAAGCCCACGAATAACCGAGTTGGGCAGGAATCTAGATCCCAGCCTGGACATGGTAGATTGTCTTCTTATCATCCGAGCAATGGCCGCGGAACGGTAAGCCCGTTCATCAGCATCTTGAAGTTCGGTATTTCCTTCTTCCTCGATACTCCGCATCTGATGTGGACTTCCTCCGGAATAAAGTGTAGGTTGTTGCCAGGTCTCCGTAGATTCGTTCGCTTCACCCGAACCTGTTTCTTGTCCATGAGAGCGAGACATCCCCTCTCCACTCGAGGATTCGGCCTGCCCGTTCTGGTCAACTGGTTGTCGATTGTTCATATCTTCATTCCTCGCACTATCTTCGCGCTGTAGCGAGTGAGGTGTCAAGTAATCCGGGTAGACGATGTCGGGGGGGATCTCGAGCCGTAGAAGAAGACTGTCCCATAGTAGCAGGTCGCTGATGACAGTAGAGTATGTGCAATGTCAAAGACTGTCGACTGCCATAGGTATTCCTGAGCAACTTATGATGATCGTCTCGTGTTTGTCAAAGGTGTATCCCTTCACCGTTGAGTTATTCCGGTCTGGTGGAGAGTTTGTTTGGCGTTTTCCGGGCGTAGTTGACGAAATATATGATTCGGAGACGCTCGGCAGGCAGGTCGGAGTCGGACTAGGCGGAGTGAACGATAATAACCGAGGGATGAAAGAGCGTTGAAACAAAGCAACAAGGAATCGGCGAGGCGGTAAAAGGTGAACTTCAATGGACACCAGATATGTGATATGTGCTATGTGAGACAAGTTGACTGTCCAACACGAAGTATTGCGACCGGTAAGGTCGACTTGTCTGACAAATCCACGCCCTCACGTACCCAAGATAACCCACCGATGCGAGGCGATAGAGAGGGTGTAGTCCGGCGAACTCCGCGACGACGCCCAGGGGACGTGGATCGAACAAACGGGCACCGAGTGAAAGGAGGAAGAGGTGAGAGGAGGAGGAGGAGGAGAAGGAGGAGGAGGAGGAGGGGGGAGAAGGCGAAACAGGAGGTAAGGGGAGAGAGTCCAGTCCAACGTGGAAGGATGGGGTTGATAGCGCGATCGCCGATAAGTGTTGTGTTTGTTATGTTTGCTTCGAGGGTGGCTTTTTAGCTTCTCGGCAACTTTTTGGTTTGCGCCTTTCAACACCGGACCCTCGCCACTCCACCTCGAATCGAATCGAATCGAATCGAATCGATCTCTGTGGATTTCTTGGATTTCTTGGTGCTTGATGGAACTCGCCTCCTTCTGAGTATATGGCGCCTGTCGTGTCGGCCTCGTCTTTTGCCTTGCCACTGCCCCGCTGGCTGCAGCCGACAAGCCCTCGAGTTGCCCAATATGATCGTCGCAAACGCAGGAGGCAGACAAACCCATGGAGTGATGGCGAAGAGATCGATGGAGATATCACAGATGCTACAGATGCCACCTCCATGAGGGACTCGGTCCCTGCTGGACCGCCCCTGGTTCTCACGCCGAATGAATCACATCAATATCGAATCGCCGGTCTCCCTTTTGATCAAGAATTACCACAAGGGCGTTTCCCCCATGCCCCGCCCAAGAAGGATGGATACAGTAGAGGTAGACTACCGACTCAGCTATCTCATGACCTAGCCACGATGTCGACTCCTTTATACCCTCCTCAATCACCCGCGCATGCTGGTAGCCTTCGACTGCAGCACTTAGCGGCATTGACCACGATCCTACATCGATGTCTGCTCCAGGGAGACTTTACTCGAGCTGGAAGGGCATGGGGGCTTATCATGCGAGAGCAGTTTAGAGGAAAGCCGGCAGATGCCCGACTGGAAACTCGATGGGGTATTGGTGCTGAGATTCTGCTCCGGCGAGATCAGCAACCAGCCCCGTCAATTGGTCACATTGCGCCTACAGATGCAGCCACCGGTGGCCGAACGCCTCTACCATTTACCCACAAGGGCTTTGCAGAGGCAAAAGAGTACTATGAGCGGCTGATACTGAACCATCCCTACCTGAAAACTAATCCGCATTCGATCTCCGCCTTGCACTTTTACCCTGCCATGTTTGGCTTGTGGGTCTACGTCGCCCAAGAGGAAAGCCAGTTTGAAAGGGATAGAATCGATGACGAAGAGTCCGATGAACTTTCCGATGAGGACTTAATAGACCAATATGGGGAACATCGCGAGTCAAACAGGAAGCAGGCACTTGTTGCAAAGGTTCGTGGACAAGAACTAGAACAAGCTCAGCAAATTGCAACTCGCATTGACTCGCTCCTCGGATCGCCTCCATACTCTGATTCCCCGGAAATTCTCGAGCTTCGAGGCATGGTATCACTCTGGATTGGCGATTTGCTTGCTCTTTCACTGGCGAAACCCCCTCCCGAATTCCTAGATGAATATGGCTATGATGCAATGGATACGGATGGAACGGATGAACCATTTGAAGTTAGACGCGAACAAACGCTTGCTATGGAGCAGCGCAAAGTCGAAATACAAAAGTCAGAAGAGTTTCTGGAAAAGGCGAGGAAGCGCAGACGGGGTGTATCATACAATATGGAACATCTCCATATTGAAAGTCCATCAGCTCCAACATCTCCCTCGCCCCTATATTGAAAACCAGACTCGATGCTTAGACCTAACTGATATCAGATGTTGGACTGGCTTGATGTCAACGCTCCTCCAAAATGATACGTATTAGTAACAATGAACATTTCGAATAGTAATAAGATAATGAGAGGCGCTAAGACTTCAATATATGCTCGAAAAGAATAAACCATTAATTTACTGTAGAATACATAATATAAGGACTGTTTGACTTTATTTTTGCCACTGCTTCGAGGGGCCCCTGTTGCACGTGACCACGCGAGATGACCGCGTCGGACAGCCTTGACAAACACGAATTCCTCACCATCTCAAGGCTAGGTGGGAGTGGGATTACAGAAGCCCAATCTGTCTTCCCTGTTTTCAACCAACATTCCCCAGGCGCAGTAAGTTGATTCGCCATGGGGGTGGGCGATTATATCCACTCCAGAGAAGCTGGGCAGCCTCGTGCTCCTGCCGACTTAGGTCCATTGCAGCGCAAACTACGGGCCGAACAGGCTAAGGTCGGGTTGCCAACCTCATACCTGGATGCACCGAATTCAAACAACAGTGCTGTGCCGCGGTCTTTCCAGCCATTGAATGCGCCCCCTGACCAAGCTAGGCCATCTTCCGAGAACCTGCATCCCCAAAATGGAGAGCAAAAAGACCCATTTGATACCGATGTCGAGGGCGTGGATGATTCGACCATTGCTGGTACCAGTGTTTTTGGCTATGAAGATAGCCCGCAACAACCACAGCCAGCATCAAATGCAAATGTTGATGAGACAATAACCTCGCCGCGGCCATCTTACTTGCCTCGGCCAGCTCGTGGGCAACGAAACTCCTGGTATGGAGGAGGCCTTGGCCTCGGTGATCAACTTATGAAGAAAGCCGGATTCGATACTGATGATGCTGGAGATACGACCAGCCAGGCAACATCATCTACTGGAGGCGATGACGAGAAGAGCGAAGAGCCCAATACCAAGCCTTTGCCGTGGCAGGCGTCGCATAAGCACCGCTCAACAGAAGAGCCATTAAGCAAACGCCTTGAAAACTTTTGGTCTGCAAGCAGAAAATCTTCGGCAAAGCCAATGGGTATGGTGACAACAGAGCCGCCACAATCACCCGGCCATGAGAACATTGCTTCTGAAACTCAAGCACCGGCACGGAAATTGGGCCACATGCTTCCTCCTACCTCAGCTAGGAAGATTATCTTGCCTCATAGCATGTCAGGAACCGGAACACCGAGGACAAGAACACGTTTCAGCCCTCCGAAGCAATCACTGTTTGATCGTCTGGATATCTCGCCAACCCGCCATGGTTCCGAGCCGCCTCCCGAAACTGGACGGACCATCAGCATGACGGCTTTCCAGGAGCCAGACCATAGTGAAGAAGGGAGCCTTCATGATCTAGATGAAACCATTCGTATCGGTAGCAGCCGAGCTAGCGAACATTCGGTCCATCTCTTCGATATGACCAACTTTAGCGACTTGGACCGCGATGGCGATGACGAAGACTTGTTGCGCGACCCTTTTCTATCACGCTCTACTGCCAAGCGTGAGCGACGAAACACAGTCATTCGCACGAACAACAAACGCCAACTAGAAGGAGACTATCCCCCACAAGTGCTCTATCAAAAATCCTTTACCGAGCTACAGGCAGAGCCTTTTGAGAAGGCTCCAACCCCGACGCCTCCTCCAGTGAAATCTCCACCACTGCCTCCTAACCCTGCCCTTCTTACCAGCATGCAATCACCCAATGGAGCCGCCTCTCAGGTTCTGAGCCTGTCAGACCAAGATCGCCAGACATATCTGTCTCGTATGTCTGTCGATGAATGGGAGGATTGTGGCGACCAGCTCATTGATCGGTTTAGTCATCTGCTCACTGAGATGAAGCAGTTGCGCCGGGCTCGCCGACGCACGGCTGCAGTGTTCGAGAACGAGGTTCTACGCCGCCATGACCAGATCGAAAACCAGGATTCAGAGCTCTCGATGAAACTGAACGAAATGAGATCCGGCGGTGTTGAGGTTCTGCGCGGACGAAGCTCATGAGCTGATGAACTTCTTCTTTTCTTGCCTTTTCTAGGCCTCCCCCTTCTCCCACCTCCTTCTCTGTGCCAAATTCTGGTGTCCTTCTTATTTTGTTTCGAGATGCATCACCTACGATATCCATGGAGACCTCCAAATCCCGATCACGGATCGGGACATTTCATTTCTGGCCATACTCAATACCCTATCCCTAGCACTTCTCAGCTATCTTGGTAACTATTAATATTTTTATTTACGCGAAGAGCATGTTCCATGACGATGTGGTCATTATCCGAAACAAATATTGATCTAATAAAGAATGTATGATATGCACAATCGCACAGCCTAATTGCGCAAGCTATGCCATCTAAAATCCACATACAAGATCCCAGTAAAAATCAACAAACTCCAAAAACACCATGACGACACATAAATGCAAGAGAGTCGCGCCAAAAGAATGTGAAAACAAGATGATCGTTTGGTGTATAGAGTTATCAAGATGCTGGGCCGGCCTTGGAAAGTGCAGCAGCGAGTCGCTTGTAATCCTCCAATAGAAGAGCAACATCCCCAAGGCGGAGATCACTTGCATTTTGAGTTTCTAGAAATCGTTGAATAGGAGGTTCCACCCTCGCTGACGACACGTGGAGAGAGCTTGCGCCACTACTATTTACCTCTGCCGAAGCAGGGGAAGTTTTGACCCGGTTCAATGCTGCGGGGGATACTGACCGGCCAGTAGGAGTTTCGGGTCCAGCACGACCGAACCCCCCTAATCATACCAGGAAAATGGTTGAGGGGATTCAGTGTATTGCCAAAATTCCTCATTGATTCCAAGGGGTTGGGACTAGCCGCCGCCGATGGCGTTTGGACGTTTTCGTTATAAATGGATTTCTTGCTGCTCGCTTGAGTCCTTGCACTATCGGTGCTGCGGTCTCGAGGTGTTCGGCCACCACTAGCAGTTTCTGCATCCCTAGCACTCGGACGCAACTGCGAATTCTGTTCGCTAGAAAGAGCATTGATTGTGGCCACCTCCTCCGGCGTGAGACTCTTGCTCGCGGCAGTCTCGGCAACAAATCGTCGAGCATCGGCTAGCGTCTTTGGCAACAGGGTTCCAGTTCCCGGTGAACTGGACCCTTGATTTGTTTGGAGCTCTTTGAGACGCCCGAAGAGGAAGTTAAAACTGTTGTCTAAAGACGCGCCAATGTTTTTTAGACTTTGGTCGGCCGTGTTTCGAACAGCGTCGTTGGCTGCTTCAAGGACCTTGGTGGGAGGCTGGAAGAGATTACTCAGTCGACGCTGTTGCGGAGTTACAGAAGGGCGAGGTCGAGGTAGAGTAGAAGCTGACTCTTTGACTTCCGGTTTAGCGATCTCAGGCGAAGCAGATACTGTGGTCACGGAAGAAGTTGTTGCTTCTTTTGTTGGTCGAAGAGGATCAACTCGCTCTGAAGAAGGAGTTGTAGATATACTGGGTGTCTTAGGTGGTCCTTCTTGTGGTTCATCTGCGCGTAGACTCGACAGTTCAACGTCTTCCAAAAAGCTGATCGCGGCTTCAAGATTAGTCAAGCAATAAGCAGTTTCGCCATCGATCTTAGTTGAAGATCTAAACCGCTGAATGAAAAGGAGGTTGCTGATAATATTTATCCCTTCGGGCGGGCATGTAACAAGTGTGTAGATCAAAGTGGGCAAAATTTCATCTGCCGATGAAGTAGACGGTAGCAGCTTTGTTAAAGCATCAACAATAGCTTTGTGGGCAGCTGCGAGTTGTTGTAATTTACCGAGAGGATAGTGCTGGTCATTCATATTCGCAAGACATTCTCGAGCCTGGGCGAGGCAGTCATTTGCTTCTTGCTGTTTCTCATCGGCAATCGTCGACATATCAAGGTCGATACCGAGGTCTTTCAAATCGATACCCACTAAGAGCAAAGCCGCGGTCTTTGAACGCAACTTCTCATCCCGGACGTCATCCAAGGTTGTTTTGTGCCTCCAGACTTTATCATAAACAAGCTCACACACTCTACGCTCGGCAGCTTCTTCAAGTGCAGCTCGTTTCAGCTCCAGAGCTTTGCGTGCTTTTCGTCTCCCCGCAACCTCTTCCGCAGTCAACATTTGCCGACCAGACCCACCTCGAACATCTTCTTGAGACGGTTTACTTCCTAGCTTCAAGAATGCACCTCCTCGCGACTTCGACTGTACTTGGGGTGTTGGATCGCGGTTGATGCGAGATGCAAGCGCTGAGATATGGGTAGCGATGTGTGACTCCGAACGGCTGTAAAAGACTTGGAATAGTGAGGATATTTTGTCGATTGTGGGAGGCGAGTTATGGACTTTGGCACTGAGGGAGTTGATGAATCTATTGAGGTTAGCTATCACGCATGCGCATGTAGCGAAGGATTACATAGATAGTCTGCGAACGTACCGGTCCGTTAAGCTAACCAGTTCAATGGGAAGCTCTTCGGAAGGATCTTTCAAGCTTCGCGAGAGCACAAAGCCTTCATCCCCGTGCCCATCCCCCTCGCCACTCGACTCAGCAGAGCCTCGTCGCTCGAACACATCGGGACCCTTTGCCTGCCCCTCGATATCGATCGCCGATGTTAACGGCTGGGCCGGGACGTTTGTTGAGTCTGTCGTTGGGTTCGATCCGGAAGGGTGGGTGTCTGTATTCTCCATTCTGGTGAACGAGCGCGTCGAAGTCAAGTGTTGGCCAGGGCCATCGCCAGAGGGGCCAGACATGAGCAAGCTGGGTCTACGAGGCACTAAATCGTAAGTGACTCCGCCAGGTCCAGCTGATAGGCTCACGCAGATCGACGTCCGAGCTCCGCAAGTTGAGACCAGCTGCAGGCAGAAAGTCAAAGAAGCCCCGCCAGATCATGCAAATCCTTGACAATTTCGCAGAAATCAGCTGCTCGTGACAAGACTCACCCACGCGGCCAGAAAAAACGCTCCGGAATCTGTCGCAAGTGGACCGTGACGAGCAGCTCCACGTGTAACATACCAAAGGCAACGTCACGGGAACCTTACATAACCGACTTCCATGTTGACAGCTGCGACAACTTGCTGGGCTCAACACTTTCGAAATTCGGGGTAGATCTCAGGTGAGTCTGAAATACAAAATTGAAAGAGAATCTCCTCCAGCAGTTCTATCGGTCTCCTCGTCAAGTCAGTTGCCTTTTACTCGCCTTCAAAAACCTCGTCCAGTCTATACGTCCCTACTTATCCACCAGACTGGATGCAACGAGAGATTCAACGAGACTCAAGGTTCTCAGTTTCACAGAATCAATCGCAGCGTTCGTAGGCCTATTAATGACCAGCGTTGCTCACGCTGCCTCATTTTAGATGGCTCGTGCATGGATCGAGCGCTCTTGCGGGTGTCACTTAGGATTGTCTCTACTTGGATCCTGCCTAGTCAGCCCGGTATGGTATCATTATTCGCTCTCAAAAACAATATCTTAGGTACTTTGTCTATTTTGATTTGAATACGTTTGTGGAATATTGAAGACCACTGGATAACCGATTGTATGTGAGCTTGAACCTCGTGATATTTTTAAGTTGTCGTATCTATCTCTCTATAGATTCAATGAACAGAACTGTATATACCTTATTACTGCCCAGGAGATGTCCGAGGCATCCGTGCAAAACGGTACTCCGTAGCATCATTCGGGATCACTCCTAAAATGCAGCAGGGCTAGGTAGCGTGGCAGGGGTGTTCTTGCGAGGGCTGCTCTGGACCAAATGCTCGAATGATGCAGCATCATCAACACGAGGGGTGAATGGCTCAAAATCCCAAAGATAACCAAGGGTACGTAGAAGGGAGCTGGCCGAGTATGAGACAGTCTTACCATCGTTGCTCGTGCCCTTCTGCTCAACAAATCCCTGGCCAACCCAGGGGGAGATAAGAAGAGTCGGAATACGGCCTCCCAGGCGGTTAAATTCATAAGTATACTCTTCTCCATTTGCAGCCTTCTCAGTGTAGGTCAGATCATCGGGGCGGGTTGCAAGAGGAGGAGGGACATGATCGTGGAATCCACCAGTCTCGTCAAAGGTGAGAATGAAAAGAGTCTCCTTCCACTGGGGGCCGGAACGAAGAGACTCATAGACCTTTTTGATGAAAGCCTCGCCATCTGAAATCAAACCACTGTCGTGCATAGAGGTGGTTCCAACGCCACAGCACGAAGGGTTCAGGTAGGAAAATTCAGGTAACGCTCCCTTGGCGGCATCGGTGTAGAATTGAGTGATTGGCACAACCTTGTCGGTGTTGTTGCTGGATTTAGTCCATGAGAACCACTCGGCTTCAGGGCCGGTACCACCAGCCGTGTCCCAGTAGTTGAGCCAAGTGTGGTTGGTCTCTCCTAACTGCTGGAAAATCGAGCGCTGATCGAAGGCATAGGTTCCGAAGCTATCATCGTTCTTTCCATGGCCACCAGACGTACCGGCGACAAGGGCAAAACGATTGGGGCAGGTAGGCTATATGAAAAACCGGGTCAATTTGTGTCCAGCCATAAGGCTAATTCTTTTTGTTGTGTGCTTTACTTACGCCTGCAATATCGGAGTGCCAGTGGTTGAATGTCAGATAATTCTTGACCAGGGAGGTTAAAACAGGAACTTGATCCTCGGTGTAGTAATTCATGACCTGGTGAGCCAAAACAGATTTGTTGGCAGAAGAGCCATAGTTATGAATCTGCTCGTGGATAAACCCCTTGTTGTTGGGGTGCAACTTTCCCTCAGCAATCAAATAATTGTCCGGGGTCCAGTTACTATAGAACTCCATGGTATTGCCAGTGACTGCGTGACTGGGGTCATCGGTAACAGAGTCATAATCTCTGGCCTCGGTACAATGATGCCCTTGGGAAGGATCAGTCACATTGTACGGGTTGCAGAAAGGCCCGTTGTTGATCGGGTTCTCTAGGCCCTTGATCGTCTGACCACCAAGGAGGTTGTCAAGCGAGCGGTTTTCCATGCAGAGAACAACAACATTCTTAATCTTGGACTTGAGATTATGGATTGAGGAAGTCGAATGAGCTTGATGAGGGTTGGAAGGAATGGCTGACGCCGCAGCCGCGAAAGCCAAAAGGCCGACAAGTGCGCTAGCGTGCATTTTGATAATGTCGCGAAATCAGTTGTTTTGTATCTCTCAATATTTTACGCACGAGATGATATTTCGTCCTTTTTATAATGAGGTACTACTAGTACGATCTGACTTTGAATCGGGACATAGAGAGACTTGCTGGGCATACTACTAGGCCCACGTGGGCATCATCGTATTTACCCGGAATAAATATCCAAACGAGCTTCATTTCGATCTTGAACCTTCTTGGTTGTTCATCGAATACTCCGGACTCCGGACCCAAAGCAAACACGACTATAACTATCTATCATCTCCAATGGCATGAACTAAAGTGCCCACGAGGGGCTTGATGGAGTATAATAGAATGTCGGATGTCGGCTACAACTTGAAGCTAAGCGCTAGTTCCGGCAAGAAATATGCTCCAGATCACCCCCAACAAAATAGTACTGATTATTACTATCAAATGATCCAATTTCTTACTACGTGCCGGTGACTACTCAATCGTTAGAAAGAATTCTTTTCCGAAAAATCCAAAGAAGTAGAATAGACCTATATGTCTCTATATTCACCAAAAGAGACTTGAAGCTGTTCCAGCCCTGGAGAGCATTTGATTACCCAGGTGGAATAATTGTTAAAATCAAGCAATTGCCGAGAAGAACCTGACGGCTCTGGCCGCTACTAAAACGAACTAGGCAGTTGCTTAGCTTTCGTCGCCATAACTTAAGGTAACGTCAGGAACACCTCGTGGCATTTCGACGCACGATGATTGGCTCAAACGGAACATCTAATTTCGACAAAATATTTATCTTCGAGTCAGAACACAACATGAAACTTGAATTCTTTTACAGACGAGCTGAGGGAGCCATATTAGCTTCAGTGGCAGTCTCAATACGAGCCCCGAGGTCTTCACACGGGCGAACATTTCGTAAGTGGCTTTGCGCACACGCTCATGGGCACCGCACAGATGACCCGAGATGTTCTTCACGAAATTCTCTTGTTGACCAGGCTAGAGACCAAGGACCCTGCCAGAGATTGTTGGCCTCCACGTAGTCCTCTCTGGTTACGAGGGTTTGCTCGGCAAAAACGACGCCTGTTCACTTCTCATGCTCCTGGCTGGCCTTCACAGGCTGGTAGGTCAATTGACGGAAGGTGGATGGGTAGTTCGGGTTCGCGCCGTAGTTTCCGTGGGCGTTCATATAGCCATCGCGATCCGTAGGCTGAATGACTTGAGAGGACAGTTGACAGATATTTGTTCATAGTTGTCGCCCAGACGATGGCGGCGGGTTTCAGGGTAGGAGAATAGACGCGATTGCAGGACAGGGTCGGCAGAGGGCTCGGCACGGGGAACCATATGCGAGGGAGAGAATGCGGCCTGCTCAATCTCGGCGAAGTAGTTCTGCGGGTTCTTGTTTAGGGTGAAGCGGCCGAAGCGACGGAGCGACACCACACTCTGCGGCCACACCTTCATCAGATCAAAAACGCTTCAGCGGAACTTCTCTGCCTGTTCTGGGCTGAGGACTTGTGCGTAGCAGGTCCAGGATGGGCTCTCGCCCGCTCAATGGCGCTGAAAAGGTCCTGGGTCGGCCAGTTGGAGTTCTCGGCGGAGATTTTAGTGGGTTCCTCGCTGGTGAGGGTTTAATTGCCCTGATCAGTTTTGCAATGAATTTGCACGTAGTTGAAGGTGCCGTCAGGCTTGATCCACTTGTAGGTGTGGCCAGAATAGGCATTCATGTGGCGATACGAGTATGGGGTACCCCGGTCACTGAATAGGTGCATAACTTGGTGGACTGCCTCGACTAACGAAGATTATGGATGTGCACCGAAGCATTGGTACTATATCTTAGCCCGGTTATTGGCGACCAGGGAAGCAAGACTATGGGTATCAATCATGAATTAGTATTTCGAGAATAGATAGGAAACAACTCAGAAAAGAAATCAAGTCATGAATGCGTTTTGATTTTGAACCTAATCCTCAGGTTTAGCCAGAACGATTTCCAGCGCAATTCGTCTAAAGAAGTTTTTTTGTCATACTTCACTGATCCCCAGTCTTTTTTCCTTCTCCCGCGCCTGTGCGCTGTGATTCGGGATAGGCACCCACGGCCTTGTTGACAGACTGACCTAGGCCCTTGGTTGCATTTCCAAGTCCCTCAGTAGCACCGCCCACGGTTTGTCCAAGACCCTGAGTTGCACCCCCCGCGGCACCCCCTAGACCACTAAGTGTATTCCCCACTGTGTTGGTAGTGCCGTTGGCCGTCTTCCCGACAGCCTCGCCGAGACCGCCGAAGAAGCTTTCTATTTAGGAAGCAGATTGTTAGTCGGTATCAAAGGAGGACAGGGTTGAAAGTATCACGGGAATACCACGGGTATGGTAATCTTTGGACTTTTGTTTTAGAAAGGCGAGGGGATGTCACGTACCGTTGTTCTGGCTATTGTTGGATGACATGATGAGAAATAAGTGTAGAGTAGCGCGAGAACTAAGTCAACGGTGTCACTTAATTTTGGTATCCGATAAATTGTAAGAGAAAAAAAAAATGTTACTTCGGATTTCTTTTTTAATTGAGTGTGGCTGCTCTGGCGAATATGATATCATCTTGACTTCCTTGCTTCACGGCAAACGCCATGGGGCGACAGCACTGATCGAAGTTCGAAGAACACTCGTAATGTATACAAACGCAGCAAGAGTCTTAGTGACTCATCGTGATCCAATCTCAAGCCTTAATCTTAGCTTCGTTTTAGTTGACACTGGCCCCCAATCTTCTGTTGACACTGCCCCGCGGGTTCTGGTTTGGGATTAGCGGGCACGCCAACGAGAAACCTAGAATGTCACCAAGAGCGCCGCTATCTGTGACTCGTCTGATGCCCAAAGAGGAGGTCTATTGACGTTACATTGCCAATTTATAGTCTGTAATATTTAAGGCACATCAATCATTCTTATTCTATACTATAATACCTGGACAAACATTTTGACCGAACTAGAGAAAGAGAACCATGGTCGAAACCACAGTGATCCAGTCCGAACGGCTCTTTCCCAGCATCAAACCCATAGAAAGGGCAGTGCCTCTGTCGCTGCTAGATGCAACGACCGCCGACTTTTCTTCAACAACTGCTATTTGGCTATTCGAACGGCCTGACGGGGTCCTAGAGGATGAATTCGACCTGTTTGACCACTTTCGCCGGTCTCTGCATGCCACTTTGAATCACTACCCGCAGTGGACTGGGCTCCTCAAAAGCATCACGACACTCGATTCAGCTAGACTAGAGAAAGAAACCCTTCGGTTTCCACAGCATGCTCGTCGCTTTGGCCGAGTATATGCCCACTATGGGTCGCCACAGGATCCTGGGGTCGAGTTCATCACCGCAACTTCCACCGCAACTATTGAAACACTATGTCCCGCATCAAGAACGAAAGAGGAACCGCTTTTTGATCGCCAGAAAGTACGACTCGACAGCCTCATTCCTTCCGGTCGTTTGGCTAGTGCAATCACAGCTGTCAAAAAAGATGCAGCGGGTGTTTTGCCACCGGTGTTTGTCATTCAGTTGACAAAGACGGCCTGCGGTGGTTTTGCACTAGGTGCTAAAATTGCGCACCCTCTCGCCGATATACAATCACTTGCTTACTTTGTCAAGGATTGGGCAAAGATCAGTCGCTGGCACTTGGGGGGTTCAAGTGGTCTTAAGCCCATCGTTCAACCAATTTTTGAGCCAGAGCGGCTCGACTCGATGGCTATAGGAAATATTAATGGAGAGGATGCTAATCCAGAAGCACTCGAGAGAATCAAAAGCCTTCCTTTGCATCGCTATGACTGGTGGGCAGCACCAGCTCAATGTCCCTGGCCCCAAGAGATCCCAGAACCATTCCGAGATCAAAATTTAGCACTCGTCGGCAAGGCGATGCCATGGACGGAATGGGATTTCGCCGCCCCGTCTCACATTACACTGTCCATCTGACTCGTGATCAGGTCGAGACCATCTGGAACAAAATTTCGAATGGAGACCCCAAAAATCCGACGGCCGAGCGAATCAGCCGACACGATGCTGTCCTGGCTCACATTTGGTCGTGTATCACCCGTGCTCGAAAGCAACAAGAAGATACCGGCCTAGTCCATTGCAATCTGACCTATGGCACACGTCCGGCTCTCCATTTTGGCGACGACTTCATCGGATCACCCACCATGAACATCAACATCGAGATGAGTGGAAAGGAGCTAGCTTCCGCAGAAATAGCCGAAGAACAGAGAACCAGAGACGTTGCGCAATGCATTCGTAAAACGATTAGCCAAATGAGCCAGCCTGGCGCAATCGGCGCGCACCTTCACAGTGTGGCATTTGAAAAGGCTCCTCAGCGTATCTGGCAGGCATTTCTGGGGTCTCGACACCTTATTGTGACTAGTTGGGCGCGAGTTGGTATTTACGATGTGGATTTCGGGCTCAACACTCCGATTCGGTTTGCCGAGGGAGTGATTCCGGATTTGGATGGGGATGTCTTGATTAAAGATGCACCGCCTTTGGACCGAATGAAGAAATCCTCGGATCGAAGTGCTTGGACGGATGATGGGGTTGATGTCTCGATTCACATCCGGGCCGAAGATATGGATCGCTTGATCCGGGATCCACTCCTCCTACCATGATGAAGGATGGAGTACTGTATAGCTAGTATCTATGAAGTAGTACATAAGTGCGATGCCCAAAATTGATCCAGATTCTGCCAGAGCCAGAGCCTGTCGCTTCTGGTGTCAAAGCGTGGGTGCAACATTCCAAGATTCTAACCTGATGCGGCGATGCCACATTCCAATCCCTGCAAGGGCCGGAGAATAAGCTGTGGGAGTATAGTATGGACTTGGCAAGATAAGGTTCTGTCCGGCAAGATCGAGGCGTCTGCACGTCCGAAGTAAAAAGATCAATCAGTATATCGTACATAACTACATACATGTATAATGTGTTTACAGAGTAAAAGTGTCAAACGTAGTGGCGACATCCGCCAAGATTGAAAATTTGCATTGGGAAACACTGTGACTTTGGACTCCCGCGTTCCCCGCAAAGTCATTCTGTCTAGTCAGACTAGTCTCTTCTTTTACGGATCCGAGTACGGAGTACCCGGAGTGGAGTTTTTTTAGAGTAGAAAAAGTTTGCATTGACAAAGAAACTTTGGTCACCCCCTGAGTTGTGCTCGCGTGTGCGAATGTTCCCACGTCCCTGGTGGGTACTCTACGCCATTCTTTTTTTTCCCTCGACTCTTTTCCTCTCTTCTCCGCCCACCTCCGAGGCTGGTCCACACTCTCGACTTGAAAACACCCTCCTTCCTGCCTCCCAACGCCTCAATTCCTCAATTGGCTCGGATCCAGCATGGCTGACTCCAAAGCCCACGATGCCATTGCCCCGGCGGACGACTACCCCTCCACCGACGGCCCTGAATCAGACAATGCCATGGCAAAAATTATCCAGAAAGCCCGGGCGGCCACGGAGAAGGAACGAAAGATGGGTATCTGGAAGGGCATAAAGATTTATCCCAAGGCTGTTGCGTGGAGTATCCTTATTTCGACCTGCATTGCTATGGAGGGGTACGATATCAGCTTGGTGAACAATTTCTATGCTTTTCCTCAATTCAATCGCAAATACGGCGAGCTTCAGGGTGATGGGTCATACCAGGTGCCAGCACGGGTAAGTCATGCATATATTTCCTGTTCTGTTCTGTTCTGTTCTTTTCGGCTTTCAACCATTTTGCTACGCCGAGGACATGGCGGGAGATGGGCCCACCATGGGAACACCCAAAGTGAGGAACTTGAATGCTAACAGGAATTTCTACAGTGGCAATCCGGATTGAGCAACGGTGCCTACGTCGGCGAAATCATCGGTCTATTCATCAACGGTTACGCCTCGGAACGATTTGGATACCGGTACACCCTTATGGCTTGTCTGGTATTGGTGACTGCATGGACGGCAATCTTTTTCACGGCCCAGAACGTGCAGTCTCTACTAGCAGCAGAGATCCTGTGCGGTATTCCCTGGGGTGTGTTCCAGACGTTGACTATCACCTATGCCTCGGAGGTCTGCCCGGTCTCTCTGCGAGGTTATCTGACCACATACGTCAACTTCTGCTGGGGACTGGGTCAGCTCATTGGAATCGGTGTGATTAAGGGTATGCTCAATCGTAATGATGAGTGGGCATACCGTATCCCCTACGGACTGCAGTGGATGTGGCCTCTGCCTCTCTTCATTGCAATCACGTTAGCACCTGAGTCACCTTGGTGGTTGGTTCGTCGAGGACGTACCGATGATGCGAAGCGGTCATTGGAACGGTTGACGAACAAGGAACTCCAGGACGATTTCGATGCGGACGAGACGATTGCCATGATGGTGCATACGACTGCCCTCGAGGCCAAGATCACCAGCGGAGCGAGTTACTTGGATTGCTTCCGGGGTACCGATCGGCGCCGAACGGAGATCGTCTGTATGGTCTGGGCGATCCAAAACCTGAGCGGAAACTCGTTCTCCAACTACTCGACGTATTTCCTTGAACAAGCTGGACTCAGCTCCTCTAACTCCTACTCCTTCGCAATGGGACAGTACGGTATCAACATGGTTGGTGTTTTTGGCGCCTGGTTCTTGATGACTCTCGGTATTGGCAGACGAACACTTTGTCTGTATGGCTTGTGCGGACTCTGCGCCATGTTGTTGATCATGGGTTTCCTTGGACTTGTACCTGATTCGCACCGCGACCAGGCTTCGCTTGCCACCGGCTCTCTGATGCTATGCTGGGCCCTGTTCTACCAACTTACCGTCGGAACTGTCTGTTACTCGATTGTGGCCGAAATGTCAACTCGTCGGCTACAGATCAAGACCGTCGTTCTCGGTCGTTGTCTGTACAACATTGTCGCCGTTGTCTGTGGTGTCCTCACGCCCTATATGCTCAACCCCACCGCTTGGGACTGGGGAAATTATACGGGTTTCTTCTGGGGTGGTATCTGCTTCCTGTGTATCATCTACACGTACTTCCGCGTGCCCGAGCCCATGGGCCGTTCGTTTGCCGAGTTGGATATGCTCTTTGAGCAGAAGACCAGTGCTCGCAAGTTTGCCGATACGGAGGTGGATGTTTTTGGCGAGAACATCGAGACCGAGGTCATCGACAACTACGCGGATCAGAAGAATGCACCCCGGACCGAGCCTGGTGAGGCCGAAAAGAATGCCTCGATTTAATACGGTGCACGCCGATGAGTTCCACGTTTATGACCCGCCGCAGCGTATCCATTCAAGTTTCTCGCCTTAGATGTAAATAATCATATAGAACTATATTTCTACTACATAGATGTTACTAATTGAATCAATAATAATATATACAATTCCATTGTCCTAGTCCCGCAATCCACCTTTGACAGCGAGTGTCAGTGTCCACCAAGCCGAGGCCGAGCCGCTGTCAGTGCGAACTTGGACCCAGTCAATCTCCCAAGAACCTTGGATATTTTCTCCCAACTTCCAAGAAAGACACTTTACATCCTCGACACATCGGGCCCCTCTTTCCTTCACTTCCGACTCGCTCAGCATTCAAATTTTTTCTTCAACGACGCGGGGTAGCGCCGGGTTCCACTCTTCTGCAGCGCGCAATGGACACGACCTTCATCACAATTCACGGTCAGTCTTGTCTTGGACGTACATCTCATATTGGCGAGGCACGCTGCGGGATTTGGGCTTTGGCTTATGATTTGACGAAAATACCGTATGCGTATAGCTGACATGCATTGCAGACCTCTCGCGCGACGCCTCGATTCTCTATGCCTCGGACAGCATCCACGTGGTGTTGGGCTACCAGCCGCATGAGGTGTTGAATCGATCTTGCTGGGATTACTTCCATCCGCAGGAACTATCTTTCGCGCGCAGTGTGCATGGGCGTGGTGTGCGATTGGACAAGGCTGCCGTGTTGAATTATTGTTCTATTCGACATCGGGATGGATCTTGGGTTGGGTGTGAGTGTGTGTTTACCGTTGTGTATGATGTGTTGATCGCGAGTACTACGGTCTATGGAAGGGGGAAGGGAACTCAGAGTAAGTTCAAGTTGCAGACGGCTTTCATGCTGAGCCTCATTTCTTTTCGTTTTTATCTTCTTTTCTTCTCTTTTCTTTTCTTCCTCCCGCTTTGCGTTTGCGTTGCTGCTGTGAATAAACCGTATTAACGCCATTTACAGAGCGCGCTGTCGACGCTCCTATCGTCCGCCAGCTCTTCGACTCCTCGCCTAATGATCCACGATATCACATGTTGACTTTTATATCCGATAAATTCTCACGGCGGCTGATAGAACCATTGCACGAGCCGCGCGCGGCTCTTTTTGTTAATCGCTTCACCCGTACTGCAACGATCATGTACGCGACCAGCGGGGTGCAAGACATTCTAGGCCTAAGCCCACGACAACTAGTTTCGAAGAGTTTCTTCTACTGCATTCAAGAAGAATGTTTGCGAGATGCAGTTCGGTGTCTTGAGGGCGCAAAAGCCAATGATTCGATTGCATATTTGCGCTTCTGGTTCCGCAATCCATTGCAAGAGGATAACTTGAACGCAGAGGGAGAGGCAGAGACGCCCGAGTACGATGGTTATACATCCGCCGGTGTAACTGCCGATTCGTCTGGCCACGCTTACCGTGACCATGTTGCTCCACCTCCCGTTGAACTAGAAGCTGTCGTTTCTTGTACATCGGATGGACTTGTTGTTATTCTTCGCCGTGCCCGAGCTCCCATCCCTGGTGGCCCTCTTCCCCGCAACCTGTCCCGGCTTATTCCAATGGACTCTTTGCGGCACCTTGGGCTTTGGAGCCTGTTCTTTCATATGGACCCACATCATATACTCAACCTGCGTCTTCGCACGGCATGACATACCCAGAAGACAAGAAGACTCTTTGCAGAGACGACTCCATGTCCAGTGTGGCGTCAGGATCAGCCTCAGCGTCAGGATCTGGATCTGGATCAGCCTCCGCCACAAACTCAGGCTCAGGATCTGGGTCTGGATATGGACCAAGTCGTGCATTCAGTTTTGCGAACCCTCAATTTCAGACAGACAAGCAGCAAAGTGCCCCCACAGGTCCCCATGCCAGCCAACTTATGGATACAATTCGCGATGTGGCGGTGTTTGCTTGGGGTATCGTGGGTATCAATCGCTCTTTGGAGCGATATAAATATGGGACCCCGTCGGGTGATGCGCAGCCCAAGGATGCTTTTATTGATGGTGCTTGAGAAAATGCCAGTGATGAGCAATGACTTGGCATTTGAACAATGTTGCATGCATTATGTTGAAGCTGAATGTATATGTGAAATGAATACTCTATCTTGACTGGTTATCTACGCTACATCATCCCATTACTATGAGCCCAAGGACAGCTTCGTTTGAATTCCAAGGTTGGTACCATTCAGCGGTGGATTTTATAGTAAATTCTAGAATACAAACGCCTTTTTGTCTCGCTACCTAGACGCCAGGCCCGACATACTCCGAAGTTGCAATGTGCAAGAAAGAAAAAGCCCATCCAAAGCATAGTAAGCTGCGTCACCCCACTGCTCTCTATTCATCGCTCATCCGGGTATCCTCGTCATCATCCTCGGCAGGCTGTTCGTCCTCCTCTGCGGCCTCCTCTTCTTCAACAGGAGGCTCGGGGGGGAGGGGGAAGAGTTTGTCCAAACTTGGGATCAATGTTGGCGCGGTGTACGGCACGCTTGTATACCTCCGACTCATCAGGATCACGAATAGTCACCTGCATCTGGTCGACCCTTTCTTCCTCGACCTGAGAAGCACCCGGAGCCAGACCAGCCTGGGCAATTGTGCGAGCACGCTCGGGCTTGAGACGGGTCTTTGCGACAATCGGATAATAAAACGCCGCGCGCTGCCTGTCATTACCGTCGCCGGAATTGAGCGAGATGGCGATATCGCTCAGCTTGTCATTGTTGATGACCTGGCCGCTTGTAGCGAAGGTACGAACTCGGTCGTAGCGGTGGTATTTGTTTCCGTCCGGTCCATCGTTGGTATAGAGCTCTTCATTATCGCGGTTCGGGTGGTTCAGGTTCATGCTTGTTCGGACGTTCTTCGCAGACTCGAGCTTTTCCGGAAGAAGTAGATCATAGTCCCACGGCACGGCGCCGGGGTCGGCGTACAGGTCCGGACCGGCCTTGTGGAGTGCCACTTTCGAGGCATGTTCCTGGCAGATGCGTTCCTCGGGAGCAATTGGGCGAAGAATAGCCACATCGAGGCGCTTATCACGTCTGCCTCCTGCGGTGGGAATTGGTGCTTTATCGAACTTGAATTGAAGGAAACCGCCCGGGTCGGTGAATCCTTGGAGATCGGGGAGAATTGGGAAGAAACCGACGGGCTTGAGTTTCGGGTTGTCGGGGTGAACGGGTTTGGCCCACGCATCGGTTTCCGTCTTTGTGGCAGGTAAACCACGGATGCTGCTCTCAGTATCCTCACCAGAGTGCTTGCTTTCGGGGTGTGCGATGTCGAATCCCTTTTGTATGTACTTCTTGATGTGTTTGGGATCATCCACTGATGTCTTCCCCTTCTTCGTCGAGCGTGCTTGCGGCCTGGCTGGGGCGCCAGTGGCCGTGGCCGCAGCGGCGCGGTCCACGGAGATATGTTGAGTGCGGCGAAGGAAACTGACATTCGTATTCTTCGGGGCAGGGTTTCGCAGTTGATCAAGGGTCATCAGGAGGGGGGAGATCAGCGGTATCGATGGTTTGTGGGTGCTCGGGGGCCATGATGGCTGTTATCCCATTAGTGATCTGATCTTCAAATCGGACTCGGACTTATGTTCAAGCATTCAATCACATACCACTCTCATCGCCTAAATGCAAGCCAGGAATACCGACAAGGTCAATGGGCATGCCACCCTCTGCGTCGACGTCGATATTGGGTTCTTCACGTCGAGCCAGGTTCGAGGCGAACCCCGGCGTCACAAAGCGACTGAGACCTTCATGCGGGATGTCGAGCAGCTTGGGGGGGCATATCTGGCGGAGGGAGGTCATTGCGGTAGCGCAAGGAGGCAATATACTCCTGATGAAAGCTCCCAGAGGACTGCGAGTCCTTGGACTTTGACATTGTGAGGTTCTGCGTATATTTTCGGCCCAGAGGGTCTGTGGTGAAGGGAGGAGAAGGCCTAGTCGCAATCAGCATTTGAGGACCGCGCGCAAAGAAAGATCGGAGAGAGCACATACCGCGTTGCGGAACAGATTAGGGAAGGTGAGCGGTGAGCAGAGACAGCCGTCAATGCAGGTGGACGCAGAACTTTTAGCAAACGACTTGTTCCCAAGAAGCTTTCAGTGACCTCCTCATGGCTGTATTCAACGGCAAAGCACAGCTATTTTGCCGGATATAACCGCCTCCACTCTCGGGATAGCATAGGTCACGTGTTACCATTCTGGTAGTATCAGGATTCAGGATGAAAGAAACTCTTCACGTAGGAGAGGTATATTTCCATTATTGACTAATGCTTTTGAATGAATCACACCATAGTTCTTGTACCATCAACTCCAATCATCCAGACCGACAAAAATTAAATGAAAATAAAGAAACACAGATCCCAAATCGCAAATTAGTATGCCCACATGCACTTGTAAGCCATCAAGCGTTGCCCTAAGCGGTCATACTCTAGTTTTCCAATCCAGCTATCATTAGTTCCACTTAGCTTGCCAAAGATACTGGCACCCTTCCAAACAACAACCTGCGGGTCTAGGTCTCTGGGCGGCACTCCAATCATGATTTCTTTGGCGAACCCTGGACGGAGGAGTTGTAGCCGTTCTTCCAGGAAGAGGTTAAGTCCACTCGTCAAACTACCGCCGCCAACAAGCATAATACCCCCGATGAAATCACGCATCTTCTTCTCATCGGAGCGGGCAGCATGAGCAATTGAGGTGAGGATTGCATTGTCCAAGGCGTACACCGGAAGAATATCGTCTCGGTGCTCCATCGCCTGGCGAGCAGGCTGTGTAGTCGGAGCAGCAACAGCAGGGGTATTGGCCCCAGCTGCCTGTGGAGTTGCCGCAACCTCAGGTGCCGGGGAACCAGCAACTGAAGAGTGAGGTGTAGCTTCTTGCTCCTGAACCCGGCCTAGTGGATTGGATGTCGCAGGACGGCTGGGAGTTGCTTGCACATCGGACGGCGCTGCCTGTGGTTCCGCATTGGCAGTTCCATTTGGTGGAAGTGCAGGCGCGAGAGCAGTCATGATCTCTGACTGGGCACTTGAAGTAGGATCATTGGCTTGGCCATCATAGATATCAACGGATCGTTCAATCAGGCGCCGTCGACCGTCGAGCTTGTGATCATTGTCAAATATGGTGGGCTCGAAGAATCCCATAGGTGCCAAGTGGACCTCGTCGAAAGCCCTGAATGTGTGTTTTTGGGTGTCTTCGCCAGACACGCGAAGGTGAAAGTCGAACACTTGAGGGGAAACATTCGCCTCGGTCATCGTGCAAAGGTTCTTCTTCAACTCTTCAGCCAGCAAGAAGTCGTAGCGTCTCCACAAGTTGATATCTGAGTAGGGGAAATGGTCGTGCAGCATCATCTTCACAAAGGCCTGAGTCACATCTTGCCCACCCATTTTCAGGTTCACTCTCGAATTTTCCACGCACATACCCTCCTCTACACAGCAGATTGATGTTTTCTGCGCTCCTATATCAACCACACAGGCGGAGGTGAAACCGGCACCAAAGGTCGCCGCCAGACTCTCTTGGATGAAACATACTCGGGCGAACGAAAACTCGCGCATCAACATCTCCAGTACCTGAGTGATGTAGGTCTTGTCGTACAAGTCGGGGATGACAAACACGCATGAATATTGAAGCCAGTCTTTCTTGGAAGTCAGACCCAATTGATTTTTGATCGCATCCTCGAGAATCAGCGAAATGTCCAAATAGAGCATCGTCTTGCTTTGATAGTCAGTTTCATTGCACCATCCATTGCGAATAGGCCAATAGAGTTTGTATCGGGGCTTTGAAGAGTCGGGAATTCTCAGTGCGTCTTGTCCGACAATGTATTCGGGTGGGGGGTTGGACAATTCAGTCCATTCGACACGCGAGGGGTCGTTATGCTCAGAGATTATTTCTGGCCTTTGCCTCCGGTTGTAGTTCACAACCATGTCCTTGGAATTGGGTAGCATACGTCGCTTATTCTGTCGCATGCGTACTTTGAGTTCTGATGACATCCTGTTGAAGTCAGCAGACCACTAGTTCTCGATTAGCGACGGGTCCAGTAGTCTTCTCTAGTCTGTAGTTCGTAGGACATACCTCAGGCCCAAATTGATTCTCTGGCTCCTCCTCGGTGCCATCCTCCCGTTTCATCCGCTTCGGCCTGGGCTCATCATGGTCTTCGCTTTCGCTTGTTTTTGACTTGCGGGCAATGACCATCGGTACGGTCTTTGGCAAAGCATCGCTTGAGAGACCGATGCGCAAATTCTGGCTTCCGATATGAATGACAATGACCTTAGAGCCCACGGTTTCCGCGGGTGTCTCATCCGCATCCTCCATGTTGGCATCGCCGTCCGCCTCCACCTCGGCCTCAGCCTCTGTCGCTTCAGGCTTAGCCATGGCGAGGGCACGGTCCCGATCCTTCGCGGTTTTGGTCATCTTGGTTCGCGCCTCTTCATTCTGGAGTCTGAATGCCAGGTTCTGGTCATCTCTCTTGAGGTAATCACTAAAGCGAGGAAGGCGCAATTAGCACTGTGAATCATCATGAAGCCTGCCCGGTTCCCGAGAATGAGGCCACTGGAAGGTCTTACGTGTAATAGTTCTTCTGGTTGATCGCCGGAATTTGAGGCCAGCTGGATAGGTCCATATTATTGTCTGTTCGCTCCAGGCCTAATGATTCGGTATCAGACACTCGTTTCGCAACTTGCTTTGCCGGGTCATGGGATCAATCTCGGGGCTTACCTTCATCCCGAAGGGCCTTTCCTGATTTCTTGCCCACCATTATGAAGGATGTGTATTCTCTGGCCAGTAGTTGAGTCGGTCAATTGGCAGCCGATGCCGAAGCGCGGGATGGATCTAGGGAGCGCGCAAGTCGGTTGTGTTGGACCGTCGATGCGGCGGACCAGCGGTCGGAGGAGTTGGGCCTGTCGGATAGGTGAGATTCGGTAGGAGGCAATTGAAAGAGTGTGTAGAATATCAGAGGAGACGCAGCGGGCAGGTGAGGAGGACCCGAACTTGCGCGGATTCGTGAGGAAGGCCATTCAACATCGCCGATTGACCGCCCACGCCCACCGCACCCGCACAGGCCGATCGCGCGCCTTCCAATGCGGTTGCCACCAATGAATCCCTCCTTTCATTCACCTACTCGCTCTTCTCCCTTCTCCCTCCTCTCCCTTCTACGACCTCCTTGGATTGTATCATAATCATCGCATCCTTGTCTGAATACCTTTCTGCTTCTCCGCCCCTCCTCGACACCTGTATCCACCCTTCTTCAGCCCCCCCCCCCCCCCGACTTTCCATACTTGCTGCTGAGAAATACCCAGCGACTCTTACTCCAATCTCCCCGCCACATACCACATACACACAATCATGGGAGCTTCATTATCGCGTCTGTGGTCTTTGGTGTGGGCCAAGAAGGAGATCCGAATCCTCATCCTGGGTCTCGTATGTGAAACCACTTCGGCGCGGCGAGAACATGCCCGCATGCAAGCATACAACCACAAAGCTGAAAGACTGACAAACTTTTTTGTCTCATATAGGATAATGCCGGAAAGACAACTCTTCTCTACAGGCTAAAGGTACAGCTCTGACATCGAATATGTTCCGCGTACCGAACGTGTTGGCAACTTGAAGTGCTAACGACTCGCGTCTCCAGATCGGCGAGGTGGTCACCACAATTCCCACTATCGGATTCAACGTCGAATCGGTCACATATCGGAATCTAAATTTGAATGTTTGGGTAGGTGATCTCTCCTTCATGACGATGCCGCATTTTCTGGGACACCCCCACTAATCGTCGTGGTCACAGGATCTCGGTGGTCAAACATCCATTCGCCCTTATTGGCGGTGCTACTATGCAAACACCGCTGCCGTCGTTTTCGTCATCGATTCTACAGATATTGAGCGCCTGGGAACCGCGGCAGATGAACTGGCAGCTATGTTAAACGAGGACGAGCTCCGTGAAGCGGCCCTACTAGTGTTTGCCAACAAGCAAGACCAGCCGGGTGCCAAGGGTGCGGGCGAGATCTCGGAGGCATTGAAACTGGGAGAGTTGCGCGATCGTAACTGGAGCATTGTCGCTTGCTCTGCCATTGATGGCAAGGGCGTCAATGAAGGCATGGACTGGCTGGTGGTATGTCGTTCTCTTCCCTTCCGTCTCCGTCTACGGTTCGGCCCGATCTTGCATACTAATCAGAATTTCTGCAGCAAACCATCTCAGCAGAGAACGCATGAAATGAAGCTTTGTTGTCGGGCTATAGATTTTGATCTTTGATATACCTTGTACCTCGAGTTTCCCACGCGACTTGAGGCCGTTACCTGCATTCGGGGGTGCTGAGTTGTTTCTTCCCTTCGTCTCTGTTTAGACCAGCAGAGTCCTTGTCTTATATTGCTACATGATTTTAAGTGTCAGCGCCTTACGGGGTTCTAAGAATAATAGTTTAATTGAACTGCTGTCGAGGCTCATACTTTGCTGGTCTGTGTTTTCCAATCGTGAATTTGGAGGCTTCCCGAATATCTAATCATAGAGTGTCGATTGGTTGATTGGTTGATCACGGCTATTTTCTCATCATAAATCATTATCGTCAATTGTTCAACGAGAACGTGCTGGGGATTTTTGTTCTTCTCGTCGCTATCTTGGTTTTCGCTCTGAGCAGCTCCTACTAGGTATACAACCACAAGCGACATGAACTTTTCACCCACATCAGCTGCAAGGGAACTTTGTGATAGCCAAGTTACCAGATTCCTAATCCTTGACTCCAAATATTTAATAGTCAAGGTGTCACCATTACACCATAGCTGAATCAACTTGACGCTTTAGTACATGCTATTCTTATTGGGCATGCCAAGTCTTCCAGACCAGTTTTGTATCTGAGTTGTAAGCGCATGTAACTCATGTTCGAAAGCGGGGTTGTACTAGTATAACATTTAACTTTAGGGTTATAATCTGCTGACTTTTTTTGACCTCCAAGACAAAGTCCCATGCTTCAAGTTTTTTACCTCCAGATATATCCTACATCAATACCCTTATTATAAAGGAACCTAATAAGAGCTCCAGTCCCCACCAAGAATGGTTCCCTGCTGGTGCTCCTTTCATGTTTGCTTGTCACCATTTGATCGGAAACTCAGTATATGATGGTCAGTTCAAGTCCATGATACATTTCTATCTTAAATTGTCCTGACGGTCTTGAATCCGTATGCAGGCGGCATCGATTATCTACATGATCAGGCATGGCGAAAAGCCAGATAATGGCGCTGATGGTCTCTCTGCTCAGGGGCTAGCAAGAGCGCAGCGCCTTCGTCAAGTTTTCGGATTGAACAGTGGATTTAATATTGGCTATATCATTGCCGAACATCCTAAGAAAGGTTTGGGCTACTCCTTCCACCTTTGATTCTCTTTTGAGACGGTCTCTCCCCACTACATAGCCCTCGCCTGTTGCAAATCGAATTTTCTGTGGATTGGGTCAAGCTAACGAACGCACCTAGATGGTTCTAGGAAACGCCCGTATGAAACTGTGCAACCTCTGGCCAACGATTTGGAGCATTTGGGTGTAGAATTCAACACAAAGGTTGATAAAGGCGATGCGGTAGGCGTCGCTAGGGTCGTAAAAAAGTTTAGCGGACCCGGGAACGTCCTTATTTGCTGGGAACATCATAACCTTTCCGATATCGCAAAAGCCATTGGCATAAGAGGATTTGCGGAGAGTAGTGGCATCTCTGGCGAGCTTCAATACCCAGGCTCACGTTTTGATCTTATTTGGGTCGCCCCGGCCCCTTACGATGAAATAACCGAAGTACTCAGCGAGGATAGTCTGGGTTAAAGCTGCCCCTAATGATCCGGAGGCAAAGACTGTTATAATCTGATATGAGATTTTCCATAAGTAAACATATTTTTGCCAAATTAAATCGACAAAATGTGGTATTTCTGATCATCTGTAGTAGTTTGAGAAAAGTTGAACTGAACTTCACGGATTAAATTTTTTTCAAATGGACAAGTCGAATCGAATTTGAGTACCTACTGTAACCAAAGAACTTTTCCTTCATCATCACACTTTTTGCCTGGTATCGCATCCCCCTATCCTTCCCTCCCAGTTCCGGAACTGTACACAGATTTAAACGACGCAAGGAGTCGTTACATACCTGGTTCCCAATTCTGCAGGCTTCATACAACCGAGATTCAGAGCTCAAGATATCATCACTTTCCCACCCTGCGTAACAAGGCTACCGATTGATGACATTTGAGCTGCCATCAGCTGTAGGTAAGCAAGGCTGAATCTTCAACAGATGCTAAGATCAGCTGAATTAATTTCATCAATTAATACTCTCTTTCAGAGCCTTCGTATGAGCAATATCAATGAGAATTCCAATATCCTCATCGGTCCTGAGGGCTTATCTCTTCCCATCACAGAGCACATTCATGCAACCGATGGACTTCTCGCGCTTGGTGGCCTCGGTGGTATTGTCGCCCTGAGAGGATTCGAGGGTCGATTCGAAGCGGTCGAGCACTTTAAAGAGAACCGGCTCAGATTTCCCGCTCATCAAGTCACATTTGACATGGGACCCGATAATGTCACAAAATTTGGAGCGTGGAAAGGATTGGCTTGGACATTAAGGATGACATTGATGAGTTCGAAAAGGGCTGATGGCAAGTTGGGCGTTGGGTGGACATGTCCTCGGAAGAGAGCCATTGCTAAAGATCAAACCTCAATACATGCATCAAGATTGCGATCGATCTTACGGGTAAAAAATTGAGTAATTAACTGCCATTAACGGTAAATCGCAATGAAAGATTAGCTTCCGTGGATCCCATGTGGTCAAGTATGGGGATGCATACATGATACTTCAATCTTCCATGGTTTACTAGACGTATGCGTCATAACTAGATCTTTGGTGAAATTCGGCCGCGTTGGGTTAGATAGAACGTTTTAACGTTGGGTCCACCAAATAAACCGCCTAAAATACGGGTCTAGGCCATGAAAGGCTAAAGTTTACCTTGAAGATGTATAGCTAACACAGGGCCATGCTTTACGAACATAAAACCCGGCCACGCGGACAAAAAGTGTCACCTCTCCCTTACTTTTCCCAAACAATTCTGGTTAGCTCTCATCATGACTCAACAACCATCCAAGCTGGCAAGCTACAAGCGCATCATACTTTGCGCTGATGGGACATGGCTGGCGTCTGACCAAGGCGACAATTCCGTGCCTTCGAACGTCGCGAAGGTCGCTCGAGCAATTGCGACCAGTGGCCCTGATGCTGATGGTACTATCGTGAAGCAGATCGTGTCGTACCATTCCGGTCTGGGAAGCGGAGACCTCCCGTTCCAGAAGGCCATATATGGTGAGCACCCAGCTCTTATTCGACAGTATGTTTTCTCTTGAACGAGTGTGGCTGATGTACTGCTTCTCTCATAGGCGGCATTGGCTGGGGTCTGGATGTCGACGTGTGCCAGATCTATGATTTCATTTCTAATAACTATGTGCCTGGTGACGAGTTGTTCTTCTTCGGCTTTTCGCGCGGTGCCTTCACCGTGCGCTCAGTCGCCGGCCTGGTCTGCGACGTCGGTGTCCTCTCTGCAGTGCACATGTCGCACTTCGCAGATATGTGGAAGGCCTACCGTGAGAATACGGATGGGGAGCCCTTCGAAAAGACAACATGGTATCAGCAGAATAAGGACAAGCTGCGCCTGACGGAAGATCTCAGGATCAAAGTTGTTGGGGTTTGGGACACCGTTGGAGCTCTGGTACGCGACGCCGGGCATGATTTTGCTCCCATGAGACTCACCTCATATTGCTAGGGAATACCTGAATGGCCTCTTGTGAAATTGGCAACAAAAGCTGGCATCGCAATCAACAAACAGGAGGCATTTCACAACACGAACTTAGCAAAAAGTGAGTGATCATCGTAAAAACGCTTATCCACCGGCTCTAAACAGCAAATACCATCAGATCTGGACTATGCCTTCCAAGCCCTTGCTATTGACGAAAGACGGATAACGTTCCCTCCTACCCTCTGGCACAAGACCCCTGATGCTCCGGCCAAGGATCTGCAGCAATGTTGGTTTCCCGGCGTCCATAGCAACATCGGTGGTCAAGCAGCAGATCCACGAACCGCCGGTGACCACGAAGAGATCGGCGACATCACATTGGCATGGATGGTAAACCTTTCCCTCCTTCTAACTGCGACACTTCTACGATTCAGATTGACTGACCACCCCGCGCAACCCAGATGGACAATCTCTCAGGCATGCTGACGTTTGAAGGGGCCGCGATCAACGAACTGATCAAGCAGCACCAAGACGCCCTGGCCGAGAACAACGCCCAAAATAACATCAAAAACGGCTGGGGCTGTGGGCCCATCGTTTCTAACTTCTCTGGGCTACAAGGCGCCTTCTTCGGTATTCTTGGGAAGCAAGACCGAACGCCGGGCAACTATCCACCGGTCGCTGGCGACGGAATTGGTGGTGCCACAAACGAGTATTTTCATCCGATCGTTCGGATTCGGAAGAGCATACTATCTAACTACAACCCGGCGTCACTGCACGGATATTCCTTCGAGGAGTCCGATGGCGAGGCTGGCTGGAGGTGGGTCAGAGAGGGCGTACCGGCAGTGCCCGAGTATGTGATGCGTCCGGAGAGGAAGATGAGTGTGATGAACGAGAAGGGATATAAGACTATGCCTAGTTTGTCAAGGTTACTATGTCCGACGGAGGTGCTAGCAGATCTCGATAGGGATACTGGTGTGCGACCTGAGTGATCGTGCATTGGGTGAATGAATGGCTTATGGAATAACTATTTTGTTGTTTGTACTTCGTTTGCAGGGCGGGAGGGGGTGCAGCTCAACGATATTTTTCGCGTGATATCTTGGATATAGTATCAACTAAAATATTGTAGAGGAAACGATACCAGGTAATGGTGTAGTCTTAAAAGACCACTATGAGTATACGACTCGTAGAATCTAGTAGAAATCCATAGCGGGGTCTATCTACAATATACTTTCATTACTACTAGTACTTACTACAGCATTTTTCACGGGGTAGCCGGGTGGTCTCGCATAATCAACGGGGCCTTGACGAGGGTTCTGGCGGGAGTGCTCCCATCGCGATATGTGGCAAAGGATCTACTTTTCTACTTGCAGGACCTGCCAGTCAGATAGAGATAACAATAGAAACTTGACAAAGGAGCAGAAATAGAAATCCAATTCATGCTCGAACTGATTCTTAGAGTCGACCACAGGGCTATTTATTCTGTGATACCTAGCTTGTTAATGGTACTTTTGGGGCCCTCCTGTTCTAGAGGTCTCTATCTGGTCAAAACTGGCCCGAACGACAAAAGTAAGGTGGACTTATCCTGTTCAATATTATACAGTTTAAAAAGACCTTTGTACTATTATATATTCTGTGACCCAAAATATTAAAGGGAGTTTTGTAAAGCCCGAGGCTGGCTAGCTCGAAGAGGAGAATCCGGATGCAAGTGGCTGCTGATTCAGTATTTTTTGTTTATGATTTTTTAGAGTAAATTGCTTTTGATCTGTAATTTGAATCAAGACACTGAAATATCTGAACATGAGGTGTGAATAACCAAATGTAGAAAAGATTGGTGGGCGTCCACTGGTAACTACTAGTATTACTTGCTATAGACCAAGGCGTAAGCGATTCTTTCCGGGGCTGTAAAGTGATCGGTGTTCATACCATTTCTTTGCCTCTTTACCGACTGGGGATCTCTGTTGTCCCCAAAACCACGGAGGAATTTGAGTAACAATGGATCCCGATGCATGCAGAAAACCAGCGAATGTGTCCCCTCTCGAAGGGTGTAATCTCTAGACGGCCTTGCCCAGAGCAACTTTCGCAACTGAGAAGAAGCACCCAACCCTGACTCAGTCTGAGGCCAATTGAGGATATAATACGAGAGCTAATCTTGGGATGAAGAATATAAGTTAATTTTAGGATTAAGAATAAGAGTAACAGCCGAAGGGGAAGAATCCACAACGCAAGGAACTCCTACACCCGATAGTCATCCCAGACAGTTCGAGCAAGTTCTCTCAAGTCTTCCGGGGAGAACTCAATGTCACTTTCTCGGGGGCAATCTGCCCTGCGGTTGAATAAGTCTTCAAACGAGATTCGGATAGGGTAGTTATTATCGACGACTAAACGGTCCGTAGTCTTTGTTATCCAAACTACCCCCTTACGGCAAATTCTGCCTCGGTCATCTCGATGCCATTGTTCGACGCGAATATTCGACTGCTGAATACGGACTGTGATGCAAGCATTCACATTGCCGTCTCTCGGGCTTAACCAAAATCTAACGTCCGACTGTAGCTTCTTTTCGGCCTCCGAGTACGCAACCTCTAAGGCTATTGTTGGTCGATCAGGCTGACCAGGCGCTCTGCGCTTCGGGCCCCATCCGTAGTCTGGCTCCTTTGCTCTTTTTTCCCCGTCACCCCATATCCTACTCCCCACGTATGTCTTGAGGGTGTTATTGAGGCCCATTGGTAGTATTGAACTCAGGATTATGTCGTGAAGTACTCCGCCAACGGAGCCATGGGGTACACTGGACATTTTGCTGAGCAATAGTCTCCCACTGAGGTCGATGGATGAAATGTTTGTTGATATATTAGGATTTTCGGGGTTAAGGATAGTATTAAAGGTATGAATATCGGTATCTTCACTGATCCGGAAGAGGAGGAACTCATGGGGGATATCAATTATAGTATTGAAATGAGTGGCTTGCGAGTTGATAATGTTCAAAAACTGGGATTCACTGCAAAGTGTGTATGTTTTGATCGATGGGAGTAGGTCCTCGAGGAAGCTACGACCTAGATACTCCAACTCATCGCAGTCTTCGTCTGTCGTCATTACAGCCATGATTTTTCAGCAATTTAGTCCAACAGACACTGGCGGGTAGTAAAGAAGGATGACAGGTTCAAGGCGTGGGGGAAAATCGATCAGGCTCAAGTTGAAAAGACCACTATCGGATCACGTGAAGACCAGTATACTAGTATATATGACTTCATGATGACTGTTTAGAGGAATCCGGCGGAATATATGCAGTGGATTATAGAGGCACCTGTTGGAGCCATTTCAATACAACCGGCAGTTAAAGCCGTAGCTGATTATATCCTTGGCATTTGTAGGCAATAGTCATCAAGCACATGGGTGGAAAATCATATCGCCTGCCACACTGGGTATTGTCAACAGCCGAATATCGGGAGATCTGACTGGTAAAAATAATGTCGTCATTTTTACCAGTCAATTAACTGGGGTGATATGTTTGCGAATATGCACTATCAACCTACAAACAACAGGCGAGGATAACCATTGATGTTGCTCATGCTTTGGATCAATTAGCACGGCCCCATTGCCCAGCAAGTGGCTCTTGTTATTTCTTGGTGTTACATGTACGGATACGGTCCAAACTATGAATTATTGGGAAACTTGGGTGAGCTTATAATAGAATAAGTCTGTTATAGGAAAGGTTACCTCACAATAAACAGTGATTAATCTATTAGTAATCAAAGCTAAGCAAAGTAACCTTGGAACCTTGGAAGATGATACACAAGTAGAAGTCACTAGTAACAAGCAAGAAATATATTATGGGAATGGCTTTGGATCTGAAGATACACATAAATCAACAATACTCTAGGGCTTAATTCTCCGAAATGGTTCTTCCTCTACACAAGGATTTCGATATTCTCGAGAATAAGTAAAGATCTTGAGAAATTACAATATGCAATCTAACAATTGCGTACGTTCCAAGGTCGCCGGTTTCTCCACTGGTACCATTAGTAAGGAAGTGAGTCAAATCAGGGTACTTCGATCAGGCTCAGTGAGTGATCAGTTTGACTATATAATCATCACTGATCAGTTGAGGCTAGTCAGGGGCGTGCTCAATTCTACTCAGATAGTTAAAGCGGCGAGAGGGTGAGCACTAGAATAGAAATGGAAAGCTAAGAATTGCCAGATATTTTCTGGGATATATGCGAAACATGCCGTAGTGCTATTGAAGACTTGATTAATATATTGTACATAGTAAGTATCACGGTCCAGGAAACTTCGCAAAAGTCTATATCCTCCATGTACTATGTGTTATTCTTTTTAGTATTTACCGTGTTTCACGGCCTTGGTTGTTGGCGGTTGCTGGAAAACTCAATTTGTAAGGATGGCCGATGACCTTGCGGTTTACATGCCAAGCTAATAAATAGCTTGGGAATTGACCGAAAGAGCTTAACTGGCTATCGTGCTGTCGACGCCAGTTCGTTCCAAACTTCACGGTAATGTAATGAGGTCACAAGAAGGTCACAAAGACAACTCCCAAAGTCATCTGGGTCGATCATTCGTATCTGCATAGAGAGCCAAGACGACAACTCTGTCAGGTTTCTTTGACCGGATTCTGTGCTATATGAACCCTTTTTAGGTTTCAAAATCGGAACCTGGATGGTCTAGAGCAGGTAGAGATTAGCCTCCCTCCCACCTCTACCGAGTTTGAGTTTTGATCAATCCAAATTGGTTATGAAATATCCCGTCACAACAATGCTAACAAACACAAAATGGCACTAGACTTGCTCAGTCTTCCGAGGAGAAAGTGGGCAGAGCCTATAAACTGGTCGAAGCAAAGCCTATGCCGTTTTTCGTCATACAAATATTGGACATGATGGAATATCCAGGAAAGATTTACGCGCCAAGAAATGGTCCTCGTGTGACCAGTCGGGCAAATGAGATCTCCTAAACGTCGTTATTGGGTTACTATCCTTATGACGACAAGAATGATACCCGTGTCTATAAAGCAGGGTCTGTCGCGCCTTTTGAGCTTCTAATCACCTTCAAAGTAACTGCGAGTTGCTTCAATTCGGATCGTATTCTCTTATATTCCACACACAATGCCTATCCCCCACTACGGCGTCTGGGTTGGCCAGCCGACCAGATATACCGCCCAGAGGGCGAGGGAGGACCCTAAGTCTCCGCATATCCATCTTAAGTTCACCGATGGTTCCTCGAGGGAGTTCGAAGCTGCTATCAACGTCAAGTCGATCGATAAAGATTCTCGTCTCGTATTTTGGCTGCCGGATAACCTGTCCCATTCCATAACCGAGCAACTTTCAAAGCTAGACGAAGGCTTTCACCTAGCCCAGTCGTCAAGTCCAAATGACGTTAGTAAAAGCAAGAGCCAAGGTCACCACCGTAACCGACACCACCAGGTTAGACGACAGGAATCCGATCTACGAGGTCTAGACTTCATTCGCACGGACGGTCTTATTAACATCAAGTCCGGACTGGTCTTGCAGCACGACATCCCAGGCGAGAACAATGACATTTTGGATAAGATGGAACCTATCCTCCAGAAAGCGATCGACAACTCAGCTACCTCATATATCTTTGGGTCGTCGTTCGGGTCAGGTATCCATGATGTTCACATGAATCAGGGCAGTTTGCCTAGATTTGATAATGGAATCTACGAAGATGGGGCCTTGTTGTTCCAGTACGGTGATGGACACTGGGAAGCAGTGTTTTTGGCCTTTGCATCGCAGAGGATTCCAACCAATTCCTCCGGCGAACCAGAGCGGGACAGTGAAACATTGGCAGATATTCTTGGGCAGTAAATGCCACAAAAAGCATTGATATGATAGTACACGAGTATGTTTTAAGTTAATTAAATTGATATTGATATTTTACGCGTCACGCATATCGGTTGGGGACTTTCCATAAATATTTCGAGCGGACAGGTCAAAATTACAGCGTACTTTATTGTAACAAGACAGGAACTCACTGAGTCAATCAACGTATACATTCTTGTCAGTTTGAGAATACAACCAAATCTGATGTTATCCTATTTGTTCGTTATATTAGAAGGCCACAGAACTTGCCTCTAGATTGGTCCAAATCATTGCGTCGTGACGATATGTACCAAGCATTCAAAGTCTTCTTTCCACAGTTGTAAAAGTGCAAATGACGCCTGCACTTAGGGTGAGTGTTTTAAATATTATATTTAGTCTATCGCAAAGTGCCATGGTCTATAGTACCCCTCCCACTGGCAGATAGACGGGCGCTGTTTGCGGATAATAAGCGGGGGTCCGCGTGGGAAGGAGGTATATACCGTTGTTAATTTAACTTTAAAAATTCAAGGTTACTTCATTCTTGGCATAGAAAAAACACGAGCTATGCTTGTGGTAAAAGGTAGATAAAGTCAGTGCCTAGATGCCAGTGGCCAAAGCTTATTTTGGTTTGCGCAGGCTTACCTAGGTATCCTGTCGTGCCAGACACAATCAGGTCTCCTGATACGCATGGAAACCACGCAGCACGCCATCCTAGTACAAGGTGCTAATGAGGTGAGGTCAACAGTAACACTCTTGTTCCACATAGCATTATAATATTGTCTGTACATATTCTGAAACGATCAATCCTCATGGATACGAGCGCGTTACAAAGAATGTGGGGGGAAAGAATCGTATCATGGAAAACCCCCCCAAAAAACCATCAGTGGAAGTGGCTCACTCAGCTGACACCCCATCAAAAATTGAGCCCTCGAGCCAATCTACCTTTTTCAACCGCTTTCCGGCAGCCGGTTCGTCTCCAAATACAATGGGAGTAAGATGACGGCCCGCCAGCAACTATATCCCAATCCTAGGTCGCTGGTTGAACGTGGAGCGGTGGGGTGGTGGGGTGGTGGGCGGTATTTTTTCGGGGCCGCCCGTCTCCCGGTAATTGTTTCACGTAATTTACGGGGTTGTATTCTTCATTCTCGGTCATTTGAGCCATCGATACACGAGTGGTTTTCATAGAAGTGGCGAGCCATGGGACAAGCATCTCTGATTTTGTCGGTCATGATATAATAACCTGAGAACCAATTATGTCCTATAGTTATTCTGCCGCAAGCAGAATATTCATAGTTAGCCATGTGACAACTGCAAATCGTTCTACTTGTAAATCTAGACTGTTCGGTGGCCTTTCAACCTAATAGAACTTATTGTCCAGGTCTTCTAGTCCATATAAATACTGGCCAGTGGATTTGGCAGACTTGTCCCTGCTATCACAGCCTCAGCTCATTTCCAGCTCTCAATCTTATAATATCCTTGGAAATACCAACTTCAAATATACACTAGCAATGTATTGCCTCCGTTCACTCTTGATACTCTTTTATACACTACACTTAACTTGCGGTTGGGGGGACGTCGGTCATCGCACGGTAGCCTATTTGGCAGAGAAGTACCTAACCAAGCAGGCTACTCAACTCGTGGAGGATCTGATTCCTCTCAATGATACGTTCGACATCTCAGATGCGGCAGTTTGGCCTGATAAAGTGAAATTTCGACGTCCATTTACCCGAAATTGGCATTACATAGGTATGCTGCAATAGAATTTATGGCAGATTTACAAGCTGACTTGGATAGATGCTGTGGACCAACCACCCAATTCTTGTGCTGTTTCCTATGAAGCAGATTGCAATGATGGATGTATTATCTCTGCTATTGACAACATGGTCAGTAAGTCCAGGGGACTAGAAATTGCAGCCTAGCTAGAACCAAACTATCTAAGCACTACTGACTAGTCAACAGACTCACCAAGTGCAGGATCTTGACCTGGATAAGAAGAAGCAAGGCGAAGCATTGAACTTCCTGATACATTTCATTGGCGACCTACATCAACCGCTACATGTTGAGAACAAATGTAGAGGAGGAAACGAGATCCACGTTCACTTTGACAATCACGGTGGCGAAAAGGAGAACCTACACAGTGTGTGGGATACGGATATTCCGCATAAAATCCTCGGCATCAAACATAGGCTGAAGCAAAACGAAGAGAAAGAGCCTGCTGAAAAGTGGGCCACAAAGCTGTTCCAGTCTCAGGGATTAAGGCCCCTTCATGCTGAATGCGCTGATACACAGAAACCTATGAAATGCTCAATGTTGTGGGCAGCGGAAACAAACAGACTGAACTGTGATTATGTATTCAAGAAAGGCATTGAATGGCTGACAGAAAATGACTTGGGTGGAGAGTATTATGAAGGAGCAGCTCCTATTGTGGAAACACAGATTCTCAAAGCAGGAATTCGCCTAGCCGCGTGGCTGAACGCCTTGGCAGCCGACAAAGCGTCATCTGGAGGGCACTGTACTCCTCAGGGTGGAAAGGTGAGATACGTTTCCAATCCTGGGCAAGACCCTCTTCACAGGTCTGATTAATTTACCCTTTTGCCGCACTTTCAGGTGAAAGCACAGAAGGAGCTAAAGTAAACCAAAATACGAAAAAGGCGAAAGCAAGGACAATGTCAATGTCAATGGCAGAATCTAAAAGTGATAGTATTTTTCAAATCCCTGTGACAAATCAAAATGTTTATTATTGAATTGATGCTTCCTGTCGTATTATTTCCCATATTTGTGACGAAGCGTAGTCTTGTGAACCATAGTTTACTCCCTAGATAGCTGGCCTGTAGGCCTCATGGTTCACCTTTTCACCTTTCCCCAGCTTTGTTACTTTTTCCGAAGGCTTGCGATCACCCAATGTGAAACTATAGCATCATATGGCTTCTCTATTTGACTTGGAGGATTTCATAATTCTACTATTCACCTATGAGTCTGGCGTCCGTGCTGCTACTGTCTAGTCAGGGCGGAAGATAAGGAAATGCAACGACCCCCGCATCTGTGACCTGGCATTCACGCATTCACCTGCACTCGGAATCCCAGGTAGCCTCCTCTTCTCCTACTCCTCCCTATTCCCCTTTGACCTTGATTATATCCAACCTTGTCAGTCTTATCCGGTACCAATATCCACTAGTGCAACTAGTATAAACGAACACTACAAGATGGCGATTCCTTCTACGCAGATTGCAGCCGTCATTCCACCGACCGGGGCATCTGCAAAGTCTGGGGTCAATATAATCAACACTCATCCGGTCCCTACCCCAGGCGATGGAGATCTGCTAGTGAAACTTGAATTCTCCGGCGTGTGCCATACAGACATTCACAGTATCCGAGGAGATACGCCAATGTTGACAGATGTGGCTGGCCACGAAGGTGTCGGAACTGTAGTTTCAGGTGAGAAAGGACCTATTCGAAAGAGGCTTTTGGTATAACTTGAACTAATATGATTCTTTGCCGTATCTCAGTTGGGCCCCGAGTTGATGAAGGCCAGTGGGTCGGTCAGAGAGTCGGTATTAGGTCCGTGCCTCAAGTTCTTGGCTGGGTTTAAGATAGGAGTGTCATGCTTGAATGGAGTATTAATCAGATTTCCTTTTCAGGTGGCTTTACAGTTCGTGCCTTAACTGTGAGATATGCGCGATCAATCATACCGCATGTCCGAGTCAGAAAAATGCCGGTGCCGTATGTCCCTCAGGCGAATTGGTTTTCTCATGATCATATATGTGCCCATGCTAATAAATATCAATCAAGAATGTTCCTGGAACATTTCAGCGTGCGAGTCCCCAGCTATTATCTTATTTAACTTGAAGACTAATTGAAACCTATAGAGTATATCGTCAGCCCGGCACTCCATGTCACAAAAATACCCTCGGAGATTTCTCCCGAGCTAGCAGCGCCGCTTCTATGCGGTGTGTTTAATCATTACCTACTTGCGCTATGGCAGCCAGCTGACATTCAATAGCTGGAATTGCCATGTATTCTTCAATCATGAAAACAAAGCCTCGCCCAGGCGATTGGATCGCTATTCTTGGTGCTGGAGGTGGTCTCGGGCATATGTGCGTTTAGGTTTACGGTGTACACCGAACAAACCATAGTATTGTGCTGACTTGGAATTACAAAGGGGTGTACAAATAGCTGCGAAGAAAGGTCTGAATGTTCTCGCTATTGACAAGTATGCTCCATCCGAAAACGAATCCCCTATCAAATCGGGGTTGAACCCTGCTGCTAACATTGCCCAGGGGCGCAAAGAAGAGAGAATTATGTCTATCGCTAGGAGCTAAGCACTTCCTTGACTTTAGTGACGTTGACATTGTTGACGAAGTCAAGAATCTTACCTCCGGACTAGGTGCTCATGGTGTAATCTGTACGGCAAACGGCGCACGAGCATATGAGCAAAGCTTGCAAATGCTGCGTCCACTCGGAACACTAGTATGTGTTGGCATTCCGAGTGTCCCATTTAATCTGCCGGCTACTCCACTGGACATGATCATCAAAGGTAAGTGAGGCTTGGTAATGTCATGTTCATTTACTGATCTCTTTCTTAGGTCTGACTATTGTGGGGAACTCGGCTGGCACTGCAAGTGAGATGGAGGAGCTTTTGACTATGGCTATGGCAGGAGATGTGAAAGCGCATATCCAAGTCTTTGATTTGGATGAGATTCATGATGTTTTGGAACGACTCGAGAAATCGGAAATTGAAGGCAGGGTGGTATTGAAGATTCCTTGAGGAGAGTTGACCTGCATATATTCTTAGTCTATCTCGCTCTCAATCAATTCATGAGATTGGACGTACTTTTACTATTGAGTCACAGCGCATTTCTCGGCGGTTCTTCACAATGGGGCTCCTTCCTGGTTTGTGAGCTTCAAGTGAACCCCCCCTCCTCCTGCCCTCCCCGTTTGTACAGCAGCCACCGGGCAAATTGACGCTCCGTCGATCATCGTGACATTAACTGCACCCGCAAACTGAACTCGACAGTATCTGGAAGTAAGATATAGGATTCCTCCTGTGGCGAATACTTATTACTAGGGCTTGGACAATAAGAACTGACTCTGGCTGACATTTCCAGGATGGTTCATCTATGGCTTCTCGTGGCGCAAGTCCTCATCGCAGCTCCTTCCTTCGTGTCCGTGTCCGCCGACTCTGGCGGTTCATTTCTGTGGAATCCGCCCTGGTTCAACGAAGCCAACGTCTACGCCCGCATGATTAAACTCCAACACGCTGGTGATCGTAATGGCAAACTGCTTGCGACATGGGAGCACTGGTACACAAAAAGGCAAGGACAGTGATGAGCCAAACGGCCTCCCGGGCAGCTTCATCATTCGTGAAAGCGACGATGAAGGGAATACTTGGACAACATTGACAACTATCACTGATCCGCAATCCGGTCCAGAACATCCCTGCACGCGGTTTTGGCAGCCCTTTCTCTTCGAATTTCCACGATGCCTTGGTCAATATCCCGAAGGAACTTTGATTCTGGTCGGAGTTCTTGTTGCTTCCGATTTAAGCTACGTTTCCTATCACCTGTGGCGTTCTCTCGACCATGGACAAACGTGGAGTCCGGGAGAAGAATGGCAACGCAGTGGTTCATTCTCCAAAGGGATCTGGGAACCTTTCCTTTATCTGGACAGCTTGTCGCAATTTTCTCTGATGAACGTTCTTACTGGAGCCAGGCGTTAGTGACGGTCATATCTGACGATGGGGGTGACTCATGGGGTAGGATCGAATTCGCTTTGGCTAGTTCCAATATTCATGATCGGCCGGGCATGGCCACTGTGTCGAGGATGGAAAATGGCGAGTACATTTTGGCCTATGAATACTGTGTCACCGCAGATTGCCAGATCTACGTGAAGATGTCCAGCAACGGATCCAACTGGGTTTCATCCGATATGGGAGACGCTGTTTCCACAACCGACGGCCTCTTCCCGGCATCAAGTCCATTCATAGTTTGGGAACCGACAGCAAAACAGTTGATACTTTCCAGTCAATCGGTATACCCGATCGGTAACGAGTCCCAGGTCTCCCAAAACCCATCGTGCCATCTTCACCAATGGCCAGCATGGCCGAGGGCAATGGAGATGGTCTCCAGCTCCTTGGAATGTCCGCGCGGGATATCCGACTTGCAACTCCAACTACAGCCCCAATTTGCTCGTACGGCCCAATGGCAAGGTACGATTGACTGCTCCCGCGAGCGAATGGAGCACGACCAAATGCTCCGAACGAACTGGGGAGGCCTTCATCGGTGTCCTGCCCTACCAGTCTGATTTCGCAGTCGATGGCCAGTCTGGTTGGATTAACTTCGGAGAGGACTGGTCTATTTCCGGCAGCGAGTATGTGTTTGCACCCGTCGGAGACCAACATGCCATTGCAGTGACTGGGTCGACGGGATGGACGCAGTACACAATCACTAGAGATGGGATGATTACAACTCCCTCTGGGAAGGTTGGATTGATGGCCCATGTGTCTGCATCGGGCGCCCCTCATGTCAATCTATTGCAAGGATTTACTTTCACCCTTAGCACACTAGGGACCTCCGCGGGCAGGATGACAATCACGCAGGAAGGCACCAACTCGAAACAATTGGGTTCCAACCTAGCCCCCTGGCCAGTGGAATCGAACAGATGGTATCGCTTGAGCTTAAGTTATCACTCTGGTGGGATTTTGACGGTTACGGCGGCAGTCCCCCCTACAAATTATGAAGAGGAAGAAGTGGAGACCAGCAATACCTAGTAGGCTACAAAGACAGCATTGCCACCAGCCCTGGTTCCAGCCTGGACAACGATTTCGAACAAGGCATGGCAGGACTGGTGGGCAAGATGGTGGAGGGAGATTTAGGAATGTGCAGATTGTCGCGAACTAATTCGGAGCCAACGATAGGTGTGAATGTGATCATTACTATCGTTACGAATATCATTTGATCATCCAATATCGTGACTTTTGTGGAGGGTAGGGTACAGAGGATGGCGAGTGTACTTACTACTCGTATCTGGGTGGCTCAACCGCATCGGGTCGATCAGTTGGAGACTGAAATAATCCTCGATCCCATTAAAACCCGGGGGAGCTCCAATGTGCCGTCGATCGTCTTCCTGATAGGCCCGCTGGGGGGACCATCGGGGTTGCCAATCAGCAAGCAGTTAACCCCCCCCACGGGCGGCCCTGATGCCTGTGAGTGGCCCACATTGCCACTAATGCAGGCCCGAAGCCAAATGCCCTTAAAGTTGGTCCCTACTTCGTTACTCTGTATGCACTCTGTACTCCGTACTCGGAGATGCTCCATTAAAACTGTTTTCGTGATCTACTGTAGAGTGGAGGTGGAGATAAAAGGGAAACTATCTGATCCCATGTCTTGGGTACTTCGCCCCCCCCCATACTAATTTGCCTATACATACAAGTTCCATGTACAAGTCTTGCCCATTGTCACGCCTCCTACTATCGCAACCTCCCCCACCCATGTGTTGCCCTGATAGGGCCTGATGCAAGCTGCTGCCCTCCACCCGCAATGGAGTGCCACCTGTGGGCTCTATGCAAATGTCCTATCAAACGTGCCATGCAGTAGTACTGGACTCTCTGGAAGTATGACCATGTGCTCTGGCTATGGTGGTGGTGGTGGTGGTGGTATATGAAATATCAATCCCCTCGTGCCTTCCCCTCCTCCTCCTCCCCCCCCCCTCCATTCTCCTCTTTGAAAAAAGAAATGTTTGCCGATTTCCTGACAAGTCCCTCAATGGACTGGCTACACGTCTACATCGCCGGGGCGGCCTTCCTAGTCTTCGCCTTGGTCGCGCTGGTTCTCTTCGTCTCCTTCCAACCAGTCAAGATTGACCTCAACCATGGTGCCTTCACTTACTTCAAGTTCATTTGGGCCAGTTTCCTGAAGCCTCACGATAGCCAGGCGGGGGATCAACAAGATGCACTTGAGAGCTTTTACAAAACTCAGGTGCGTACCAAGGAGTATACAGCGAGTGCCGCGCAAAAAATAACCCGTTTTGCATGTTCTATTTTAGGCCAGCGTCTACGATGCTACTCGACGTCGCCTTCTTCGTGGCCGCGAAGATATGCTGGGTCTCATTGCGGCGCAATTGAAGCATAAAGTTGAGAGCAAGGAAATCAAGTCCGGGAAGGCTGTATGGGTGGATGTAAGTATTTTGAAAACCGGCATATTCCTCAGGATAAAGCTGACAGAGTTGACAGATTGGCGGTGGTACTGGGTGAGTCACATATGAAATTAGCCCCATGAATTTAGTCAAGCATCGGCAAATACTAACTTTTCATCCACAGCTACAACATTGAAGCCATGTCCGCCTTCGTCCCAGTGGAGAGGTTCTTCGACCACGTTTACCTCGTCGACCTTTCGCCATCTCTTTGTGAGGTTGCCCGCCAGCGTTTTCAGCGCCTGGGATGGAAAAATGTCACTGTTCTGTGCCAGGATGCGCGATCTTTCCGTCTTCCAGAGAGGCAGGTCGACCCCAGTCCACTGAGGCTGCAACGGATCGAGCGGACATGATTACCATGAGCTATAGTCTTTCTATGATTCCAGGTGAGATTTCAACTGCTTGAGGGATTAATTCGAGATACTCATACTAATATCACTTTTTAGACTACTACAGTGTCGTCGATTCCCTAACCTCGCGCTTGAAGCCAACGGGCTTGCTCGGAGTCTGCGACTTCTATGGTAAGTAGCTACCAGAGGTATTTTAAAATAGCCGCTCACACTTGGATAGTGCAAAGTATCGTCGACGTATCTTCCCGCAATTATATTGGTGGAGCATTCAACCGACACGTTAACTGGCTTGGTCGAGTCTTCTGGCGTGCGTGGTTTGACTTTGACCGAGTCAACCTGGAGGCTGCTCGCCGTGACTATCTCGAGTACAAGTTTGGAACCGTGATCTCGGCCAGTGAGCGCAACTACCTCTTGGGTGGTATTCCCTACTATATATTTGTCGGTTGCCCCAAGGAGTTCGCCTCTACTCGATCCAGCCAAGCCACCATCGAAAAGTTGGATGCTTCATTCACCGAATCTCCCTATCTACACCCCGCCAACCACCAAACTGAGATGGATAAGGCCGCTCAGAAGAGCACGAGCGAGGTTCGATCCAAGGCCTACGAATCTGCTGTGATCAACCTCAGCGCCAACCTGCCTCTCCCGTGCTCTTTCTACCAAAACCACCACTATCGGATTCACTACAACGACATGCTCCCTAAGCACACGCAGTTCCAAAATGAATATATCTACGCTTTCACTTGGGAAGATCCCCGAGTGGATCACCGACTGCTGAACATCGGCCCGGATGATGTGATCTTGGCCATCACAAGTGCCGGAGACAATATCTTGGACTACCTTCAAAAGAACCCTCGTCGTGTTCATGCTGTTGATCTAAACCCGAACCAAAACCATCTACTTGAGCTGAAGGTGGCCAGTTACAGCGCACTGGGTCATCGTGATATGTGGAAGATTTTTGGCGAGGGCAAGCATTCACAGTTCCGCGAGCTACTCATTTCCAAACTGAGCCCTCACCTCTCAAGTCAGGCTTTCCAGTACTGGTTGGAACACACCCATGTCTTTACTTCCACTTCTGGATATGGTCTCTACGAGACTGGTGGCTCCCGTCATGCTATTCGCATGGCACGATGGCTGTTCAATATCTTTGGGCTCCAGGGTGAGGTGACTAAGATGTGCGAGGCTCAAAGCTTAGAGGAGCAGCGTGTTATTTGGCCGCGCATCCGCCGGGTCCTTCTCAGTAAGCCATTGAACTGGGCTATCGTGAGTACCGAATGGTTTGCCTGGAAGGCAGCCGGTGTGCCTCGCAACCAGCGCAACATGATCGTCGACGATTTCTTCCGTCGCAATGGGTTGACATCGGACATGAAGCAAGGAAAGGACATCAGTGGCCAATCCATTTGGGAATATGTGGTGAATACCCTCGACCCAGTGGTCAAGGACACGATGATCAGCAATGACAACTACTTCTACTACCTGTGCGTGCAGGGTAAATTCTCGCGACGGTCAGTCAATATCATGAACATCCACCTTGGAGATGTATGAGAAGTTGGTACTAATTTGTTTCCAGATGCCACCCTACATACCTGTCACCCCAAGCACATGTCAAGCTCTCTACGCCTGGTGCTTTTGATGGGCTCCGTATTCACACCGATGAGATCAACGAGGTTATCAACCGTATCACACCCGGCACATTGACGATTGCCGTGGTAAGTCCAAGAAATATCTACCTTGAATCAAACCTCACATATACTAATCTAATTCAGGTCATGGATTCAATGGATTGGTTCGATCCCGCCGAGGACGCCGCCGCCGCTCAAGCCCGCCGTCTCAACCACGCCCTGAAGAAGGGAGGCCGGATCCTACTCCGCTCCGCTAGCATCGACCCTTGGTACATCAAACACTTCGAAGACAACGGGTTCACAGCCCGTCGGGTGGGAGCTCGTTTCCCAGGCACTTGCATCGACCGGTAATTTCTATTCAACTCCATGATCTTCAAACTCGAACTAACTCATCAAATCAGCGTTAACATGTACGCTTCCACCTGGATCTGTACCAAAAACGAAGGCATTATCCGCCCCGGTTCTGGGAGAACAATTTCTTCCCTGTCACTTCCCGATAGTGCCATCGCGGCGAAGGCGAAGAGATCGACTAGCGTGGAAGACTTGCAACTTTGAAGACGCCCCGGCTCCCCCATCCCCCCCCTCCCTTTTCCTTCTCCTATATCCTTTAGATACCTTTTTCTTTTTCATGACTCCTCTTGCCTACCTAGAAGGTTTCTCTGACGGTCGCGTGCGGCTTTATTTTATGACACATATGCTATGATTAATGGGGTGTTTGGTGTATATACTGGGTTGTGCGGTGTTGATACGACAAATTGGATAGTATGTTGAATACCACCTGCTTATAATTGAACAGCACTAGAATTTGAAAAATTTCCAGTAGCCTTCCAAGGTTGGATATTATTCTTTATTGAAGCGGCTTCCAGTCGAAAGGCTGGCTCTGGAGTCACTGGTCTTGATTCACAAGACAGCCTAAGAAGTGGTCACCGCCTATATCTGGAGAAGAGAAGGTGGACTGATCAGAGACACGGTAGGCGCTCGAAGCAAAGGTGCAAGATTAGTGAGGACCCAGTAGCAGAACCCCAACAACGAGCGCCGACACTCGTGCCCAGGTGGCGCGCTCGCATAAAAGTGTGCTGCTGGAGGAGTGTGGCTCCGTTTTGTCAGATCAGGTTGTAACCGATTGAAGGTTGAGTTGGAACTCTGGATGTGGTGATGACTTCATGAATTAGCCTAGATTCGAGCAGAAAAGTATGATACGTATCAGTCATATTTGTCGTTGACGTTGACAAAGAGGAGGAAGCTATGGCTAAGATGGCTACGAAGTAGGTGTGGGTGTTTGGAGGCTGAGATCAGGTAACATGATGCCATGGGAGTTCGCGATGCCTAGTTCCATATCAATACAGCAACATTGCAAAGGCCTCGGGATTAAGGCTAATGTTATATGATCCTGTATCGAGAGAGTCCCCCTACTGCATTACCTACGCAATGTATGTGAGAGGTCTTCAGCACTTATAGAAGTTGGTCGTAACAAGATATTGAAAGCTAGCATAAACCTAGCTCCAAATCTGATCATATTTCACAGTCGAAGCCAATGTTAAGAATAGAAAAAGCTTAAGAAAACAGGGACAAATGAAGAAGACAAGAAAGAAAAAAAGCGCCCTCTAAAACAACAGGACAATCACAGCCAGAGATGGGGAACCAAGAGGAGAGAGAGGAAGAAATCATTTAAACGGAGAGCAATAATCCGGGGAGGGAAAAAGAATATCCAATCACAAGGCTGTTAATTTGCTCCTCAGACGACGCCTCCATCTCTGGCTTTGTTTTTCGCTGAAATCATATCTATCCATGGCTGGTGCGAGACACATACACACATTGACATTGACATTCGCAACTCTCACGCTGCCTTACCCACTCTCTTGTATAGTAGGACTAAGAGAGAAGGAGCAAGCATAAATAAAAAAGTGACATTGTAGGGTTGGTGAAAGGGAGAGATGGTGGATTTAAAGGAGGTGGGATGTTCATGTTCATGAGCGGCCGTAGCGCGTCTTGCCGAAGGAGAAAGGCACATAGCGATACTTGATCATATGCTGAATCTGGCGGCGCATAGTCAACACGAACAGAAGGATCCAGTAGATCACCAGGACGGGCCAGAAGACGGGGATATCGAACATGGCGAACCAGCTGCACACGAAGCCGATGGCGATGGCGCGGGTGGCGGAGTGCCAGAACTTGAACTCCGGCAGACGTCGAATGAAGGGACGGAACTCTTCGTCACGCTTGGTGGGTAGACTGGGGGAGCCGGCATCGCCGTCTTCCAGGCCTTCATCCTGGGTCATGGAGGGGTCGAATTTGGGGGTGAGGAAGGCGAGGAAGAGGTTGAGGAGGTAGATTCCGAGGGTGTAAGCCACTATTTGGGGATTTGTTAGCGTTTGTTGTTCTGTTTATTTGTTTGGAATATTTCGCCGCATCGTCCATTGCATTTCCGTTGTTTCTTGCGTATCCGGGTTGCTTTTGGAGGGTGGCAATTGCTTGCAATTGACGATTGGACTGGAGAGACGACACGTACCGATGTACCATCCTTGCGCGAAGACGATGCGCAGGAAGAAGATGAAGAGAAGAACACCGGAGCCAACCCAGCGATATGTGGTGTAGGGAGTCGAGGCATCGAGGTAGGCTTGATAGTGCTAGAACCAATGGGTCAGCATGAAACAGGCCGGTGGAACAAACCGATGCGCCGGTGCAAGGAATGGGAGGAACTGCGGCGGCCGGGGCCCCTCACGGGGAAAGCACTTACTCTGGTCAGTTTGGAGGTGTGGGCCGAAACAGCCGTGAAAGGCGACTCATTGGGCTCCGGGACATCCATGGTGAGAGGGTGAGGAGGGAAGGTGAGGATGAGGATGAAGGAGAAAGAGTCGAGAGTCGAGAGATATCCAGGCAGTCGCAGATCGCAGTGCTGAATGCAGTGGCTTGTTCTGGAAAACGAAACAGGAGCAAAGTGTCCCTTGGCGCTCCGCCAATCACATTGCAGATGACGCCCCCGGAAGTCACGTGATGTGCACAGCCTCAATCATGTCAGTTTACATAATCATCCGCTCCAGCCACATAGCCACAGCCACAGCCACGAGATTGAGGCTCGAGCGAAATGTTTGTGAACTCGGTCTCAGCATATTCACCAGTATCCAGATAATGTATTTAAGTATCCTAGTTTTACGTGTATACAGTAGTTTCCGATTGTCCAAGATTACAGATTTGAGTTGCCCGAGAGGTCATATTGAGGACGATTAGAGTATTTGAAGAGGAGAACACGCTCATCGAAATCGATGTACCCAAAATGTAAAAATTGCTGTCAAAGAAACAGGAGAGATTGATTGATTTGGGTCCCATAATCTACTCGTACGACGGTACGAGTAGGTAACATCTACCACATGGCAACCACGGCCCATGCAAGGTACCAACCTAGTTTGATTGGCTGGAAGTAACCCGCATCTATACGCATACCATCGTGGATAGCTCCTCTCCTGTACCGATCCTTTCGTATTCGAGAACGACAGAGCAAGTTCGCTAATCTTTTCTCTTTACCCTCTTCTTGTCTCTGAATGACATCTCGCTGTCAAGTTTTTGATTGAACACCGGCCTCTCCGAGGGGAAGGTGGGCTCCACTTTTGTTTTCCCTGAAATCTTGATTGAACCCCACGATTTAACTGGCCCTGTGCTTAGTTCTTCCGATGGCCGAATGGCCAAGGCGCGTGCTGTGGGGCATTTAGGGCACTATTGATTCTTTTGAATCTAGATGGCACGCCAACAGTTCGTCGCTAAGGATTGCCATGCTGCAGGTACTGAAATAAACTACATGCTCAATAACATGGGCTTTCCTAGCGAGCAGGGGAATAGTAGGTCTTAAATATCAAGGAAGGACAACCTCACTGCTCAAAGCCCTGTCGCTTTACACTCCTTTCAATTGATATTCTGTCTTTACCATTAACAACATGGGTCGGAGAGAAAACCTACTCCTTCTGCCTGCCCTGGCAGCGCTGGCTCCTTTGGCCAACGCCACGGAGATTATCAGCACCAGCACCTTTACCACCATCTTCCCCACCACTGCCGTCGTTACCTCTTCATCTGCCATCGCGGGCTGCACCGAGGCGGTGGGTATGCAGATCACCTGTAGCAATGGATACTATAACACGTATGGGGCAGTATGGCAGGAGACTTGCTCTGCCTCGTACAGTGGGGGCACCATCATTTCCATCGGTTCAGGTCTCTCACTGCGGGCTTGTGCTTCGGGGTGTGCTGTCCAACCTGCGTGTTCCGCGACCGTCTTCGAACCCAGTAGCTTGACCTGTTATATGTTTTCGGGTGATGTGACCATCACGCCTGGTGGAGGGTACCAAGCTGCAGCTCGTTATGCTGCCGATGCCAGTCCCTGCGTGTCTACCTGGGTGGTCACAGAGACTGACTTGGTCACATCGACCGGGGAGGTAATTTACACGACGACTATTCCGACCCCGACCCCATCGATTACGGTCACTTCGTCCTCCATCCCAGCGATATCTTCCACCCCAATGGTATCGTCCGTCCCAGTGGTATCGTCCTCCACCCCACTGGTATTGTCCTCCACCCCACTGGTTCCATCTTCGACGCCTTACTCGAGCCCGCCCACATCACCGACGACGTCGTCAGGAATCCTTTCGTCGACGCCGCTGATCCATTCGTTGACGACGACCTCTCGCAGCACATCCAGCCTGGTCTCATCGACCCCGTTGACAAGTTCGCGGGTTACTTCTTCTTCTTCTTCTTCTTCTTCTTCTTCTTCTTCTTCTTCTTCTTCTTCTTCTTCTTCTTCTTCTTCTTCTTCTTCTTCTTCTTCTTCTTCTTCTTCTTCTTCTTCTTCCTCCCTCCTCCTCCTCCTCCTCAAGCTCATCCGTTTCTTCTGCTCCATCCGGGGAGTCTCCTTCTGACCAGGCCACATCTGTGACACAGCCCGCCGCCAGCTCAACTGCGATCGCTATCACAACTGAGACACCAATTGGATCATCTTCTTTAACCCAGCCCACAGACCAATCAAGCGGGGGCACACCAATTACTACCATCTCTACCGTCACGACAACTGAAATCTATACCATCACTTCTTGTGCTGCATCAGTCACCAATTGCCCTGCAAACCAACAGACGACATACTTGACCACCGAAACAATCACCTATGTTACCACAATCTGTCCCGAGGACGATAAAACCACGGCCACCCAAGCTTCAGGCTCAACACCAACCAATTCTGATACAGGTGTGATCCAAACTGCCAACCCTCAGCACGTCACTACGCAGACCACCAGTCTTCCTTCAGCCCAAGGCACAGAGACCAGTATTCCTCTTTCGCATATGACTACCTCGACCGTTTATGTCACGGAGATTGACGTGATTACTGCTTGCCCGCCTTCCGTCCACAATTGCCCTGCCGGCCAAGAAAGCACTTACACCATTTCCAAGACCGTTCCTGCTTATACAACAACATATCTGGTCGCAGATACCGTGATTGATTCCGCACAGGTCGCTCAGTCTACGGGAATTCAAGCTTCGGTGCAGCCCGTGGTAGTCCCCACTGGCATCGTCTCACCCGGCCAGGCGACTCTTCAGACCTCTCAGCCAGCTGATGTCTACAATGATTACACTGTGTCGCACTCTCCGTCGACCAAGGCCCAAAAGCCGAGCGTCACATTCCACGCCTCCGTCCAGGTGGCTACGCACGCTACAACTATGAGCACGATCTCTGGGGGGACGATATCGGCCGTGACTACAAATGCTCCTGCTTTCAACAGCGCGTCGAAGATGGGACGTTTGACTTCACTGCCTATTGTTCTAGCCGTGATGTCCACTCTCTTTCTCTTTTAGAAGATATTTCCTCTTTTTTATAGGGATTTGGTGTATTCTAGATGAGATATAATACCGTATGTATGATAATGATAAATTATAAACATCCTGGTGAAACTAGAATTCTATGCAAATTACGATTAGAAAACGGTTCAAAATGGGTAGAATATAACTGAAAGCTTCAACCTTGAAATGTACGCCTGTCGCTTTTTCAACCACTGGAAATACCTCCCGCCATGCCTCTTCCAACATTTTTCTTGGGATAATGTATAAGCCTGTCTACTATTACTTAATCTCCCACTGAAGTCAAGGAATTTGAGGCATCAGGATATCTGGCGTGTTCAACTAGAGGATAAGTAGAAAAATAAGTAAACCTTGATATTAAAAACCTCTGGTCGCTATTATCTCCCGGGATCTTCGCCATACTGAATGACAGGCCAGTTATTCAGTGTGACACGCTCCCTTGCTTGTTCAAACGCCGCAAGTCCCAAGCAAAACGCTCACAGTATTGACATTGGGATTGGCAGTCACTATATCGGGAGCGCCATCTCCATTGAAGTCGCCCACTGCAACACCCCTCGGATTGGTCCCCACAGCGAAGACGCTCTGTGTCTGGAAGCTACCTGATCCAATCCCATATAAAACACTAACTGTACTGTCACGTTGATTCACAGCAACAATATCGAGATAGCCGTCTCTGTTGAAGTCACTGACTGCCACATAAAATGGGCCAGATCCCAGACCCAGTCTCGAGTAAAACACTCACTGTATTGCTAAACTCATTCGCAGTTGCGAAATCAAGATTGCCATCTCCATTGAAGTCGCCAACTGCTGCAGCAAATGGTGAGGATCCTACAGCGTAAGTAGCTTGTGGCCGGAAGGTACCATCTCCGTTTCCAAGCAAGACAATTGCGGAATTGTCACCCACATTCATAGCCACAATATCAGGATAGCCATCTCCGTTGAAATCACTTACTGTCACACCCCACGGATTAGTTCCGACAGTGAAGGTTGTCTGTGTCTGGAAGGTACCATATAAAAGCTCCAATTCTTGCTTCTATAAATAGATGAAGCTGAAGAACTAGCGTGATGATAGCCTTGAGTAATCTAGTTATAAACTAACCAATGATGATGATCTGACTGTCATATAGATCATCATAATAATATTACTCGGAGAAAATCCTTCTTGGTGAAGCTTTGGTCGAGGCTCGGATCTTCGGCATTCTTCGATCGAACTTTCTTTTCTTGTTAGTATTCTCCTCATATACTATATTATGGTTAGTCTTCTTGCACCGTGGAATATAGTGAAGTCTTACTTTATTTAACAACCCTGGTTTTTACCTTTTTGACACCATCTTCACCTCACACCTCACATCTCTCATTCTATGTATACATCCTCAGCGAGAGTGGAGACTTGCTTACTCAGCCACATGGGCCTCGGGACGGTTAACTTCGGCCCTTTCACGGTTGCGGGGAGGTTCATACATCATAGGCTCCGTTCAACGACCTCTCCTTTCCACCTGTCAATCCTACCTTAATCGTGATTCGTGATTGCTGTAATCAATCGCCATGTTTGCTCGTCGCTGTGCTCGCTTGGCTACTTCTCGGACCTCCATCCCTCTGAGCTCCTACCTGGCTCGCGTGCGCCCGTATTCCTCTGGCCCGAGCTATGAGCACATCCTCACCGAGACCCCGAAGCCCGGGGTTGGTCTCAGTAGGAGCTTCCCAGCACATGTTTCTGCATACAGAATGACTTACTCGTGATAGTCACCCTGAACCGACCGAAGGCCCTGAATGCCCTGTCCAGTCCTCTGTTCAAGGAGCTTAACGATGCGCTGAGCAAGTACGATAACGACAAGGATATCGGTGCAATTATCATCACCGGAAGTGAGAAGGCATTCGCTGGTATGCAATAAAGGCCCCGATAGTTCATTCGAGGAGCATTAACTGACAAATCCTAGCCGGCGCCGACATCAAGGAAATGGCTCCCCTCAGCTTCGCCGCTGCCTACTCCGACAACTTCATCGCTCCTTGGTCTCACCTTGCCAACGCAATTCGCAAGCCCGTCATCGCGGCTGTCTCCGGCTATGCTCTCGGCGGTGGCTGCGAGCTGGCGCTGATGTGTGACATCCTTTACTGCACCGCGAACGCGACTTTCGGACAACCGGAGATCAAGCTGGGCACCATTCCCGGCGCGGGTGGCTCGCAGCGTCTCACCCGAGCTGTTGGCAAGAGCAAGGCGATGGAGCTCATTCTCACCGGCAAGAACTTCAGTGGCAAGGAAGCTGGTGAGTGGGGTGTCGCCGCTCAGGTGATCGACGGTGGAAAGGACGAGCTTCTGGCGACTGCTCTCAAGACCGCAGAGACTATTGCCGGCTATGGCCGTGTCTCTGTCATTGCTGGTAAAGAGGTCGTCAACAAGAGCCAAGAGTTGTCGCTGCGTGAGGGTGTCGAGTATGAGCGTCGTTTGTTCCACTCCTTGTTTGGAAGCAAGGACCAGAAGATCGGTAAGTATCTATACCTACTCGGTTTGAGCCGTGACAATTGTTCTTCAAAAGGAATATTTCTAACAGATTTCACAGGCATGACTGCATTCGCAGAGAAGAAGAAGCCCGACTGGTCGAACGAGTAGATGCTTAGTTACTCTCCATCTGAATTTTGAGAGCGCGATATTACAACAAAAGAATAAATATCTACTACAACGAGAAAACTCCATTAGAATGTCTAATTACTATCCGGCATAAGTATTACCGAGTTGTATTGAATCCACTTTGCATTCCTCTACAACCAACACCCGTGGACCTCGCAACAAGAATTGAGGTTATAGTAGGAACCCCCGTTGTTTCATACACTTAGAGTCCGAAACTACCAGAATACCATGATAAAATTGAAAAAACAACTAAATTTATCCCCAATTTAAAATGTAAGCTTCTAAAGGAACTCACCATTGTCAGGCAGTTCACTCATACTTCATCGGGCCCTCCTTCACCGCCCGCGACATCGCGCCTCCGATTCCGTCCAATCTTCGGATCTGCAAGGGCACTGCAGAACCTCGGATCAAGTCATAACAGTGAGTCGCCCTCCGGTTGCCAGTCAATTCGTGCCCGTGGAAGCTCAGAGAGTTTCTCACAAGCTTCCATTTCACCATTGCACCCACCAGCTCGGACTACAGCTCCCCGCACAGTGCACCCAAGATCCCCAAGCAAAACTAACCAATCCATCAAACAGGTTTAATCCGGCGCGCACCCGGCGAGGAAGGCCAATTAAGCACCAATCCCACCTCCAGCCCAAATGACGTCGAGTTCCGCCTCAATCGCGTGGAGGACCAGCCTTCGGGCTCGCTCACTCCCCGCATCCCGCTGGTGCCAACGGCCGGCCCTGCAGCCGAAACGGGCTGATCGCGTGCCCAGCATCTTGCGATATGCGTCGGATTCGGCGCCCGCCACCGAGGCCGTGAAGGAAGCTGCCAAGGACGCGGCGAAGGAGGCCCCGAAGGAGATCCCTAAGAAGGCTGCTCGTGGTTCTAGAAAGGGTCTTTATGGTACTTCGTTGGCTTTGGTGCTCTTGGCTGGATATATCTACGGAACCGATACAAGGGCTAGCGCCCACCGCTATGCGGTCGTTCCTCTTATCCGACTCATTTACCCGGATGCTGAGGAGGCGCATCATGTTGGCGTTGATGCGTTGAAGCTGCTTTACCGTTTTGGTCTGCACCCAAGGGAACGTGGTGACCCGGATGGTGATGGGGCTTTGGCTACTGAGGTGGGAATACTCATTAGACATGATCGATTGACATGACATACTAACGCGAGATTTCTTAGGTCTTCGGCTACAAGATCAACAACCCCATCGGTATCTCTGCCGGTCTGGACAAGCACGCCGACATCCCGGACGTCTTGTTCGACATTGGCTCCGGCATCGTTGAAGTCGGCGGTACCACCCTCTCCCACAAGAGGGCAACCCCAAGCCGCGTGTCTTCCGTCTACCCTCTCAACACGCCATGATCAACCGCTACGGCCTCAACTCCCTCGGCGCAGACCACATGGCCGAAGTTCTGAAGCAGCGCGTGCAAGACTTCGCCTACTCCGCCGGACTCGGCGCGCACGAAGACTCCGAGCAGCACGTCCTGGACGGCGAAGCCAACGTTCCTCCCGGCAGTCTTATTCCCGGCAAACTCCTTGCCGTACAGGTTGCTAAGAACAAGCTCACGCCGGATGGCGATATCGACGCCATCGCGCGCGACTACGTCTACTGCGTCGACCGCGTGGCCAAATACGCCGATATCCTCGTCGTGAACGTCTCCAGCCCCAACACCCCCGGCCTGCGCGACCTACAAGCCGCCGCCCCGCTAACAACCATCCTGACCGCTGTCGTTGGCGCAGCTCAGGCCGTCGACCGTAAGACCAAGCCCCGTGTCATGGTCAAGGTTAGTCCGGATGAAGACTCGAACGAGCAGGTCTCCGGTATCTGTGAAGCAGTCTGGAACTCTGGCGTTGACGGCGTGATCGTCGGCAACACGACGAACCGCCGGCCCGACCCGCAGCCCAAGGGCTTCGCTCTACCGGAGAAGGAGGCAAGCACTCTCAACGAGACGGGTGGTTATTCTGGCCCGCAGCTCTTTGACCGCTCTGTTCCTCTGATCGCCCGCTACCGCGCCATGCTGGACCAGGGTCCCCCGTCTCAGGCTGAGGCTGCTGAGAAGTCTTCTGATGAGGGTTCGGCGCCTGCTGTTGCTGACCAGCTCGCTCGTAAGGTGATCTTCGCTTCTGGCGGTATCACTAATGGCCGCGAGGCTCGTCAGGCTCTTGAGGCTGGTGCTTCGGTCGCTATGATGTATACGGGTGTTGTTTATGGCGGTATCGGAACGGTGACGCGGGTGAAGCAGGAGCTGCGTGAGGAGCTGCAGAAGAAATGAAGCGGTGTGATGGGAGCTGCTAGTTTAAGCTCTTTGGAAAAAAGGGAGAACTTTAGGCAATAGATTGAACGATTTACAATAGTTTTGTACATAGCATATGATAGGAATATTCAGCATTTCATGAGTAACTTGGTGTATTTCTTTTGCTCCCTATATTATTTTTGTTGTGATGATGAATTGATATTTCAACACACACTTCTGATTCATGCGATGAACAATTCGAGAATGTTCGCTCTGATTAGTTTGATTCTATCTTGATAAAAAAAAATGACAGCACTCGGTTGTGGGCGCATTTCGTCAACGGATACCCGAGCTCGGCACGAGACGCGGAGAGAAGCCGGTCATTGGCGACAACTTCTCCGATGTCCGAGTCCGAGTCCGAGTCCAGGGCCAATTCTTGCCTACTCAGGCAAAGCCGTAGAAAGCACACAGATCGCCAATCGCTGTGCTCGGGTTACTCGATCAGTACAATGGGGAAGAAAGAAATGGAGTCGATTCCACAGTGGACTCTTGCCCCTCAGTCTATGACATTCCAACCACATCATCGACATACAGCAAATGATAAAAAGGCACTTGAATCGAAAGGTGAGGGCGGCTGGAAAAATAAGGCATAGAAAACCATCGGAGCAACACCGATCTAAAAATGGATGGGCATAGGGTGCTCTTAAGAACTAAATCTCTGATCGACCGCGTGACAGAGGCGGGGCACATCAAAAAATGTCGTGGGGGAAACCCGCGTCGCGAGGTCGATGAATGTGGATCAAATATCCAACCCACTTTTCTCCAGTCGGTTTCTCTATGGCTCCATTGTGGTGCATGGATCTGGTGGAGAAGTGGGATCCATCGACAACGGGATCCCCCAGATAGGCTTCCCGGGAGCTGCTCAGCTTCGACAGGGTTTGGGTCTGCTTGACTCGGAGATGCAGCGATAGCCCCTCCGACCCACAATTGAGGCCGAATGGACCCAATTGCTTCGCTGGATGCAGGCTGAGAAAGCTCGTGTTCCCCTGTCCAGACCCATTCCGTGGGGTTTAGGAGCTGGTTTCTAAACTGGTACGCTGTTGGTTGTTGTGTGGTATAACGGTGACGGTATAGTGTATGATGTGAAACCACAATACCAATGATCAGGCCATGTTGGTAAAGTAGAGGTGTGAGATGCAATGGTACTGTAGTCATTGTTTCGTGATATCTTCATGAGGAATGGAACGGGATGGAATGGCCGAAGCTACCGATCGGTAAATGCTTCTTGTCACTCAGGCGTGGCAATGGCTTTGGCTTAGACCGCAACACCCAGACTCTCCTCCACCTCGCGGACAACCTTGCGCACACCGCCAATCTCATGCGCGAATCGGCCCAGGAACATTCCATCAACAGCCTTGCCCAGTCCGCCCTCGCCCCAGAGTCCAGGACCAGCGCTGCCGCCGTACAGAACCCGCGCAGTACCGGGTCGCGACCCAATCACCCCGCGAATGCCATCCACGACCGCGGCAACGTGATCGACACCAGCAGGTCTGGGTTGTCCAATAGCCCACACAGGCTCGTAGGCAAAGATCACAGGTGCATCAGCGGGGATGGCATTCAGCACCGCGTTCACAAGAACAGCACACTCGGAGACAGCCTGGCCGACAGCTTGAGAAGCCACCGCGCCCGGGGCAGTCAATTCACCGATACAGACGAGGGGTACCATACCCTGTGCACTGGTGGCGGCAGCCTTGCGCGCAGTTTGTTCATCTGTCTCGCCGAAGAGAGCGCGGCGCTCGGCATGGCCAAGCTCGACGATTGAGCAGCCCAGAGAGCGGATGGAGGCTGGGGAGACTTCTCCGGTGTAGGCGCCGGATTCCTCCCACATGCAGTCCTGAGCGCCGAGGAGGAATGGAGGTGGGGAGACGGAGGTTCCGGAAGCTGAGAGCTTACTCTCGTATTCTCTGATTATGTCGGCGCAGGGCCAGATGGTGAGGAAATCTGGGATCAGGGCGAGGAGGAGCTTCGAGCGGTTCTCTGGCCGCACGATTTCGTTGGCGGGGTCTAGGAGGCCGCGGACGTAGTCGAGGGTGCGCTGGGGGGTAAAGTACATCTTCAGGGAGATGAGGAGAAGCTTCTCCGGTAGCACGGGGTAGGTAGTTGGCGCCATGATGTAGGTGTGTGATATGTGTGTGGAATGTAGTGAGAGCAAAAAAGTGTAGGGGAGGGAGATTCAAAAGATTCAATAGAGTGGAGTTTCCCCCGGACTCGGGCAGGACAACAGTGGGTCGGTGCGTGAATGTCCCCCTCAATTCGGAACTTGAACTTTGACGGAGAAGAGAACAAGTGTCCTTGGGAGCTTTGGAATACGGGAAGGGTGTGAAAGTTGAGTTCTTTTTTTTCTTTTGGTTTCCTGAGTATTTCTGTGGAAGGAGGAGGCGTCAGCGCCCATCCCGCACACGCATTAGCGGCCGACTGGCTGCACTCAAGACGAGGACCGTTCCCTGCTTACCAGGATGGATCAGATCGAGTGATGTCACGGTGTTTTGAGGCTAAAGTGAAACCAGAAGATGAACGGGACGCTGTGGAGACCGTGGGCTAGAAGTAGGTGGGAGTACTTTGGAGTGGATAGGAACCTGAAGTATACCAGTACTGTAGAGGTGTTTGAAAGAAACAAGACAGACGAGAAGTAACTGATACTTGGAAGATTAGGAAGGGTTACGTACGTACCAGCCAACAAGTAGGCACAGTGGGGAATGGGGAATGGGGAATGGGAATGGGAATTACCTACTAGTTGGTAAAAATAAAACCGGTTGTGGGCAAAGCTGAGGATATTCGCGCATACTCGTACATCTGGCCAGACCCGACGGACGTTAGTTACCTGGGAAGTGCATACACTTGACACTCGATCTACATACACATTCACCCACCTGCATAGCCTCGCCCATGGTTCCTCCGGAGTACATACGACCGTGCAATTCACAGGATGTAAGTATGTAAGTTTCGAAACCTACTCTAGCGGGATACTCGAGCCAACGTTCGGTGGAGTCGCCAGAACAGTGGGGGATGAGCGACGCAGGTGAAATGGCCGGAGCCGATGGAAATGGAGACTGATGTACGAATGGGCTGCCTTCCAGGGGTGGAACTTACATCATTTACGGCGTCAAGAAGATCTACTAGTTGGATATTCTATATTTCATACTGTATACAGTACCATATCATCGAAGTATACAGAGGGGATATGCCCTGTTACTATCCAGGGGCCTCAGGGCCTCGGGTCCATGTCGGCTTGGTTGCCTAAACACAATCCCCTCAAGGCAAGTCAAGCGTAACCGGATGGCTTCATCCCGACCCTACCCTTGACTCTAGACCCCTCTTGGTCTTTGGCTTTGCTCGGCGTGTCGCACGGTCCTAGCGCCTCGGAGTCAATGCCTGGTCAATGCCCTCGCTCACAGATGAGGGCTGCAGCTGGTGGCTTTGGTGACATCGATGGCTGCTCTTCGGATAATCAATTGAAGTGAATTTGTTCTAATTCATATCATTTTTCATGTTGCTCACATTCACATTCATGTTCATGTTCATGTTCATGGCCTGTTCGGTAATACGAGGTACCGCCTCGTGTATAGTACAGTAATCAAGAGTAACCAAGAGTACTTCACCATCCGGTTTTGGGCGGCTGCCAGTCTCCCCGCCCACTCACATCTCCTCATTCCCCAGCCATGACGCTATGGCGGGGCAGACTGCCTCCCCCCCCACCTCCGACAAGATAGTATCAAGGCTGCCCATTATTCGTACCAATGCACGGTGGAACTAGAACCCAAGATGGTACTTCCCAGACGCGAGGATTGGTCCCATCAACCCGTCTCCACCACCCGGGGAAATGCGTTGCACGGCAAGCGATGAGACTCCCCCAAATATAAAAAGGCCCCTGGATGGCCCTGGCTTCGTGCAGGCGAAATCCAACCATTCAATTATTCTACCATCATCTCCAAGATCCAACCCGATCCTTCCTTCACCCATCCATCATCCACCTTACCAACCTATCTATACTCTACCATAATGTCTGCTCCTCCCCTCCGTATCGTCATGGCCTGCGACGAGGCCGGCGTCCCATACAAGGACGCCATCAAGGCCGTCCTCGAGAAGAGCCCCCTCGTCGCCTCCATTTCCGACGTCGGCGTCAACTCCTCCTCCGATAAGACCGCCTACCCTCACCCCGCCGTCGAGGGCGCCCAGCAAATCAAGGCCGGCAAGGCTGACCGTGGCCTCTTCATCTGCGGCACTGGTCTCGGCGTCGCCATCGCTGCCAACAAGGTTCCCGGCATCCGGGCCGTTACGGCCCACGACCCTTTCTCCGTCGAGCGTTCCATCCTGAGCAACGACGCCCAGGTCCTCTGCATGGGCCAGCGCGTCATTGGCATCGAGCTTGCTAAGAAGCTCGCCCTCGACTGGCTCAACTACCGCTTCGACCCCTCCAGCGCCTCTGCCGCTAAGGTCCAGGCTATCTCCGACTACGAGACTAAGTTCTCTGGCTCTGCTTAGATGCAATTGCGCCGGCTATGGGGCTTCGCGAGACTTCACCTCGGGTCTTGAAATTGTCTAGCCTAGTACATTTTTTTCTTTCTGGAGATTGGTTGTGATCATAATGCGGTCGCTTCATTCTTTTGATTTGCGATGGGTGTACCTGCGCAACTCACTTTACATACCTTGTTTTCATACAAAGCGCTTCATGATACCACGAATCGATTGTCGAGTTCTGCTGTTTGGTTTGCTTTGGTCGGTAGATCTAGATTCACAATACAGTATGATTCGAAAGTTAATTTCTCTTTTGCTATTCTATGGACTAAATTTGAATCGTTCGTCAACTGTACAGTGACAGCAAATAAATACTAGAACGCGACAACTTGAAGTCTGCGGGGGACTGCGGGGCAGTGGGGTTGAACACTACGTTCTAGATAACTAACACCCGGGGTTAGTGGCCTTACGAATATGGAACAACTATTTGTGAGACTCGGAACCTACGAGTCATCAATCCAATCTAAATCGGTTGAATCTTATCTAATTGGAGATGATATGCCAGTATTATGAAAAGATTCCTCCTGCCTCGCGGTAACAAGTGAACCCATAGCAATGTTTCACCAGCCTCGACCCCGCACAACAATTCCCCGACTCGCCGCGTGGTTAATTTCCAACAATTTTCTAAACTTTAACATACCCATGGCTCTAATCTGGAGTTGGCTGTCACAGATTGGGTACCACAAAGTTCCCGGGAGTCCAACTCAAAACATGGGGGGGTTTTCCGCTTCAGTTTTCCGTGAAGAAACGCCTCCGGCCAATCAATGTACATGATGGATGGAATGGAAAGACTTGGATGTATACGAAAAAATACTAGGATTTTTGTGGGAAATGGAGCATATCAAAATGCGTGAAATACTAGTAGCAAGTGGGTGTTCGGATAGCCTGAGAATAGTATAGAGTGTGTGTGGGAACGACCACAAAACGCTCTATTGGTAGTAGATATAGCTGAGCATAGATCGGCAACTATATTGGCACAGCAATTTATTCCTTCGTCTACTAGATGACCATGGGAAACTAATACACTCCTTAATCCCCATCCATAGATATCCAAAATACCCTATTCTGCGAAGGCAATCCACGTCTATATTCTCTCACAAACTTGAAGCCCCCTTAACTCCCATCAATGCGAACGAAAGTCCGAAACTCCCCATCATACAAAGGCTCCCCGGTAGAAGGATCCGCACTATTCGGTCCCAACAATCTCAAAGTCCAATACGATCTCCCACCACTCCCCGCCGAACCAGAATTAATCTGAATACCCCAAGTCGTCACATTATGCGAGCCCAGGAAAATACCATCCTGCTTAACCCCATCCTGATAGTGATTGTAGGTCTGAATGGGCAAACTATACTGACCAAGTCCCCACATGAGCTCGGCACTATAAGCGTAATCGCTGATATTGACGCTCTTCCATTCGGCTCCGCTCACGCCGGAGGGAACGTAGGACTCGAAGGAGTTTGTTGCGTCGTTGCAGCGGATTGGGCTTTTGGCTATGTCGTTTTTGTCGACGATTGCGAGCTAGTGAGAGGGGGAGAGTTAGAAATTTTTGCTTTCTTATGGAATTCAGACGAGTGGATGAAAGGGAGGGGGAGAAAAAGAACTTACATAACCCCTCTCAACGCTTGTGTCTCCCTGCTGTAGGAAGTACACGGCTTCACTGCCAAATCCTTCCATACTGCACGCATTGTCGGAGGCGGTGGTGTTCACGCACTGGTCAACAGTTACGACCCACGGTCCGGCAATTCCGGCCGAGGAATCGTAGGCTGGGAGCTTGGTGCATCCTCCTGAGACCTCAACTGGGAGGACGGTTGCGGCTTGTGCTGCGGCGAGTAGCGAGAAGCCGGCGATGAGGAAGGACATGATTATTGTGGTTTTTAATATTACCCGAGAAAGAATTCTGGTGATTGAGTTCAACTAGGGCTGGGGGGGTTTTCCATGATTTCTCAATGGTATTTATAGTTGTTTGTTGCCGTCGCCCTCCGGTCTCGCAGGCCTTCATTTCGGGGGGGTTTCCAGATTCATCGCATGGTGCCTGTGCCCTGGCTAGGCTGCCGAGCACAATGCACTAGATTCCTGGTCGAAAACCGAGATGAGAATTTGGGGTCCAAATTGGAGATTTGTCAGGATCCAGGGGGTCTAATGCTTGACTTAACATCTCGAATGCCTAGAGGAGCCTAAAACTACGGAGCCGCCCCCGGCTTAGCGAATGCTTCTCTTCCAATCCCAACGCCACGACGGGCTCGCGTATGGCCCCATGGGGCCATACCCCCTTTAATACTTAGCTCGGAGGGAAAGGGGTGCGAGAAAGAGCCTCCTATTTGAGAAAAGAAGTGAGGAAATAGTCGCGGCTGAAACGATAGTGTTTGCGGGTGTTTTGTTGTTGGATAAAATTCATTTGAATGTTGCAAATTATGCTGAGGCTCGAAGTGAGATCAATGCCAACACTAGTAGTATTGAAGTCCAAAGTCACTCAGACAAGTCCAGCTGCAATGCTAGATGCTATATATAGTATCTAGTGCAGGGAGGTCGCTTTGTATACAACGTTTTGACTTGAAATTACCAGTACGTTACATTTGACAAGCCATAATTACGAACCTTTTGGTTTATTCAATATTATACACAGCGTCTAATGCCCAGTGGAATACTATTTGACATCGTCATTGAAAGTGAAAGCGATGATGACTAGTGGTAGCATGTTTCTCAATTGAATCAAACTTAATGACACCCGTGGACGCAGTTTCACAAATCCTCCTCTGCTTTGCCCTCTCACGTTGAGATATATATGTTCAAGTTCCAAGGTTTCAGACAGCCTTGATTATTTGTACCTACCTAGGTAGGTATAGAAAGAGCCATACATTTCAGACGAAAGTACTAAACAAGCCAGCGAAATGTAAGGGGAAAGACATCAACGTGCAAAAGTATTGGTTCCAGAGGAACCCTCGACTTTGGCATTGTTAGCACCACACTCTAACCAACTGAGTTATGGAACCACTGGATGATTGCTGTTCAGTATATAGTTAGTAATGAGCATCAAGATGACTCATCTATTCTGCGGGGATCGATAACCTTCCACAACAACTGCATGAGGTACATGCTCACTTCTTTGTTATTCCCTGTCGAATATTATACAACAGACAGATCAGGAGCCCCGGAAGGAAGAGAATCGAATTCTTCTTCTTATTCTATTCCGATCTCGCTCTTCATGTTCTTTCACTGAGATACATCCCTCAACTTTCCTGCACGGTGGGTCGCCCCACCTGGAGAACTGATTGATCAGCGATCGTCAACCACTTTTCGCGACTACACACCTCCGACACTCGCATTCCCAGGTTGCATAATGGCGCAAGAGCTGAAGACCAAGGGCAATGAGCTCTTCAAGCAGGGTGACTTCCCAGGCGCCGAAGACTACTTCTCTCAAGCGTAAGACGCCTTCCAATTTGCGTGGGGCAAATACATCCCATACACCCCCCATGACACATTCCTGCACACCCTGAATGAGAACTTGTGAATTTATGTCGGATACACGGAAGAAAGGGCGAGATGCTAACAATTCTTTCTTCCTGATACTAGTATTCAAAAGAACCCGCGCGACCCAACCTTCTTCTCCAATCGCGCCATCACCCGCATCAAGCTCGGGAAATGGGCCGAGGTCGAACATGACGCCCGCGCCGCGATCGATCTGTACGGCCTGAAGAATCCTACAGCATTGAAGAGCTCCTACTATCTTTCACAGGCCTTACTCGGTCTCCAACGGCCGCAAGAGGCATATGATGTGGCGGTAGACGCGTACCAGCTCAGCTTGAGTTCTAAGAATGCGCAAACGGAGAACTTATCGCGGACAGTCCTGCGTGCCAAGCAGCAGATCTGGGCTGCGAAGGAGACGTCCCGACTGCGCGAAATGAATGAAACACTGAGGAGCATTGAGACTCTTGTTGAGGCGGATTTGGAGCGCTCAGTTGCGGAGTTGCGGAAACGGGTTGATGCGGGGGAACTTGGGGAGATTGGGTTTGGAGAGGATCAGAGGGCGTTGAGGGAGGATTCTGAAAAGAAGATTCATAATTTACGGGAGGCGATTCGAATTGCTTCGAATGGAGAGGTGGAAGAGCGCGTAAGTTTATTATTCGTTTCCCTTTCCCCCCCGGGTTGTGGTGGCGATGGGGTCCTGACTGAGTGGCTAACTGACTGGATCTCATAGCATGTCCCTGATTACCTGATCGATGGTATAACTTTTGAAGTCATGCATGACCCTGTCATGACCCCGTCTGGAAGCAGCTTTGATCGTATCGGCATTACCAAATATGTAGAGAAATCGGGTGTCGATCCAATTACGCGGGCTGCGATCACGGTCAAGGATTTGCGCCCGAACTATGCACTCAAGGCCGCCTGTGAACATTTCTTGACCGAAAACGGGTGGGCAGTGGACTACTAGATGTCTGTGTGGCTTTTGTATTTCTGGCAGTATTCTTTGATATGTTTTGTTTCTGATGCATAGCGAGTGATATGCACGAGCACCAGCATCACCATTTGCATCGGCAGGCGTCGGGATCGGACGGATTAGTGAATTATACGCCTTTGATGGTGTAGACTCTATCCAATGTATATTTTATATTGTTAAAATCCACAAATTTAATAGTATAAAAAGAACAGATCCAATTATCCAACTATGGTTTTCCCCTGTCATGGAAACCGCTGATCAACTGGCGGGTGGGCATGTCAGCAAAACCCCACCAAAGCCCCTCCTCAACCGTCTGCTTCTCCAACTCTCAACAATCCTTCCACCACTTTAAACTCCTCACAACCATACCAAATTTCCACCGAAGCTCTATCCATAATGTCCGATATCACTGCCTTCATCACCGCCCTCGAGGCCGCCCAGAACGGTGCCCAATACTCCCCCGAGGTCCAGAAGGCCGCCGCCGGAATCAACACCGATGACCTGAAGAAGGCCTACGTTACCGCCGAGGCCCAGGGAAACAAGGCTCAGATCGAGGATCCGGCCCAGAGTGCTGCCCTCAAGGCTGGTTTCGAATTCGCCGCGAAGCTGGTCATGGAACTCCAGTCCGCCCCTGATAACACCGAGAAGACCAACCTCTACGTTCACTACAAGATTGGCAACGGTGTTAAGGTTGACAAGCCTGGCATGTTCGACCTTGTTGTACGTATTGAGCTGCTTAATTTTTCCTCCTCACTTGTATTATTGTCGAAGATATCACGTTTGGCTAATGCGCTTTCGCGATTTTACAGAAGAAGCACCTCTACAGCGCCTATGAGAAGGTTGTCGAGGCAGGAAACACCGCTCAGGGCTCCCAGGTTGCCTACATCAAGCAGGTCGTTGATCTCATCGCCGCGAAGGGCCTTAACTAAATGTTAAATGAGTATAGCTCATCACGGAAGGAGATGATACTACGGCCGCTGAACCTAGGATCGAATACAACTCGACAAGGGTTTACACTATGGAGTTCGAATCACAAATGACGCGATGCATCTACGAATAAATTATACCGCATATTCTGTATTGATAGCAGCCCCAAATATTGTATATAAAGCTGCCGAGGGTAACCGAGAGCTATTGTTGCCACATTCTTAGTGGCCTATTGAGTATCCTCGTATAATAAGCTGGGCTGCAGCGATTAAAATCATATGGCCGATATCTTTCCTACCAGGTCATGCCTCTCCAGTCAGGCGTATTGTGAGCCGCAGTTGCACACCATGGTTCATCAGAGGCGCGATATGGTGTCAGCGGAAGGTCGTAAGGCATACGGAGTCCGACCACTGTCTTTAAATTGTGATGTCCGAGATTCCCTGTAGGCGCAGTTGGCAGGTCACACTGGAAACATGGTACCATCCTAGTAGATCTTCCAGGCGATGTGGATGATGTTAACTTCCCGGCAACCGAATCATCGGCGAAGAGCTGTGGCCAAACAACAACGCCAATCTCGAAACTTTGGATTCTCACTTCGCCGTTCGCATTTGTCGCTGCGCCCCATGCTTGTGTAGATAGGTTTGCGGATGTCACCATTGCCCAGTCAATTCTATCCATAGTTTCCGCATTTGAGAATCGAATATAAGTCTTGATATGCGGTGCAGCACGACCGCGCCCAGCGTCTTGCTTGAGGAGGTTATTTTTGGAAAGGTCTGGGTCGGACGGATTATCGCCGGCCCAATGACAGAGGTAAGGTCGCATATACTGCAGTTGCTTGGCCTGCGGTGCGCTTTGCGTTTTCATGTGGATCGAACCTCCGGAAGAATAGCCGTTGAGTGAGCGGCGTATTTCGTCCGGCGTTGGGAAGATAATGGAGTATTTTGGGACGGGGTTCGGTGATGTCGGTGCAAGTGCTTTGAAGAATACTTCTTTCAGCCACTTGTCTGTCTGGCCAAGGGTGGCCACTGAGGAGACCTAGAAGATGTTAACATCGTCTACACAAAGAGAAGATGGGGATGATGGGAGTCCTACCTGTGTGACAATATGAGGTTTCCGAATCTCGCTCTTGTCGTTTGAATTCCCCTGCTTATGAATGGGCACTCGCCCCATGAGATCTTTCAGGGCTGGCCAGCCCCAAAGAGTGGATTGTTCCGAATCCAGTTCGCTGGGCTTTTGCCTGGATGGTACACTTGCAACGAGGGCTGCCCGAACTGCTTTGAAATCATAGCTCTGTAGCTGCTGTACCAGTGGACCAGTTTTTTTAGGACCATACGCCTTCAGGTACGCGAGAATATCTCTCTTGAAGCGAGCGCCGGTACCAACGTCGGTCTGCGCCGGGGCCGAGGATGGATCTCCTTGCCTCTGTAGAGGAAGTAATGGGGATCGCCATACTGCTTGTGTCATGTTCGCCCAGTCACCAGGAATCATATTGGCTGTATGTATGATCACTCTAGGATTATTGTTAGCAAAACACAATCAATACCCCAAGGCATAAATTCCTCACTGAGCTAAATCATCATGGCGAAGGAGAATCATCATCTTCGAATGATGAGTCCCAAAGGGGTCCGGCATATAAGCTATGATAGGCTCAACATTGGGATGGCGAGAGCATGTTTCCTGGAACATGTTAATATTCCAAAATTCAAGTGATCTCGGGGGAATGCAAACTTACATCGATCATGATTCGATTGGGTGACTCTTTTTTCCACGATCCATGCACCACTTTCACAGTTACCAGTCTTCGGACATCTTCATCAAATTGGTTCATCAAGAAATCCACATCGAACATGTAATTAAACTGCCAGCATTCGCGGATCATGGGATCCCCGAGGATATCACGCAATCTCACGGCGTCGACATTGTACCCCTTTGAGGCAGGGTAATCCGCGATGTGAGTGAGTTGGATTGGAGAACGGATGCAACGCGGAGGGCCAGCAGGGCGTGTGGTATCGAGTGTCTGGTCTCCAGTCGCCGGCTTTTCATTGACCAATTCTGGACATGCGAGATCTGAGTCTGTCACCTGGATTGGCTGAGAACGCGTCCGCAGAGGTGGAGAGATGGACCTGTTCAGCGAATTCAAGGGCGTCTCGGTTCGTCTCGGTCGGCCCTGCGTCTCCCCGTAGAATCTGACGAGACGCGTGCTCTTTTGGATGGACGCTCCATGGCTGAAAGGCCGCGTATATCGCAGGATATCTTGCTGGTCACTTCATGGGATAAGGGTGAAGGATGCCTCAGACGGAAGTGTCGCGAACTAGGCCTCGCCAGGAAAAGACTCGGAACTCTACTGTTTGGGTGACGAGGTAGATTCCAAGATCGAATTGATTGCGAAATCATTCAACGTTCGAAATATCCATTGGTGATTCAAGTTGGCGGGGGAGGATCAGTTCAAATTGGTGAAATACGGTAGTAGAACTTGAATTCACCTTCACCCGGGAAAAGTATATCTCCAGCTCGAAGCACCGCCCGCACCTGACTTCAACCCTGGAACTTGAAGTACCACTACCAGTAGTAGACACACTGTCCCTTTCAAACCAATAGTACCTATATGTCCTCAAATAATACAAAATTACATAATAATATTGACACCTTTTTATTTTTTTGAAATCACACCCTCTAAATAATATACAGTAGCCTTTTGAAGCTAAAGAATCCAAAGTCCAAAGATCACCACATAAACCGCTGAATCTTGCCAGGTTCCTGAGGCCATTCAAAGCCCTTATAAAGGAAGACATACCCGGTCACAGCGTTAATAATGATAAACCACACAGTCTCCAGGAACTTAGGAGCATTGGTAATCATATCCGCGCGGGCTTTCTCACTTTCCAGCTCCGGTCGTTTCTGGCGGTACATAGCAGGGATCGGGGAGGACGGTAAATGCAGACGCCACATCACCCAAGGAATGATAAAGTAGCGCGGCTCGACAAGAGGGGCAGTGACCAATGACAAAGCGGTTGTAGCGAGCCAAACAAGAACGAAGCTAACTCGAGGCGCATTGGGTTGTTGAATCTGTCGCTGAGTGAGGTGCTCTTGGACCTTGGCGAGTGCCTCGGGGGACTGTGGATCAGGTTCTGTCTGCTTGCCCTTCTTGGATCCAGTGTCTTTCTTAGATGTAGCCTCCTTCTTGGATGTGGCTTTGTCCTCTTTCGCCTTGGCGCGACGCTCTTTCCGGTTGCCTTGAGGTTCCTCGGTAGGGGCAGCAGGTGGGTTGGGCGCAGGTGCGGCGGGCTTTGAGGACGAAGGAACCTGCACGAGTCGAGGTGGCGCTAGGACGATAGAGAAGCCGAAGGCGGAGATGACTGCCCATCCACAAAGGAAGTATACCAAGACTGCACCGTATTTCACTGCCGGGTGCACTCCGAGTAGGAGGCGGAAGACATAGAAAACGTAGTGTCGGTTATCAGCGAGAGTAAAAGGGTGCACGATCGTATTGAAATGCACGACGGCAAGCATAGCCGGCAAGACGGCTAGAGCAGCCACGAGTCTTGGTAGCTTCTTTTGCTTCTCGGGGAATCCGTAGTTCAGACACTTGGGCAAAATGCTAGTCGGTGCAATGAAGTTGAGCACGGGGATGACCAGCAATGGCCACGAGAAAAAGAAGAAGTACGGCCAGATATAGAGCATTTGGGCCAAATGTATTCCCGCCGTGTGGAACTCCTTGTGTCCAAGCACAACGCCCTCGTTCCAGAGGACAAATCCACCGAACGCTCCCATGATAATGATGTGGGGGATGATCGAGGCAACGATAGAGAACGGGTTTCTGAGACTTGCAGCAGCAAGCGAGAGAGCAGTTTTGAAGTAATCTAATGAATTTCATGTTAGCATGGTAGACGATCAAGTTGACGAAACAAACATACCTTCCAAGGAGGCTTCCGCAACGAGCGGGTCGTATACTTCATTCCGGAATCCACCCTTGACAACCGCTGAGATTTCAGACGATTTACAAGTTTTCGCAGACTGGCGAACTGTACGAACGACCTGTAGTCCACCCAAGAATACGGATACCCAGAAAATATTCGTCTGTCTGCAAACCAGAGCAGCCAATCCAAAGACCAGGAAGCCCAACGCATAGATTGGCCCATATTTGCCTCCATTCACACGCTTCAGATCCCAATTATAAGCTTCAATAACCACCAATAGAGCGAGAATGTCGGTATAGTATAAGCCCGAGAAGAAAAACAGCGGAGGGAATAGACATATGTTCAGGACGGTATGACTGAGCCACGCGCTGAAGGGCCGGTTGTTCCGCACTTTCTGCACGGTATCCAAGAGTGTTTGTAATCGCCAAGGTAGAAAGACCGCAGTCGCGGCAACATTGGTCGTACGTAGAGCTGCGACGTCGAGTTTCGCCGGAGACCCGCGGAGGGCGAGCATGGCGGCGCAAAGGACGTATGACCATAGATACAGGCCCGGCGGGGTTGTTATCTTTGGGTCCCAGTGAGTCCATTTGTGCGCCCAATAGGCCTGAGCCTGGGGGACATGGAACACTTCATCCAGATACGCCTCCGGCACTTTGGCATTAACCTGTGTCCTCCAGGCAGCGATGAGGACGAGAGCGAACGGAATGGCGTAGCGCGCCGCGCGGCTGAGATTCGATTCACGTAGACTCATTGTGCTCCTGATCTCGCGGGACGAACAAGCATCATTTGTGAGGAGGTGGTGTGAGCTTCGAAGGGGGAGGAGAGCAAGCTCCAGAGTTCCGCGGGACAGCTCATGTATAATTTGCTTGCAAACACCGCAAACACACTTTGGCGATCGCCGATACGCGCGATTCGCGACTCCGACGCATCAATCAATCAGACATGGGGTATTAATATTCTCAGAGCCCTATTTTTGTGCTGGGACTATCTGCTTTGGGAGTTTTTTTCGCCATTTTTAATATCCAATGGCATTTCCTCTCCCGCGGGGCCTCACGCCCTCGGAGATTGGCTTTCTCGCGGAGATGGAGATGGTGACGGTGGTGCCTCGCCAACGTCTCGAGGGCCTAGAACTACTCGGGGTAAGCTCTTTTTTATATATGTGATGATCTCGTGAAGGAAACACCAATTGACTTTTTTACAGGGTCCGATTGAACCTCTTGTTCCTCCACAACGCGCCTCCTTGCCCCTCTGGCTCGCACTGCTCCTCAAACGTCAACGCCGCGCGAATATTATGCCTCCATCATGGCTACACCCCGAACCTCTCAACTTGATCCTCGAGGTCGAATCCCAACATCCAGATTATAGGGATACCTTCTCCCCTCCTCCCCCGCTGCCCGGCCAGCCCAGCATTCGGGATGACGGACTTGCGCCTACTGCCCGACCTCAATATACACCGGACGGTAATAGATATTATGCCTCGCCGCCATTCTTACCACAAAATACTGCTCAGGCGGAGGGGTTTTCGTCCCGTGATCCGCCCGCATTGCCCTTCCATTGGGTCGAGATGGGGAACATGATGCTCGAGTCCGCGAGTGATGACCTTGTGGAACCGGATCAAATCCGACGATTATTGAAAGACTTGCGTGAAGTACGTCTGGCTAAAATGAGAGCCGGCACGGACGTTCTCGACGCAGCAGCAACCGGTGGTGGGGGTGTTGCCTTGACAGGTGTTGGCGCAATGGAAGTTGGCGAGGAGCGAGGGTTCCTGACTGGGGTAGTGGATAATCTCCGGTATGTGGCGTCGATCTCAGTGATACTACGAAATTGCAAATTTGCATTTGCTTTTGCTTTGCGCCCGGTATCATTCAGTTACTAACCCTTTATCCCAGGAAACTTGGCGCGTCTAAAGAGCAAGCCCGGCGCGAGCAAATGGCCGAGCAACGGGCTAATGGTGCATATGACGGTGCCCAGGACGAGGAAGAAGAGGACTACATGGAGTTTTAACCTGCATGGGATATGTTTATTGTTTGGCTATTCATTTTTTTGGCGTTAAAGGTGCATCTGCAACGCGGACAAATGCCGCCCTCCCCCTACACCCTCTCTCATACTCGAACGACTTCATGTATATAGACGCATATACCCGATTTTTTTATTAAGATAAATCAGCGGTCGTAAAACCGAAACTGTTCCAATTTACCTAACACCATACATCATGCGAAAGCGCTCTAATACAAAAACATAGGCGGGGAACAATACCGCTGGGGATAGGAGGGGAAAGGAGGAGAGGAGAAGGCTGATAGCAACGTTGGTACAGGAAATGCCATAGTTTGCATCAAGCATCAAGGGCCGAAAAGCAGTGGTTGGAAAAATTATTTAACGCGCAATAGCTTCACTATTGGGGATTATCATGGTTCTTCTGCATCATCTTTCTCCGCGCCGCAAGAATCATTTCATCACGACGTTTTTGGAGGAGGCGTTGACGCTCGTCCTTGTTCTGAGACCATGAGCTTGCCGATGAAGCCGTTGAAGTCTCCGAATCCTTTTCACTAACAATCTTTGAGCTGAGGTTATACCGAGATATCAAGTCCTGTCCATCACCCTTGGTGGTGGCAGTTGACGTAGCCCGTGGAACGGTGGCATTGGTAGAAGGGATTGCGACCTGAGGTTGGAACGAGGGGGGGCGGCTAAACATGGACTGTCAGTATTTTGATCAAATATCGCATAGAAGTCGTCCTGACAAGGGGAAAAGAAGACACTGAGCGGTATGGTGTCGAGAATCCGAATGACAGCACCACAAGCGCAAGGTATGTGTGACGTACCGTTTCAAGTCCCCGTCCAGTTAGAATCCTCTCCGTAGTCGCGGCAGCGCTGCCTCCATTGCGCTGAAGATCCCACATGATGTCTCGCGTACTCAACTGGGGGAACATCTGGGAGATCTGCTCGACTTGGGCTGGGTCAACAGCATTGCCACGTCCACGGGGCCGACTGGCACCAGCGGGACCATCGTCGCGGTTAAAAAACCATCGGATGACGAAGAATGACACTACCGCAAGGGTGAGGAGAGAGGGTATATTCAACGAGGGCTCATCGTCGTGCATTGTGTTTTGACCGAGGGGGGGCGCGGGTCTCGGGTTTGGGGGAAGTTCGGGCTGTCAGGCCGAATCGCGGAGGCGGGAGCGCTTCCGCGTGTCAGGCAGGAGGTCGTGTGCGGAATGATATTCCCTCTGATTCAGACTTGTCGTGATGCGACCGGGTTAGAGGGTGAGATTTAGAGCGCGGAGACGGTTGCTGTCGCAAGGTGTGGCGGAGTAGACGGAGTAGACGGAGTTGCGGGTCGGTACTGACGGTTGCACGTGCCGGGGCACCTTTGATGGCATCAGCAAAGCAGAAGTGGAGAGAACAATGGAAGCTATATGGAAATAGCGGGAGACTCGAGATGAAAGGTTATAGAAATTGGATTCCTCGCCAGATCCGACTCGTTCGCAGTCTCTAAGTCTCTCCGTCTATTCCGATTCTCGGAAGGCGTCACCCCTCACAGTTGCGTCTGAAGTGGAAGGTATCAGAGCGAAGTCTATGATCTACAAGTCGAGGGATATCCACGCCACGATTGTGTATTCAGATGAATAGGCAAAGTAAGAAGAATAAAAAAATGATTTACACGAATTCAAGCCATCCCGGGGGTGGATAAGCTGGGCTTGCGCAACACCAAACAAACAGTCATCATGCATAGCATAGATCATGAGCCAATATTCCTTCCCATCCAAGAAGCCAGACTCGACACCAAAACACCAACTGCCACCAATAGGGCAAGAAAGACAAGACGAATGCATCTAACAGGCTAGGTCAACAACATAAAAGACAAAAAAGACCATCCATGGATAGCCAACCGACGTAGCTCATCATACTCATTGCAGGTCGGCAGGGGTCAAGGCCTGGACGATACTGGTTCCCTCGCTGAATCGAGTGCGGAAGATGCGATTGGCGTTCTGGAACATGCCATCCTTGAGTGAGACGACAATGAATTGAGATCCCTTGAAGCGGGTCTTGATCAGGCGACCAATGTTCTGGGTATGGGAGAGATCCAGCGCGGCATCGACTTCGTCCAGAATGTACATGGGAGCTGGCTTGAATTGCAAGAGGGCCATAATCAGGGACAAAGCAATAAGTGATCTGATAGTAAGAAGTTAGTCATGTGTATATATATATAAAAGACCCAAGAAGAATTGGAACGTACCGTTGTCCACCACTAAGCTCTGTGAGACTCTGCTTCCAGACCTTTCCAAGAGACACCTTAACCTCCAGTCCGTCTGTGATATCCTTGCCCTCGGGAGGGTCGAGTTTGGCAAAGCTGCCCGGCAAAAGTTCCGCGAAGATTTGGCCAAAGTCACCATTGACCTTAACCCAGGTCTTGTGAAGCGCTTCCTTCTTATACTCGTTGAGATTGATGATGGTCTCCTCGATCTTACGCTTATCGCGAATGACGGTCTTCATCATGTTCTTCAGAGCGGCTTCCTTCTTCTCGACACTATCGATCATGTTCATAACCTTGGGGTTGATCTTCTTCTTCATCCCCTGGAATCGCTCGGTCAAGTTGCGCAACGTAGATTTGCATTCGGCGATGTTCTGGTCTTGGAAGTAATATGGGGTGTTGGGGCGACCGAACTGCTCCTTCTCGTCCGCGATCCATTCATGCTCTTGCTCCATGTGGCCAACGGCCTGGGCGGCAGTGTTCTGGTCTTTCTGCAGCTTCTCAAGCTGGTGGCCAAGTTTCTGCATCTCCAGACCCTCTTCAGTGATTTGCGAGGATTTCGTCTTCATCGTCTTCTCGAGTTCCCGCAACTCGTCGTCGAAGCCAGTCAACTTGGCTCTCTCATCCTCGAGGTGGGCTTGGGCAACATCGTGGGCATCCTAGAGGGAAAAGAAAAGGTCAATTTCATTTCCGTGGAATTTTTGTCAGAGCAAAGAACATACCTTGAGCCGTGTTTGTTCTCGCTTCAGAGAATCAATCTCTTCGACTTGAGCCTTCAGCGTATTCTCCGACTCTGCTGATTGTTCTTCGGCGGCTGAAAGATCACTTCCAACCTGCTCAGAATCAAGACGAGATGACTGCAGTTGTTTCTGCAGCTCCTTCACCGAAGCAGAATTCTTGGTGAGGTTTTTCTTGAGAGTGTTGAGTGAGCTCTGTAGCTCTGCCAACTTGCTATCCTTGTTGTCGCTAAATTCGCTCATATCTTTCTCAATGCGCTTAATATCTTTAGCGGCCTCGGTTTGTCGGGTTTTGGCATCTGCAATGTCTTGTTTCAGTTGCTCGATGTTTGCTCGCATCTCTTCAACGGCAGCAATAATCTATTTCAGTTTAGCATAGCACAGCAGCCAAAATAAAAGGTGGTACATACGGAAGAGGAAGAGTTGTTGTTGATTTGCTCTTCGGTAAGCTTGACTTCATGAGATTTGAGGTCCAGTGCTTGCTTGATCGATCGAACTTCATCAAGCTTCTTCTTTTCCTTCTTCATATTATCCTCCAAGGTGGCCAGTTGACGCTCTTTACTCCTCAACTCCTTGTTGATCTCATTGAGCTGCTGCAGAGTAACAAGAACTCCACTGGAGTTGGGGGAACTTCCACCCGACAGTGTTCCAGAGGGATCATAAACATCGCCATCGAGAGTAACACTCTTCATTCGAACAGACGGGTCAAAAGTGACCTTCTTGGCAGTGTCGGCGTCTTCACAAATAAGGGTGTTGCCAAAGACATAGTTCATCGCTGAAATAACCTCGTCGTCGTACCCAATCAAAGACAAGGCCAAATCGACCTTCCCGGGGGCAATGTTCTGGGCGGCTCCTATCTTCTCTGCGGAAGCCCTGAAGGAGGAGATCTTATTCAGAGGAATAATGGTAACGCGCTTGCGCAGTTTGCCCTTTTGGAGCAACTGGGTACCGGTCTCGGCGCTGTCGACAACGACGTTATACAGACGACCACCGGCGCAGATCTCTAGAGCAGTTGCCGCCGGGATCCGATCCTTGTTCAGTGTGAATAGTTGGGCGACCAAGCCCTTGACCTTCGATCGGTCGAAATTGGGTTGAGGGTCAGTATAGTTGAAGTCGACATTGGCAACCTTCCGCCTGAGGCCATCGGCTCTTTGGCGAAGTTCACGGATATCGCGTTGGAGTTGAGACTGTTCCTGGTAGATCTGCTCCTCCCTTCCAGGCTCGAATCCTAGTCTGGTGAGCTCTGCCTCAAGCTTCTTCGCTTGTGACCTCAATCCTTCCAAATCGGACAATAGACCGGAGTTCTGCTCTTTGGCCTTTTTGGCGCGTGGCTCGTCCTCCTTGATCCGCTTTTCGAAATTGGAGATCTTAAGCTTCGCTTGTTCCTGTACCGTAGTTGCGTTGCTGGCACGGTTTCGAGCGTCTTGCAATTGGCCCTGGTATCCGCTCTCTTGGCCTTCCTTCGAGGCAACACCGGTCTGCAAAGTTTGGAGCAATTCTTCCTTCTGCTCCACTTCCGCGTTTTGGGCATCAAGTTCTGCCTTAGCGGCATCGTACTGGGCCTGAACTTTATCATAGACCTTCTTCTTTTCTTGCAAAGCTTTCTCAAGGTCTTTGACAGTCTTTCGAATATCCTTGCCCTTCTCTTTCTCCTCCTCCATACTAGTTTTCTTGAGATCAAACACAGTTGTCAACCGGACTAACTCATGTGAATGCGCTTTCACCTCGTCCTCGAGACCTTGGAATTTTCCGCCCTTTCGCAGTTCCTTGTCGCGAGCAGCTCGCACACGTTTCACATCCTCTTCCAAGTGGGCGATTTCACTCTTGAGTTTGTCGGCATTCTCCTCCAGCGCTTGCACCTTACTCCGCTTGTTCTCGCACTCATCGCCGGCAACTCGTAACCGTTCACCACCCCGCACATAGTCGTGGGCAATGACAACTCGAGTCAAGCGTTCGAGATCACTTTGTGTCTGCTGGAAATCGAGGAAAGCACGTTTCTCAGAGCGAAGCTTCTCCAGCTTGGGCTCAATTTCCTCCTTGAGAAGGCCTTCGATCTCGTTCAGCTTCAGTTCCTTCTTGCTCATTGTCTTGATCGCCTTCTCCCTGCGGTCTTCGAACATTCGTGTACCGGCAGCTTCTTCAATCATCGACAAGATCTCAACTGCCTTCATGTTCAGGACCTTTGTAATGCGACCTTGCATAATGAGGAAGTTGGGATTGTTGATATTCAGCTGAACACTCTGGAACAAGTTCTGGACGGTTTGTTGCTGCGCTCGATGGCCATTGATGAGGTATTTGCTGGTACCTCCCAGCACGATTTGTCGGGTCACAGAGATGTTCGCATACTCCTCAAAACCGATCGGGGATTTCGCAGTATCGCGGTTGTCGAAGACGATGGTCACACTGGCTTTAGTGACACCGGCTTGACCGCGCTTGTAGATGAGGTCTTGGAGGTTTTGCGCGCGAACGGTGCTCATGTTCGTGATACCGAGAACGAAACAGATGGCGTCCAGAATGTTGGATTTACCGCTACCATTCAGGCCTGTGATCGAGTTGAACGCTTCGTCCCTATGATATTCTGTCAGCACATCACCATACCCGTTGCCCCTCTGCGACGGCCGTCAACATAGTCGGAGAGCTTGCGCACCATCCTGAGATCACCGTACGCACGGCGTACGATTTAAAGCCCTAAAAGAACAATTGTCAGCGCATCCGTATAGGCCATCGGAGCATTTTCGATGACTCACGTCTATCACAATTTCAACGATCCGCATGGTTGGCAATGCGAGTCGGCTCGCGGGCGGAGGCGGAGATGTCGAAAGCTGAAGAGGGGCGCGATTGTTTTGTTTATGATTTGCCCAGGTAAGCACAGCTGCTTGTCAGGTGACCTTATCGATTGTGGTCTTGGCACGGGCCACCCCCGTCATCCCCGAGGCTGCCATCTGGGGCACTCGGCCACTTTCTTTGGAAAGTCTCCGTCTGACTTCCGCTGAACATCGTCTCTAATTTGACTAGTTTGACTAATTAATCGCTTCTGCCTTATGACAGATCAGTCGGATTCACTCTGTTCCAGTCCAGTCCCCCAAGGTACTTGCCCCAGGAGCCTACCGGCGCCACTCTGCTTACAACATCCAATGATAATCTCTCTGATATTCAGTAGTGATCCTATTTTGAGATTTTTGGATGATCTTGAACATATATGATATTTGCGGACACCTCTTGGTGCTCAGCCTTCCCACACTCGGAGACTTATCGGACACTTCCAACCTTGGAAGCTTTCACACCACGGAGCCTCGTATTTGTTTGCTGTGCAGTAGAGACTATATAAACCTCCCCATTTACCCTCCCATGTAATCATATTGTCTACTATCTATGTTTTCAAAGGCTCTACTATCTTTACAAATACTACAAGTACTCGTACGACCAGCAACTTCTTTCAATACTTCAAGGGCCCTTACAGTCTTCAATTCAAGTCGCCATCACCATCATCTTTCAAATTTCCAACTATTCAATCATTCGAATTCCACCATGGCTGACCAACAAGATTGGGAGACCCTGTTCAAGGACAACAAGTTCGTCAACAACTATAAGACCGGCGAACAGATCACCGGCCAGTTCGCGCTCTCCCTTTTGGACCAAAGCGGCCTCGTCAAAAAGGCGAACAATAACCCAAGCGGACCTCTGGTCGTGCTGGACAATGCCTGTGGAACTGGAATCGTCTCCAGCATCCTCCACGACAAGCTTGATACCACCGTGAAGGCCAACTGGAAGTTGACCTGTGGTGATATATCTCCGGGTATGGTTGAATATACTCGGCGCCGGATGGCCAGGGAGAGCTGGCAGAATGCCGAGGTCAAGACTGTGGATGCACAGGACACAAAACTTCCTTCGAATCACTTTACATACGTGGTGACTTCATTCGGTGCGTGGAATCGTGATACCGTTCTTCTTGCTAACTAGGATATCGCGGGATAGTGCTGACTATTGATATCATTATTTAGCTTACATGGCTGTTCCGAAGTCCCTGGACGCTCTTGACGGTAAGCATTCTCGTTTTATATCTATTGAACCGCAAAGACAGATCGGTAATAACATAAAACATTTCTAGACAACACACGCATCTTGCAACCTGGAGGCACTATTGCCTTTTCCACATGGATAAAGCGTGAGTGACAACTTCATCCGATAACATCATTGCTTTCGGCGACCCCTATACTAAGTTGACTCCGGAAAAGCTGGCTGGGTCACCATTGTTGAAAAGGCAATCAAGACCATCCCCGAAAACCCTCCATTTCCCAGCACACAAGAGTTCCTTGAGAGACTGGGTAATGGTGGATGGTACTCAACATCCTGGATCGAGACTCAACTGCAGCAACGAGGCTTTGTCGACATTGACGTGAGAACTGAATCCAAGGCTCTCCCTCTCAGAGTGCCTGAGTTTGTGGAAATGACAATGATCATGTTTCCTATGATCGCCAAGAACTGGTGGACTGAGCAACAGAGGGAGGAACTTCTCGACAAGGTTCGTCCTGCATTAGTGAAATACTTGACGGATGTCTATGGGGAGGAGGGGGGAGATTCATATGGAATGGACGGCGATTCTCTCAACTGCACGCAAGGCAAGCCAGAAATAGCCACGACTGTATGGGGTTAAGCTCTGAATCAATCAAGAGGGCCCCAAGAGCTCGAAGGACGCGGATGGAGACAAATGTTTTGTTTTGCTTAATAATATAACTATTGATTTATCTTAAGATCTCATGCCCGAGGGTGGAAGTCTCGGTGAATATCTGAGGAGGGCTTTATCCATCATCTGGGTTTAAAAGCTGCTCCTACATGAAGGGTAGTCAAAAATTCAAATGTATATCCACCTGTAAACATCGTTGAACTCCATAGACAATGGACAAATCAAGGCATTCATAATTGTGACAAGATCATCAAGCGCATTTGACTGTAAGATCGGATCCTGATACCCCACAACAACACATTTAATTCCTGGTAAATCATCGCGCCTCCATCCCGAACGACTCTGTACTATTGGCCACCCTGAGGCAACGTCATGTAAACCAAAGAGCCCAACGCCGTTGCTGTTCAACTAAGTTAAAGGTCTACCACACCGATGTCGGCCTCATAATTCTCAACTCATGAAGCGTGCGCCGGGCCGACCGCTGCTGGGCGGCTTATGGCCCGATTGGGGTCCAGTCGGTTGTCCAAGTCCTCGTACCGGAGGATAAACTCGCGCTAAAGGCATAGTTAGCACATCGCTCGTCGTTCAACCCCCATCGATCGAGTTTGCTAAACATACCCGGATCTTTTTCCAGCTAGCAGGGTCCCAGAGCAGATAGACTCCGCGCTCGCTCACTCCTCGTTCCACGTCCATAGGTCCAGGATATGTTTCATCGCGGGTTAACCAGCAACGCTCAAGTTTGTGATACCGCCATTTGCGACCCATCAATTCCTCCGCGACTAACTCCTGGACAACATCCCTGGGCATACTATAGAAGATGTAGAAGAGGGTTTCGTCGCTGAAACCGGGAATCCGAGACTGGAGGGGCTGAATGTTGGCGACATTGTAGCAAGATGGCAATGAGAAATCTTGTTCCAAGGGTACAGCGGACATAGACGATACGAATGGCGAGGCAAAGGAGGTGTGAAGGGGCCTAGAGCGGCGCGAATCGGTTAGCAGGCATGAAACAGAATCCCGAGGGCGGTGCGAAATACATACTCAGGCTGATTCAAATCTAGGCCAAGGGTCATCAAATCTTGACCAACTGCGAGACTGGCCACATCGGGGCTCTCGCTATGGATCATGCGCAAGAGGCCAGCCAGTCCGAAGCGATCCAGCTCGCTCATCTGTGCCAGAGGCGGCTGCTCTGCACTTTGAGGCGCGTCAGAAACTTCCTGACCTTCATTTGCCTGTTGCTGCCTTTGTTGCAATTGTTGTTGCGGGTCGCTGAAATTGCGCTGGCTTGACATGAGGGTGTTGTTCAAATCCTGCAATGTTGGTTAGTGCGGGGCCTAGAAACGCGATCGCCGATCTAACTTACATCCTTCTCTGGCCCCAAAATCCCGTTAGACCCTTGATTGACAGGCGACCGAGATGTTCCAATGCCTGCGAGTCGTTGTCAGCTATTGATCCCTTTTTTACCGGTACGCTCCGCACACCGACGGAGCACGCCATTATCATACCAGTGCCGTATCCTCCAAAGCCTGGAGCTGCCATCAGGGAGCTTCGGCGATCTTGAGCCATCTCAGCAGCAGCATTTCGGCCCAAAGGAGGGAACTCGTCAATGTTGCCTGTTTGAGGCTGGCTGCCGGCTCCGAGCTGGCTACTGATCCCTTGTCCACCATTTCTGAAATCGTCAAGTCGATTGGCGAATTGCGTCCCGGAAGGAAACATGTCATCGTGCGGAGGTTGAGGCGGCTGCTGCACAGGATGCGACGGTGTTTGGGAAGTCCGAGAAGGGGGCTGTGACGTCGGCGGGAGCTGCTGCCTCTGAACTGGTGTGTGTTGGGCTGCTCGTTGACTAGCATTGGCCCAGACCTGTTGCCCAGGGTTCTGAGATTGTGACTGCAGCGGTGCACCCGAAAGAGAGGGAAACTCGCTAGAAATATCGGTATCGTTAGCCTTTGCCAGTTCTCTGGCGTCCCCGAAGCAACTCCGGGAGGGATGACTGTTGAGCCGATTGTATGACGAGAAGGAGATGTCACGTACGAGAGATCTAAAGGCGTCGCCGGTTGGGAGCCTCCAAGACTTTGCGCAAAGCTACCCATCGTTCCCATTGTGCGTTGTTGGTTGGTTTGTAGAGTAGAAGTTCCGCCTACGGGGAGGTTGAAGTTCCAATTGGCTGCGCCACCTAAATCGTAACCCCCCCAGCATTAGCACCCACTCATGTGTCTGTTGTAGATCTCTCGATTCCAAGACCGGACGTATACCTACCTAACTTCCCGTTTGGCAATCGCGCAGAGGGTAGTGTCGCGTTTCGAGCCTGAGCTTGCTGTGGCGCGGGGAATCCGGACATGCCTCGAAGCGGCGGGCCTGGTCCTAACACAAAGGCACCGAGCGTTAGCATGATCTTCACTGTTCCGTATCAATAGGTCCATGCTTCAGCCAGCATAGGAATGTCATCGAGTGATCCTTGCAAATATGTCTCGGTCGCAAATGGGACAGCCATTTCCGCAGGACTACTGCCATTGGAGGGTGAAACCCTTTCATCTTTGGAATCCGGGGCAGGATCCCTCAGAGTCGACACCATTCCAGAAGTAGGAAGATAGGCTGGAACTCAATAGCATATCCCTTTGTGGCGGGCAGAGATCGAGCAAGGACTCGGAGGGTAATGAAGAAAATGACGAACCTGGTCGGTTCATAGTTGGAGTCTCAGCGATGTGACTCGAGTCGGGGTCCTAGGGGCCCTCGGATATATCCAGAACGACAGATCACGGTTGAAATCAGTACAACGAAGAATTCGCGGGGAGAAAGCAGTCCACAAAGGCCCTCTTGAGCACTTGATGCGGCACTGCTCCGCCTGAGAGTGGAGTGAATCGATTGGGCGGTTAAACGCGCGGATGCGTAGGAGAGGTATGGGTTGACCTTGAGATATGGCAATGAGGACAGGATGAATAGACAGACAAGAATAGGTCGAGATTATCAACGAGCGGGTTCTCTTTTTGAAACTCCAATACCGAGAGTGCTTAACGTGAGGTCGTTCGATCTGATCGAGCCGGAATTGTACAAGAAGCGGGCTCGAGTTGCCGCCAGGCGCTCATGTGACCCGCCCTGCACCCCGAAAAAACGCAACAGCAACCCGGAGAGCCCGTACTCTTGTACCAACATTGACATTGACATTGAACCACAATGCAACGCTCGGTCGTCTCCCGTTTAGCTCGCCATGGGGGCATGGCCCTTTCGGATCTGCCTCCTGCCTATCTCGCCCCTTCCCTTCACTTCTCGACGATGCGAAACAATGTGCAGTCCTCGAATTTCTCTACGACTCCCGTCGCCGCCGGTCGTGGTGGACGCGACATGAACCGAACCCGTGGCGTGTCAGCCATCCACCGCACTGGTCCCAGATTCAAGCTGAGCGCCTCTAAATACGCTCTGCCTAAGCCCGTTTCGCCGGAGAAGATGCAAACGCGCCCCAGCACTCCTGAGCATGGACTTTGGGCTTTCTTCCCTCCATCGCGCGAGGCACTGAGTGTTCCGGAATTCGATATGGACTTTGGTGAGTGCATTGCATACTGAATCACATCAATTGCCCTTGATTGGTAGATTTGAATGCTGATAATTATCATACTAGGCCGCTCTTGGGCCATCCAAGAACTGCGCGAGAAGAGCTGGGACGATCTGCACAAGCTGTGGTGGGTTTGTGTCAAAGAGCGCAATCGCATTTCCACGTCCAACTTTGAGCGAGAGCGACTGAAGCCAGGTTACGGTGACCACGAAGCTCAGGCGCGGGACCGAGCTGTAAGTTACCCCCCAGATTCGCCTGTACTGTGAGCTACATTTCTATTCGGAAGTGCCCATGGCAGTTACCCACTCCCATTCTCCAGAATACGAGATGTCTTTTAACCTTGAGCTCTTGTTGAAAACATGTACTGACAGCTTTCTTTTTCTAGGTCCTCGTCACCCAAAAGAGCATCAAGCACGTTCTGCGTGAGCGCTGGTACGCCTGGGAGGAGGCCACACGCCTGTATGATCATGGAGTTCGCCCAGAGGGCCAGGGTTACGGAGATATGATGGAAGAGGAGGTCCCTGAACAGACCTCGGAGGTCACCAAGGAGGAGGCCAAGGATACCAAGGCATGATTGAGTGGCAATCATTTCCATTAAGGGTTCGAGCTCGAGCCCGAATATTGTAGCATATTAGTTTTGTTGTTTTTGTTCACATTGTTGCACCCATGTAAAATATCAATGACCATTTTGGAACAAAACTTACAATGACCTGGCGGTCTTTCCAAGGAGTAGCTTGACCATCTATGGGGTTGAGTACTAGTATATGCATGACTATGCCCGAGTGTGTATGGAGCATGGAGTACTAGTACGGGATCACTTGAAGTAAGTACTTTGTACATTAGGGGTAACCTCATGGTGATAAAAATAATTAAACGGTAAACCCCATCCCAAAGCGCATAAGTGCCCCGAATTTGAGGCGAGCTTGACTTGCTTCCTAGTGACTTGCAAGTCACTCACTATTGGCGGGCCCGTCAAATAGTTTAGTCTCCTCTTTCTTACCGCTTCGTTGATCCGCGGGGACAAGATAGGACCAGGCCCAACTTTCTTTCTCTTTCCCACCTTTTTGCCCCCTCGGCATACCCCCCCTATCCCAACTCAAGCTTGTCTTGTTCTATTTTCTTTCTACATTCATCATGGATGAGATCGCCCCCGAGTACGACGTGGTGGTGCTCGGCACTGGTTTGTTGCTACCCCGCCATTCCACCGCAACGCCCCCTCGACTGACATCTTTCTAGGCCTGACCGAGTGTGTGCTGTCTGGGTATGAAGCTTCCCCAAACTCCCTTTTGTTACCGAATGCCTTTCTAACCACTCTCTATTCAGTGTTCTGAGTGTCAAGGGCAACAAGGTCCTTCATATCGACCGCAATGACCACTACGGAGGGTAGGTGGACCCAAAGCTCCCTATTCACGCCACCCGAGTTCTAGACAGCTAACAATGGCTTCAGAGAGGCCGCCTCCGTCAACATCGAGACTGTACGCTGATCGAATCCCGAGGAAGACCCCCTGCTAACCTCCCCCTGCAGCTTTTCAAGAAGTATGGCAACGTCGCCCCCGGCGAGGAGCCCTGGAAGAAGTACGGAAGAGTCAACGACTGGAACATTGATCTTGTCCCGAAGCTGTTGATGGCGAATGGCGAGTTGACCAACATTCTGGTTTCTACCGACGTCACGAGATACCTGGAGTTCAAGCAGATTGCTGGCAGCTATGTCCAGCAGGGCAAGGGACCCAAGGCGACCGTGGCCAAGGTGCCCTCAGATGCCGGCGAGGCCCTTCGCTCTTCTCTGATGGGTCTTTTCGAGAAGCGACGTGCGAAGAAGTTCCTCGAATGGGTTGGCGAGTTCAAGGAGGAGGACCCCTCTTCTCACCAGGGTGCGTGATTAACCAAATCAATATATGCTCAACGGTGGTGGTGGTTTGCTAATACTATCAACAGGCCTGAACATCCACGCTTGCACTATGAAGGAGGTTTACGACAAGTTCAGCCTCGAGGACAACACCCGTGACTTTGTTGGACACTCCATGGCCCTCTTCCCTTCGGACGAGTACATTAACAAGCCTGGTGCGGCCGTCGAGACTATCAACCGCATCCGCCTCTATGTCAACTCTATGGCTCGTTACGGAAAGTCGCCTTACATCTACCCTCTCTACGGTCTCGGTGAACTGCCCCAGGGCTTTGCCCGTCTGTCCGCTATCTACGGTGGTACCTACATGCTGAACACCGACATCGACGAGGTGCTGTATGAAGGTGGCAAAGTTTCTGGCATCAAGGCCACCATGAAGGACCGTGATGACCAATCGACCGCTATGAAGTTCGAGACCAAGACCAAGAAGATCATCGCTGATCCTTCTTACTTCCCCGGCAAGGCTAAGGTCAGCGGATACCTGCTGAAGGCCATCTGCATTCTGAAGCACCCCATCGACAAGACCGACGGCAGTGACTCGCTGCAGCTGATCATTCCCCAGTCCCAGGTCGGACGCAAGCATGGTAAGTGCAAGCCAGCAAAGATACGTAAGAATCCCAACTAACAAACTTAGATATCTACATCGCCATGGTCTCCTCCGCTCACAACGTCTGCCCCAAGGGCTACTACATTGCTATTGTCTCGACCATTGCCGAGAACGATGCTAACCACCACATCGAGCTCGAGCCTGGTTTCGAGCGCCTCGGCGCTATCGAGGAGAAGTTCATGGGCCCCGCCATCCCTCTCTATGAGCCTCTGGATGATGGCTCAAAGGACAACATCTTCATCTCCAAGAGTTACGACTCCACATCCCACTTCGAGACCACAACCGGTAAGTTTTCTTGATTGAAAAAATAAAAATAAAAATCAGCAAGCTCCTTTGACCCTAAGCGAACCCATTGCTAACTGTTACATCAGAGGACGTGCGGGATATGTACAAGCGTGCCGCTGGCGAGGAGTTGGTGGTCGAGGGACTCCGGGAGGACCAGCAGCTGGTCCAGGAGTAGAGGATTAGTTGCATGTTGAATATCTATCGCTGCTTAGATTCCGAGCTGATTATACTTCTGTTGGACATGTTCATCGCTCTCTTGTATCTGTTTTCCGCCCCTGGACACCGAATCTATCTGATCGTGCAAGGTTGTAGCAAGCGCAATATACCTGTCTCTTTCAAGTCTATCGGTCAACATTGTGTAGTAGTATTCAAGTTGTTTAAGTAAGGTTCGTAAACGCTAGAAGCACCAGTAATGATATCAAACAGAAGACAGAGAAATCGCTATTGTATATAGTAGTCTATGTCGACCAGTACTCCAGGGCCCCTTCGGCCGTGCCATGTCCACCGGGAGGGTATGGCTTCTAGCTTAAATGCGTTGATTCACTTCAGGATCAGTATTGGCCTTTTCATGTTCGCCAACAACACAAACATCCCCCGTCTCGGCCCTTTGAATTTCAGCCCGCAGCAGCGCCAATCGCTTCCCGACATGAATAATCTCACAAACGATGCGCGCTTCGATGCCCTCCGGCACAGGACGGAGATATGTGAGCTTGAGGTTGCGACTCACGCCGCCGAGGGAGAACTTGCCAGGCTCGGACACGCCCAAGAGGATTGTCGTTGATAGTACGTCGATGAGAGTTGCGGCGCAACCGCCGTGCAGGTTTCCCATGTAGTTGCTGAGTGCTGGGGTGATTTTGAGGAGAAAGGAGACCTTTGCCGGTGGACCGCGGGTTGCGGATTCAAAGCGGAGGTTGCAGTCGCGGCCGTTGACATCCCAGTGCTAGAGGGAGGAGTTAGCTGAGTTCAGGACCTAGGTTTTGGCTATGTCAAGGGCCAATGCCAGGCTGGAAGAGATCTTGAATTGGTGCGATGCGATGCAATGCAATGCGATGCGACTGTTGGGAGTTCGGAGACTGACCTCTTCATTGCCCAGGCCCATGCGACTTGTATACTCGAAGACGAGCTCTTCGAATTCGTCCAGCTGGCGCGCTGGGCGTTGGATTCCGGCTTCCGACATGGTGGATGTGTGTATGTGTTATGTACAGAGGAAGGGAAATGAAAAGGAATGAGTGTTCTATCTATGGGAAAGAGTCTATAAGTTCCCCACAAGGTCAGCTCGGGCAAGTTGGACCTCGGCTGAACACTGGAACAATCAATGGTAAGCTGCCCCAGGGTGCCTTGGTCGATAAAGATGCCCCGAGCAATGGCTGAACTGACCGAGTCGAACCGACCTTATTCCGGAATGTCCCTGTAGCCCAGCGCCATCTCATATGATATCAGGCTTGTCTTGCGGCATCCCGTCGGTAATGGTGGGATGAGACTACTACTGACGGAGTATGTGAGCAGACATTGCCGATGACCTACAAATATCAATTTGTGGAACACTCCGATTTTCTGATTCTGGCCCACCAGGATTGTTTATCTTTCTAGATGCTCGACTCTATGTCCCTTTCACGGCAAAGGAGTGTCTCAGTCCCAGTCTCGCTCTTAACTGCGCGTCACGCGTTGGTGGCCTCAGGCGCGCATCTCCGAGAAAGGGCGATTGCTTGCCGAACCGTCAACAACTTGACAAACTCCGCAACCCCCAGCCATTGTTCCTAGCACCAATTGACTCTGGATTGAACACTCAGATAATCTATCCACTCTATACCATCGTTGATTTCCTTGATCTCGACCCCTTCCCGTCGCAGTTCGCCAATGCGCTGCTGGGAATAACTCCCTAGCTCGACATGTTGTTTGGTTAAGAAGACGACAGTGTTTGACCTGAACTACTTTACTCCCGATCTAAATTATCCCTGTCATTGCGCAGACCTCGGACGGCAGTCGACAATAGCGAATCACTTCTACCTCCAGATCCTCCCTTCCCTCCAATCAACACCTCTACGAGGATACCACGTGCAACACCCAACATGAAAGATCCTCGGGCTTTGAAGCGGAGAAGAGTCTCCGAAGAACCCGTCGAAGACGGTGACGGAGACGTTGCAATGGAAAGCGACGCTGGGTATTCATCTCCAGCGGCCGCTGACGACTCCGAGGAAGACGAAGACTATCGCGGACCCCGAAAATCAGCCTCACGACGTCGATCTACTCGAGGCGGAAACAACAAGGTACCGACCGGCCTGGAGGATGAAAGTGCACAACAACCAGAAACACCCTCAAGGGGCACACGCTCAAGCGGTCGCCAACGCAAAACTCCTGCAAAGTACGAAGACGATGCCCCGACCCCATCTTCGACTCGCAAGGCAGCTGCCACACCACGAAGTACCCGGGCGACGAAGAGTGCGCCGAAGACGAGACAGAAGTCGGCGGCGGACGAGTCTGATCTTGATGTTGAGATGGAGTCTCCGAAACCCACAGCTTCGGTTTCTAGGACCAGATCTCGACGGAGTACTGCTAGAGGGAGGACACAGCGCGTCGCAGACAATGAGGAACTCGACAGATCTGCGTCACCGGAATATCATGACGGTCTGGATGATCTCGTCGCCATGCAACTTCAGCAAGATCTTCAAAGCCAGCCGGAGGCGCAAGAAGTTGTCGAGGTCATCGAGGAGGAACCTCTTCCTGAGTACGTCGAGAGAATGCAAAATCTCTGCAAGGATGGCTATCACGATGAGATTCGCGCTCTTTCTACGGCCGTTCTGGAGAAACTCTCTGGCAAACGACAGATCCCCCTTCATGGACTTGAAGCCGAGTATAACAAAGCCAACCACTTGATCGAACAGACCGTGACAGTTGGCGAGGGAAACTCGATGCTTCTTCTCGGCTCGCGTGGGTGCGGGAAAACAGCCATGATCGAAACGATCATTTCTTCACTTGCAAAAGAACACAGCAATGAGTTCCATGTCGTTCGTCTGAATGGCTTCCTTCACACCGACGATCGCCTTGCTGTTCGTGAGATGTGGCGTCAACTTGGCCGTGAGACTAACACCGAGGACGACACTGCTAAAGTGAGCTCTCATGCCGACACTATGGCAACTCTATTGGCTCTTCTGTCTCATCCTGAAGAGTTGTTTGGCGCTGCAGGGAATGGGAGCGCTGTGACGGCGGCGAAGTCCATTATCATCTTGCTGGACGAGTTTGATCTATTCGTCACGCATCCCCGACAGACTTTGCTATATAACCTGTTCGATATCGCCCAGGCACGAAAGGCGCCTATCGCAGTAATCGGGTTGACTACCAAGGTTGATGTAACGGAGATGCTGGAGAAGAGGGTCAAGAGTCGGTTCAGTCATCGATATGTCTACGTTCCGCTCCCAAGAACCTACGATATCTTTTCGGACATCTGCAAAGCGAGTCTGGATTTGAACGAGGACGAAGCCCAGCAGATCACAGGCATTCTTAGCTCTGAAAATACCGTTCTGGATAGCAAACGCTGGGAAACACTGCTTGGGGGGGGGAAAGAATATTTGAAGGTATGGCAGAAGTCCCACGTCTGACAACTCTATCCAATCGCTTATACTAATTCAAATTCACAGCACATGTGGGAGGACAAAGACTTCCAATTCCACCTCAAGAGGATATACAACCAGACCAAATCTGTAAAGGAATTCCTCACCAGCGCAATCCTCCCCATAACCGACCTCCACCTCAGCACCCACGGCGTCGACAAACCGTCCGTCAAAATTCCAACACCAAAGCACTTCAGCTCCCAAGCCCTCTCTTGTCCCGACCCAGCCCCACTCCCATTCTCAACATCCGTCTCAGCCTCATCAAGCTCCTCGTCCCTCCCACTGGCCCTACTAGTAGCCGCCACCCGCCTGGCCGCTCTCTTCGACCCTGGAAACGAAGGCATGCAAGCACAGAGTCTGTCACCACTGGCGCTCTCTTTCCCCGCAGCTTATGCGGAGTATGTGCGACTCCTCACTTCCGCTAAGACTTCTGCCTCTGTGTCTGGCGCGGCGGCTACGGCTGGTCGGGTCTGGGGAGAGATGTTTCGAGAGAAGCGTGGGAGAAATTGGTTACTTGGGGCCTTGTTACTCCTGTTGGTTCTGGGAATGGTACTGCTGATGGACAGATGTTCCGGGTGGAGATTAGTTATGAGGAGGTTATTGATATGGCTGGTTCTGGTGGCTCATTGGGACAATGGTGGCGGGATGGTTGAGGGGTTCTTGTTCATCGCAGTCAATTCTATATGCATCTTGTCAGCCTTAAAATAGATAATATGTTACATATATGCTTTGAAGTTGATAATGTAGAGTCTCAAAAGTCCTTTTAGAAGTGCATGTGACTTGATCATGTTTGTTGAGAATTTCAAGTTCAAGCTGTGCCTTAGCTTAAGAGAAGATATCCTCTCGTAGGCGTGGTCACCTACTAGTAGAATTCGGTGCCCCCTTCATAGAGCCAGTCGCTTCCAAGGCTGTGGGGCGTACTAGTACGTACTAGTCAGAGAGCTGAGCCAATCTTGAGATTAATGTACTGTATTCATAATTCCCAAGGCCAACGTAAGCTAGGTATTCCTGGTAGGTACGAGTACTTCAAATTAGGCAGAAGTTCCGTAGCCCGGACTAGTAGCAAGGCAGATAACCTTGAAACTCGGAGTTCTCGAGCTGCTATCCGTATGTCAGCCCTAGAGATAAACTAAGGTTTCATCACTCTTGTCGATAACATCCATTGATCCAAATCATATAGTTGAAACAATATTCCAAAACATACTCGTAGCTACTACCGCCTCCAAACCCGCATCACGCAATGATCCGAGTACAGACCTTCGAGGAAAACAATTGCCCCCCCAGCAGAGGACTGAACACAAAATTCACCAAGATGTGGTCTCAGCCGGTTCAAGTTTTTACCTAATGGGCAATCTCAGGCTACTGTACAACTAGTGATGATATATCACAAAAACACGGGAGCCTATCAGACGCACCGTGCCATGTTATCCATTCCTCCCAGCGCCTCGTTTAGGGTATAGATCCGAGAACCGCTCGAGAGCCCAAACTTAGATCGAGTCATCTGCTACCTTACTGCAGATCTTTCCTACGAGATGGAACTCGAATCCAACCTTGGATTGGACCCGTTGGTTGGGTCCCTACCTCTCCCTCTGCTCAGCCAGTGGCCTGGGCACTGGCACTGGCAGTGATTCACGTCACGGTTGTGGAAATCAGGACCACATTGGTAAATTCAATTTTTCGAGCTCGCCCTTGCCTTTGTTCCATGCACCTTACCGCGTTCTGTGAGCTACCTGTAGCAAGCCACGAAGAGGGCTGGGCCCGTGTGAAAGAGATGTTGTTCTTTACTGTTCGTTGGACTTCCATGAGAAGAAAAGTCTCCAGGGTTAGATGCATACATAGTACGTATTCAATTTGAAGTACATATGGATGTGAAATTGAATATGTCGATGTGGGATTTGCGGCGGATACCTACCCAACCATCGGTTCACCCGCATGGATGCAGGCTTGGCTTCAAGTTGTCGGTTGAACGATTGGACAGCATCGAGGTACTAGTAGCAAACATTGAATAGATCCTACCATAATAAACCTTGGTGATATATCTCCTCGGAAAGAGGGCGCACAATTATAGATAACGAACCAAGAATTTAATACGTGGTAAAACCCAACTGTAAAATAGTACTCACAATACTCACCAAATGCCGAAGTATGGGAACTGAGATGCGTATTTGCACGTTTCATGCATGACCGGGGAGGAGGTCTTTAAGATGGCGCATAAACCCAACGGAAAAGGAAGGCTTCTCTACATAAACATAAAGGTACTTTGCTCCACCCTACTCATGTCCTTTGCCACTGGCACTTCTCGATCGCACAGGAGCAACAAGTGTGGCGCTAGATATTGGTTGTGCTTAAGACACGCGGCATACATGTGTTGCTATCCACTTCCACGTATGCCATGTGTGCACGAAAAAACAAAGAAAAAACATGATAGGTCACAGACGCATGTTTTGCTGCGCTTTATTCAAATTAATTGCTTTTCTCAACTCAATTCTTTAGCCTGAACCGGGGGGGAGTGGGTTTGGCCGGGGGCTTGCAGGGCGATCATCATCAACTTTACAGGATGCCGGAATGGAATGAGCATATTACGCTGCATGCAGGACACCGAGAACTGGGGTACCATGTACAGTATGCACAGTATGTATGTAAGTATCTCAAAATCTGCGGGAATAAATTCAATGTGCTGGCTCCCACTAGACACACCACGGCTGCTCCATCTCCCGAGAGATCAGTCTTGTATGACCTTAGAACACAGGCGAGAGCAGCCTTTTCCGTCTTGGCCGGCATATCTGTCTCTCTTTCTGCTAGTATCGCTCCTTTGGGGTATTGGCCGAAGAATACTAGGAAAGGGAGCTGCAACCTTGAAGAGTATCTTATCTTGTCTCAATTAGTTCGTGCAAAAGGCTGCATCATCGCGTGCGAATATTGTGGGGTCTTCACTTAGTATATTTATATTTTTGTTTTTGTGTGCGTGTGCGTGTGCGTGTGCGCTGCACTGTACTGCAACTGCTTTGTGAAAGTGCGCCAGGACTTGACAGGTTAGATTTGGTACTTTTGGTCCGTTTTCTGGAGACAAAGCGCGACTCCACAGTTCTGCAGGACTCGCATGGCGATTTCTTCCAAGGTTTTCATATCCACATAATCGGTACACACAAGGGAAAATCATGCAGAATGTACTTGTAGTAATCCTCCGCTCCACTCTGGATCCATATCCAATGCATACATATGAGGGCTTTTTCTCGGATAGAAAGCTGAAGAAGCCGTTGCAAATCCATCTAGTCAGCGGCCACACCCTGCAGATCCCATATTCTGGTTCCGTCCGCCAGAATACGGCATTGAGTCGAAAATAGACAGGGACAAGAAGTAAAGAAGCTAGCCTAAAACAAGAAAAAAAGAAAAAGAAGAAGAAAAAGAAAAAGGAAAACCCGCTGTATCAGTGTACCAAGCATAGAAACCAAGACGTGCGAGCTGCAGCAGCCCGTAACAACCGCTTTCCGCGTGTCAATTCTAGCCCTTTGAAAATAGACCGGACCATAATTAGAGGCCCGAGAGACAATGGTTGAAATTGCATTCGGACAGAGCCATGCAGAGAATAGAGAGTACGAGTAGTAAGAAGAGCGCGGGGGGGGAAGGGAAGGCAAAAAGGAAAGTACCTACAGTAGGTAGAGTCGGCGCGGAGGCAAGAATCCACCCATCGTGCAGAATTCCTCATATACATACAAAACCTATACGTGTGTGACGTCGATGATCCCATTATAGGCCTTAGTCGTTGCAAGACCGGGATCCGGGCAGCACATAGCCCCGAACGATCGGCATCTTGCAGCTGTGTCGATGGGTATTGTGCGGTATGTGTGTATGTATGTGTCTCCGCGGCGATAAGGACAGTGTGAAGAAATCGCGGGCTCGATCGTTTATGGCAAGCTCCAAAAAAGGTGTAGTATCATGCAGTGTAGCCGGGGAATCACAAAAAAGGCGCACGCGCGGGCTGTACATACTACATACTCGTAGTGAAGAGGACTGGCAAAAAGGCAAAACGTGTCAAGTTAGTTTTTAGTGCTTTTTGCTGCAGAATCCAGACGGCGGCCACCGGCGTCGCAAGCTACCGAAATAACAACCCCGCTTTCAATGTTGCAGATGAAGACTTTCGTTTTCGTTTAAGCGTTGTTTCTCTGCAATCTATACTCCGTACGCACGGAGAACGGAGCATAGTAGAGCAGATTGGCATGCTACTCCGGGTCGGAAAGTTGTGTTTCTCGGATCTTCCGCGGGGAACTGAAAAAGGGTAAATTGTATTGTCGCATTGCTTTTCCGCCGATGGCCCATGGACTTTACTGACGGGTTGACTATTTTCCCGCATATACATATGAATTTGAAGTGAGGGGGACAGCAGCGGCGACGCGGAGGGATGTGGCATGTTGACTGGAAGAACTCCATAGGTAATTCGGAGCTACGGGCCTTGGCTTAGAATCGGAGCTGTGCTAGCAGCCAACAACTGACAATCTGGGATTACATCCGACTGCGATTCTGCTGGTCTGATGAAAGGAGGGATTGAGATTGGCTGCGAATCGAACGTTCAGTCGCAAGTTGCTTGTCTTGTTTTGGTTTCGCGGTGACGATCAGCATCATCCCGTCTTCTCCGCTGTCGTGCAGAATATGTATACTACGGAGTACTAGGGTAGGATAAGTCGATTGGAGACCACCAAGCCCGGTCCGGCGCTATTAAGACCCATGCTTGAAACAGCCATGACATAGGTGCTTGCGGCTAGTTGACAAGGGGACCTTTTCATCAGCATGCCATTATGATAGCTGTTCTTCCGTGGTTGGAGGTGCCAAGACAGACATATTAAATGGCGTCAACAATCTTCAGCCCTGTTCCGGGACTGGAGACAAAAGAGGAGGGGGATCCTTCTTGTTTGAAGTGTATGTACACACGGTCGCGGGTTATACAAGGATACTGATAGACAGTATGATTTCTGAAAAGGCGTGGTAGACCTATTCGACCATGGCCCCATCTCAACAGATGCGTGTAGCCCGAATTGGCAGTCGTAATTACCTATCAACAATAGGATATTGTATACATTTCGTTTAAAGAATATAACCGACGAAGCGAGGTCGTTGGGTTATGGCCCCCAACTCAGGCCAATCGACTAAACTCGATTAGGGCAATTGACCTGCATCAACACTGCAGTGACGAAACACCGAGTCGACTAGATGACCCAATGAACGGAGGCAATGCAGCGGGAGCTGTACTTAACAAGTCGACATACATACATGGGGGGAGAAAAAGACCTAAACCCTGATGGTTGTCGCCTCATGCACTCTAACGTAAAAGGATATTAAAATGACCTAATGGTTAGGGTTCCGAGATAACATACTCCGTACTTTCAGGCCACATGGGTGATAGATCCACCACAATGCAAGTGATGGAGCACTCACGATCATCGACGGGCACCACTAGTTGCAGAAGCTTTTTCTGAGCCGTTCTGCCTTGTACGCGGAAAAAAAGTGCCTGTCAAGTTTTTGTAGATCATCTCTGCCACGTGGATTTTGTCTTCCCGTGTGGTCCTCTGCCGTGTCAGAATCAGGATTAGGATTAGGATTAGTGGAGAAAGGAAGGTAATTCGAGGACATATCCCGTTCCTGTACTCCGGAGAGACGG